GGAAGGACACCTTCTAACAACAAAGTCTGAGATGCACCTGTGTCTCTAAGAATCTTAACAGGCTTTGAATTGGTATCATCACTTGAAAGTGACACAGATCCTTCCGACATGAAAGGCTTATAATCCTCCATAATATCACTATGAGTAGATTTCTCAGTATGAGTATATGAATCCCAAACAATGGGCTTTCTTGAAATGGGAACAGTAGCACAACCATTTGAATGAGCAGAACCTGACATCTCTCTTCTATTCTTAATCCTATAGCATTCAGAAATAAGATGACCAGGCTTTTTACAATAATTACAGGTGACATTTGATTTTGGACCTGAAGAATTTGATTGATCAGATTTTGAGCTAAAACTCTGTGATGAATTAGACTGGTCTTTTGCTTTGTTTGATGTATTTGATGATGAGGACTGATTTGATTTAGAGTCATATGAAGGTTTGTTACCCTGATAACCCCTATAGTTAGGATTGCCCTTGATAAAACTACCCTTATGAGTAAGAGCATAATCATCAGACAGGGTGGCAGCTTGACTCAAAGTTTCTACCTTGTGTTCATCTAAGTAAGTTCTAATGTGATACTGAACACAGTTTTTAAATTGTTCTATAAGCATTAGCTCTCTGAGCTTCTTAAACTCTTCAGATACATCTTTAGAGACAAGCCACCTGTCAAAAAGCTGCTCTTGCTCTCGAGCAAACTCAACATGGGTTTGGTCACTCTGTTTGTGGGCATTTCTAAATTTTTGTCTGTAAGCTTCTGGTACTAGTTCATAAGCTTTAAGAATTGCATTTTTAACTAGGTCATAATCAGAGCATACTTCTCCAGAGAGAGAGGCAAATATTTCACTTGCTTTACCAATAAATACACTCTGGAGCATAACTGGCCATGCAGATTTAGGCCAATCGAGGCTTTGAGCGACTTTTTCAAAATGCGTAAAGTATTTATCAACATTTTTCTCCTGAAATTTAGGTACAAATTTGAGAAATTTTGAAGCGTCAAACCTATTTTCAAAATGTTGATGCATAGTAGCATGTTCATCAGTTTTTGATTGAGCTTCTATCTCAAGGCGTTTTAATTCAATTTCTCTTTGAATTTCTTGTTCTCTCATTTGTCTTTCATTTTCTCTTAATCTTATTTCTTTTTCACTTTCTCTTTTTTCTCTTTCATTTTGAATTTCTAATTCTTTTTCTCTCAATTCTCTGATTTCTCTTTCTTTTTGAATTTCTAATTCTTTTTCTTTTATTTCAAGCTCTTTAAGCTTAATAGGATCAACAGGGTCAACATATTGGGCTGGCTGCTCAGGCAGAAGTGATTCTGCGACCAAATATTGAAGTACAAAGTTTTTAATAGTATCCTTTTTGTATGAGCTTTTGACTGACAGGCCAACATGTTTTGCAATTGCCAGAAGTTCAGTTTTCTTCAAATCGTCAAATTCCTCCAAAGAGGGCGCTTCTAAAAATGTCTCAACCTCAAAACTCATTTTCTATTAATTGCTGTCTTCACAGTTTAAATATACAAGTTTTGGATTTTGAATTTTAAAATATTTGTATTCTAGCTTGTTGTAGTTGTATCCCGGACGAGCCCCCAATTTCTGTTACGTTCGAAAATAACAGAAAGTAAAAACAGCAATTAAAATATGATAACAATATATTTATATTTTGAAAACTAAATAATATAACAATAATATAAAGGAGGTTTAATACTTAAGTGATGTCCAATCAATGATACGGCTTATTCTTGATGTTGATAGATGTCGTTGACGATCCTTGAGAATGTTCCAGATCACGAAATGTTTCAATAATCGTTAATAGTTCTCCAACGTTTGTAATAATCCAATAATATTTGTTGTAATCCTATAATGTTTGTATCCAATAATGTTTGATGATAATCCACAAATGTTTATGATAATCCACGAATGTATATGATAATCCGTATATAGTGTATGTTGTAATATATGTCCATATAAAGTCCTCAGGTTGTGTGTTTGTAGTGTTATAAATGTTCCCACAGTAGGTGTCTGTAATATTCCGCTAAGAAGATGTCCTTTGATCAACTTTGAAATTCTGCTTTATTTAGTTCCTTTGAGATGTCCAGTTATGATTACTTAATTATCTGCTAAAGAGAGTCACTGTGCTGTTCTTTTTATAATGTGAAAGAATGATCCAGAAACGAATCTTCTGGAACTTCATCTTGATTGGACATCTTTAGTGACATGATTACATTTTAATGAATGGTTATAATTTCTAGAACTATCTGGATGGTCAAGGGTTAATGAATCATTCAGTTCAGTTTTGTTTACAAGATACAGTGTATAATGTCATTGTGACCTTGACCTAAGATCTCTAATAAAGAATAGCTCAACATATGTAGCAAGCATAGATTACAAATTAAACTATAAGTGAATATAGTCGAATATAATATACATGTAGCTCACTACTGTAACACTTATTTGTAACATTTATTCAACACCACATTTTACAATAGGTGACTTACAGTCTGAATATTTATTCAGACGAAGGATACAGTCTAGAGTAACCCTAACCGCACAATAAAATGAATAAAAAATGCTCACCTCAACTGTTTCTTGTATAACCCACCTATTTTAGGGTGAAATCTCTACGATTTACAGCTCAAATGCAATATGGTCTAATAGTTTTTCCGAATATGTTAAATGTAAAATAAGTGATAGAGGGTAATCTCGTGAAATTATACTTTCAAGTAACTTTTTGAAGATACGAACTCTAAGAATTATCCATTTCCGCCTAGTACTGAACGAAAAGACTTTACAATATTGACCAGTATTCGTATTCCCGGGAGCTATTTAATCTGAATTGACATTTCAATACTATTTTAATGAATGTTGCCTAAATCGATGCTCTGCTCCTTTCATACCATGTATGAATGTGAGCCACTGTTTTGGAAGTGTAAGTCGAAATAAATAGATCAATAAATAAATAACATTCAACGTTGAGACGAAGTTCTCTAACTCTATTTCTAACTTTTGGAGTGAACAAATCAAATCATAACGTGTTTTGAAATGACACTTGGAATTGGAACTGTAAAATGCCGACTGGGAGTTGAATCGGCGAAAAGCATAGGCCAAGGGAAAAATAATGGTAAGCTGAATATAGGAGAGACAGGTGCACAAAGGGTAAAAATGTTTAGTCTTGGCACTAGTTCTCTATCAAATTGTATTCCCAAATCTCTCCAAAATCTTCTTCAAAGTGTTTTTCAAACTTATATCATTATTTTTCAAATCTTTATCTTAAAACTGCATATAATCAAGGACGTCCTTGATATACTGCATATACACAGGCTGGTATCGAAAGATTTTCCGCTGTGACGGAGCATGCTCCGGGAGCATGCTATTTTTCATAAAAACACTAAGAATACTTCACAATTTATTTTTCAACTCATATGTTTCGTTATATCAAAGAAATTTACTTACCCAATGCAATGGATCACTTGCCGGTAACCTTCACTTCTGCTTGAAGTCCAATAACGCTAGGAGCTGAGACATCATAAATGTTAGTCTCAGCTAGGAGTAAAAGCTATTGAAAATGGCGCCAGAGTATCAAACTCTAAAATGTACCACTTTTAACGGCATGGATATAGTGACACGATAATATTAACATATGTTTTCAGCATAACTCTGAATGTATTAATGAAATATTGATGTATTGGGTCTTTTTAATTTTTTAATAAAGATGATATTTACATTTTTTGTCCACTGTGACGGAGCAGTTTCACAGCTCACATTTGCAACTGATCCGTCACAGCGGACAAAAGATTTAAACATTATTTTTTATAAAGAATTAAAAAGACCCAATACATCAACATCTCATTAATACCTTCATAGGAATGCTGAAAACATAGGTAAATATTGATGGTCCCTCATTTCAAAATGGCCGCCATTTTTCGCAAAAATGTAATCTTTAATAAATCACTAGTTGACAGATTTGGTTCTTTTATATGCTGATGCTGATGAAGAATACTGGAGCTCTGCTCATGAAGAAATTACCAAGATGACAGTTGAATTCCAAAATGGCCATCATTATTCTTAAAAAGATATAACCTTTGATAACTCAAACATCAGTGGACGGATTTTATATGCTGATACTGATGAATACCCTTTGCATTCGTTTGACTTCACTTCTTAAAAGAGAGCTTCGTCTGTAGTTTAACTAGACTCTGCACGCAGGGTAGCTGATGAAGGATACTGGAGCTTCATGAAAAATTACCAAGATGACAGCTGAATTCCAAAATGGCCATCATTATTCTTAAAAAAATATAATCTTTGATAACTCAAACACCAGTGGACGGATTTTATATGCTGATACCTAGGGACAATTTTCAAGATGGCCACTATTTATCAAAATCTGTTATTCGATGGGATTTGCTCCTCCGTGGATATGCTGTTTCTAGTATTATTTCACATCTAGACGGCAAAGATATGCTTCGAACCTAGTATACGTAAATATCTCACTAACAACGGGCGTTAAGCTTCACGATTTAGAGAACCTGTACGTGAACATGTGGCATACCCGGGGTGGCATATAACCCTGTGGGATTACTCATTTCTCTCCTAATTGTTTCGCCAGTGCAGTCAGTGTACTAAGTAATAACCCAATACCTTTAACTCAATCGTGCAAGTAAATACTTCATGGGGGACAGCTACATATTATCCCTCGAGGACCACAATTCTACACATTCACGCCCAGGTTCTCTTAAAACGGAAACCTCAGCCTTCATATTAACAGAGATGAATTGTCTGAGAGTTGTTTTTTGGCTAACCCTGTAAAAAGGATTGTAAGGGAAAATTGATTTTTGAAAAGATACATGACAATCTTTATCACTTCTCTCTTTGAATTATAGATTCAGAGTTCATACAGATTAAAAGCTTCAATCTAAATTATAATCGCATTCATCTATTGAACCATGTGTTATCTAAAGCATCTACGCCCTAATAAACAATAAACAAAATAGTGGTTGCTTTTAAAAACATTTATTTAATTTTTTGAATTTATTTATTTGATTTTGACGTACTGCAATGTAATGAATTTTGAGACTCTCAAGATTTTATTTTGTTGAGGAAAATGACAAAAATAGCTTAACTAGTCTTGTAGTCTCTTTGCATACACAGTAGAAGTATAGTGGGCTATCGTTCGGTCGATAATATTTACAGTAGGGCCTTTTCCCAGTTTTGAACACCCCTGGCTTTTAAAATTAAACTTGGTAATTTATTAATTTCAAAATTATTGCATCAAACATCAGAGTGAGATTCCTCGACTTTTCTTATACTAAACGGAAGCTTTTTGGCTGTTGTTTTAAGTATATCCCATACCCATATAGTATTGCATATATTATTAATGATTAACTCCGGATTTTTTGACTCGTACAATACAATGGCAAAGAAGACAATCAAAATGGCTGCCATGAATAATGAATTAATCTCTACGTCATCGGGAAAGACAAACAAGCAGACGACTGCAGTGGCCATGTTGGATACCGCCTGTGAGTATATCTTTACGACATTGTCCAGTTTTTTAACTATGACTTTCATTGCAAAGCCATAAGCCACGTTCATGCCGATACAGCTGAGCATTAACAGTATCACCACCAAGGACGTCCCTAAAAATAAATAAATGATTATAACATTTGCTTTTCCTGTCCCAATGCTAGGGTAAGTTCAATGGACATTTGGTCCATCACTTGGACAGAAGGAAATACAATGAAGCCCGGCAGATCCACCAAATATTGAAAATTGTATTAATGAAGGCCAGTTCGCCATATAGAACTCATTAAATGTTTGCTATCTTTTTTAAAAAACAAATGAATCGATCAAACTCTCGATGCCCAATGGGGTCAACTTGCTCTAATTAATCAACGAACTGCTGTTGATGTTCTTTCAAATTATCACTGACATAACGCCACGTAAGTTTGATATTTGATGTGTCACTTGCGTCTTTTACATTCAACAAAAATGTTACGTTTAAGTGTTTCGAATAATTTCAATCACGTTATTATCTACCACATACGTGCCTATAATCAATACTGAATAAGTGACTTCAGAGGGCACAAAATGATACTGGCAATATTACAATGAGAAAACATTACTTAAAAGTCTTTCAAACTGAACCGCATCCTTTGATTTGCGCCAATGACTATCGGAATTAATGGACATACATTAGTCACATATGTTCACATTCTTTCGGCCTTAGATGTTTATCCTGTATACAATAGTAATAATTGATTCAACTATGACAATTAAGTAATAAAAAAGCCAAGGTCAAAAAATAGTTTTCAGTTTAACGTAATTAAAAACAGGGAGTCCCGATCAAGAAAAACGTGTATGTTCGTAATTAACGCCTACGTAGGCCTACACACAGCTTGCCAAGATGTTTTAGAAATTATAGTCGACAATAACCTTATATTAAGAAATGCATCATAAACATGTTTCAGAAACATTGCGTATTTTGAACTCAAAAACCGACATGTACAGCAATGTGATCTAGATCGGATCGGGACATCACCACAGTTATTCGATTCGCTTACAGTATCTGACTGAGAAATAAGTAGGCGTGATAGGTCTTGATGATCAAGAGAGTCATGCGCTGATCATCATAAATGATCATAAATGATTGAATCATCCTCTGTCACCTTTCCTCTGATGTTTTGAAATATACGACAGAATGCATTTTTGCTCACAGATTTGTAATTTCGGGCAATCTATTCACATTGGGTATTCCTTGACGCCGTCCTTACGTACCTGGTTTAACGTTCATTGATATCCCTCTAGTCTCAGTGAAGAAGAACATCCAAGAGATGATCGCCCCAAACAATGCCAACTGCATCAATTGCTCCACAAAGCTCCTTTTGTCCTTCTTGAACATGTACTGAAAAGAAACAAATATAAACCACGTGCAAGTATATACACTCCCCTCCATAAGTTATATATATCTATATATACACTCCCCTCCATAAGTTATATATATCTATATATACACTCCCCTCCATAAGTTATATATATCTATATATACACTCCCCTCAATTAGTATGGCAACTAGAAATTCCCCCTTGGATTTCACTTGTCAAAAGCTATCTACGTTGGGCGATATAAAAAAAACGTCAAAATAGGGCGTCGAATTAAAAACATTTATTTTATTTCTTTATTGTCTCATATTATTGTATTTGTATATTGTATTCATATTATATTATATTATATTATTGTATTGACCTATGTACCACTTTAAATGTTCACAGTTTATCATGTTTATTGTAAATTTAATCATGGGCAGTTATACACCCCCTGGGGTGTCATAGCCTGTATAATGTTGTAATTTTTGTAATGAAAACTGAAATAAATTATTTTGAAATTGAAAAAAATGCTCTATTTTAATCGATGCTATTGATACGGTATTAACTAAATACTAGATTGTACTGTATATAGCTAAGCCTGATACGCACCACTTTATGCCAAAATTATTATTTTCTTTGAAGTCATAATTCCATCTATTTGATTTTATTTCAATACCAACCTCCATGATGATGCATGAGATGACAGAATTGACAGCGGTGACAAAACTGAGAAGTAAGGCGGGAAGGTTGATCACATTCTTGTGGGACGGCAGATTATCAGTCTCAGAAAACTTTGTCAAGGCAATTCCAAATATTAGTAAAAATAAAGCCATCCATTGCACTCTTGTGATGTTCCTTTTAAAGACTACTCTGTAGACTAGAGCAAAGAGTATAATCCTGAATTGTTTGAGAATACCCCATACCGGTGGGGTGGTGTAAAACAAGGCGTAGTAATACACGTTAGCGTTTACTGCAAACAGGAAAGACGGCAATGCGAACATAAAAGAAATGCTTATATTACTCGGTTGTCTATCTATTAGGATCTTAATAAGCATCACGACTAGTTTAACTGTTTCTATGATTGCAACTATGGCTGTATGTGGGAGGGGGTATTTATCTCCATTGTAGTACTTCATAGCATAACTGGAAACGTGTTTTCCGACGTCAAATATAACGAACAAGCTGCAGAAAAAGGCAGCGTCGAGTCTAGTAACATCAGTCCGATCGAGACTCCACCCATGGAAAACTGACCCAGATTTGACAGTCTCGTTGGTCTTGTGACCCTCCATGGACCCATGTGGTTCAATATATCCATTTTGTATGGAATGATGGCGTTTCCTCTCAGAGTGCGAGTCCTTATAATCTGAAGTCTCAACTTCTACGATGACGTCAGCAACCATCGTCACCCGATTGAACCTGAGACCCACTAAATCTTATACCCGTTATATCAGCAACCAATATCGATGTAATTGGCAAATGCCATCATACGTGTACATTATATTTTATTCGGATTCTATTTGTCTCGGATTTATTTATTGTGTGCTAGATCGTTTCTATACACCAAGTCAATTTCTACAATGATGTGATTGCCAATTCGTTCTCAAATCCATTTTGTTTTCCCTGGTATACTTTTATTAAAACGACTTCATTGCATCCGACTTGGCCATGCTATTCCCGTTGTGGTTGAATATGTGGAATGATATCTGAAATTGAAAAACGATCAATACAGATTCTACTTTCAAAGCGCACTGTTTTGTTTCACCTATTGATTTCTGGAACGCTGACAAAACACATTTGAGCTCTCTTATTGATTTAAAATATTTAACTTTCCAATAAGACTTGCGTATTTTACAGTGAGTACAATGGGACTCAGGTGGATAATCCTATACTTTCCATTCCATAAACATAATTCTTAGTCTGTATTGAAAGCATTCCCTACATATGTATGTGGTACACAGCTTTGCCGCTGTGTTCACTATATAATATATGTACATGAATGATATCTAAAAGTTCAGCTAGTTAAACAGCATAGTTGCAATACTATTCAATAATTCAAATATCAATTAAATTCGTAAATAGCTTCCAGGTCTATTCAATAAAAATATAAATACTAATAATGTTAACGTGGTCCCGCAATAATTATTTCACTTAATATTGGCAAATGTCATTCAAAGTTTAATCTCATATATTTTGATATTGAACAACGTGTTCTACCATAACGGGTAAATATCCAAAAATGTAAATTTATTACCATTTTCATAACTTCTAATTATAATCATGAAAATTAATAAATGTCTCACCGTGCAGATCTGCCTTAAGACAGGTATTGTCAATATAGATGATCTGTCTAACTCCTATACTATGACTCTCATACTATTTCGGACAGGGTCAAAATATTTTGGTGTCCCTCTAAAAGATGTTTAACCGAGAAAGATATTTTAACACTCGTAGTGAATTATTTTTGAGCTAAAGTAAAACCAACAACTTTTTAAGCGTATGTCAATGTAAATAGGTGGATCTCCAATTCAATGCAAATTCCGGTTAAAGCTAAAGAATCACGACATACGCGTCAGTTAAAAGTTACCCTTTCGAATAGTTTGACTCCCTTAAAAGAAAGTTTCATTCACACTGACAGTAAGTACTAGCTAGACCTTGGGCCTCAGGGTATTTTTAATTCGATAACAAGTAACAACAATAATGTCAATTATGAGCCAATTTAGCCAACCAGGTTATGTTGTCAATATATGGCAGTTATATCTGTAAGGGCTGATATAATGTACTTTTTACTTACTTATTTTTTGTTATTGCAACCATCGCATGTAACTGTCAATGGTCGTTTTACAGTCTATCCAGATTTCTTCCGGCAAAATAGTTAACGGTACTCCTGTACAGTATAGGATAGTAAACTGATATTAATAAAGTCCATGTGGACAACATCGACTCCAGTTTCATTTGGTCAAGCCAAACTCAGTTTCTGTCTTTCTTCTCATCGTTTTAACCAAAACCAAAATGTTGGTACAATCATCATAACCAAAGTCGTTCCGCTTGTACGCGGAAAAACGCAGGGTCGTACTGAATGTAAGTATAAAAAGATATGTGTTCATGTGAATCGAACTGACAAATATAGCTATTAGTCTAGAAGAAAGCCAAGAGGGGGTTGTTTTGGAGTATATACAATGTTTTATTGCATAATGTGTTGGTCTGGTGTGTTCTGATGAAGATTTGACAAATATGCAGTAATGTGACCTTGAGCAATTTTTTTCTGCAAGGTCAGCAAAATTTTCAATTGAACTGAACCTTGAAACTGATAAAAATTAATGCTGTAATTAAGTGCTGAGTCAGCAGTAATAGTTATTTTTCTCATTTCAATTGATTTTGCATATCTTTTCAATTTACAACCATATATTTGAACTTGAATGGTCAAAATTTAATGTGTTAAAGAACAAGGTTACTCTTCTAATTAAGATGTCAACTTTATTCGAAATATAATATGCTGATGTCAGCAAAATACTTCCTCAAAATAGCTAAGCAGTCTTTGCTTTTAAATATTGGTAATTGTAACAATAGCAGGAAGCGTAATATAAACAATTGAAGTCTTATATGCAAAATATGGATTTATTAGCTAATTAACTCATTAGCAATTGGCCATTAAATTGGTCATAGAAGCTCTAAGGGGGAGGGGAGTACAAAAGGCCTTTACAGTTAAGTTTTTCTCTAAACGTTTTAAAGGGTGACGCATATCGTTTAGCAAATCGAACGCTCGTTTCTGGTGTTGCTCACCGTTTAGTATAAAACGCCCGATCCCGGAATAATACTCAAGGGTTCACAGGTTCGAGGTCGTTGTGTCAACACCTCTAACTGTTATATAGCATAAGTCTATTATAGATCGTCACACATTTATAAAAGGGTGATTTTTATTTTGACAAATCAATTCCACATTTATGGGTGAAGTTTCAGGATCTTCTATTTGTGTATAATAAGGAAAAATTGGCATCTAAATTTCCCCATAACGTAATAGCACACAGCTTGGCATATGAAATATCCTACAAATGAAACAAAGCAAGACAAACCGGTTTCTAATACAAGGATTTATATTGGCTGTTGTACATGTATTCTTTGAACGCAATCACTCTTTGGATAACGTTTTCAAAATCATTATAAACGGATTACTTTATCTCAAAGACAATTTCAATAAACTGGATTTTACAGAACTCCCCTTATTTCTTAAAAATGGACTGATCCAGTTGATTCGCCTGGAGCCGCCATATTGTTTTTATACGGGATGCTAATCGGAACCCTTTAAAGGCATCTGGTAGAATCCTCAAATTCTCAGTAGCTGGTGCTAGAGATATAACAAAAGTGTTATGAAAAAATCAGCAGAATTGTATGTAGGCAGGGTAATTAATTTATCATGATGTAATCATCAGCTCCAAGAAACAAAACCTTATTATATAAACTGAGAATCACTAATTCTACCACATTCAAACCAGACAAATATACAATCTTAAATCGAGTATGTTCAGAACAAACATGGAATAATACTCTATAAGTAAGACAGGGTCAGACCTGTGGAACACTTTACCTCACAAAATTACTCATTCTTATACTCTTTTATGATCAATATTTAATCCTGCTTAGTCTTGGCTCATACGGAGAAACGAGTGACAAAACAAATGCCAACTTAATTGACATTAAAAGATAATCTTGCAGCAGAATTAGCAAGACATATGAGGTTATTGCAAACAATTTTAGACATACAAGTGAAGATGTGTTAATTGGATATTGTTCCAGATTATATAAGAATTGCATCATTGACATTAATGTCTCGTTTTTATAACATGTTTGATATAATTACTTATTTCCCTCCTTGATCATGTAAATTACTAAATTAAATAATTTCAGTTGAATAAAGTAAAATATAAGATTTTATAAGCAAAGTTATTTTAATACTGAATGTGTTATTTCAAGTCTATCTGCTATTACATGTTAAAGGTCATTGTTTAGGAAATACTTTGAAGTTATGAAATACTTGTATTAGCTTCAATTATATCAGGTGACAATAGATTAATAATACCACCTTTTGAAACTGAATGCATGAATCCTGGATTTAACCATTTACTATGTTCATGTAGACCTAAGTAGCATAGTCCCATTCAAATCTAAAACAAGGGCGGGATGTCTAGGAGCTAAATCGTTTCATCAGAATATTAAAACATAGTATTTGCTCATTTAATTTGATTCTTGAAAATGTTTTTTTTCTGAACAGTTACTAATTCACAATGAAGCAACAGTGTATCTTTTAGAATCAATATTTTATAATGAAGTGTATTTTTAGAATTTAAATCTTAAATAAAATATGATTAGTGTCAGAATGAAATATATTACATTACAATTTAATAAATGAGAAAAGTAGAAACGGTATACTCTTTTATGATCAATGAGTTTTGGCTCATATGGACAAACTAGTGACAAAAATTAATGCCAACTTTACATTAAAAGATAATCTTGCAACATTAACAAGACAAAATGCCACACAGGTTATCGCAAATAAATGAATAGATAGAATTCAACTATTTACGGTGTTCATTTGTAACGTATTAGTCCTGTTCGTATCTATAACAAGAGCAGGGTGTCTAGGAGCAAAATTATTTCTTCAGAATATTACAGTAATACTAATTGGCCTACTAGTTTTTTTTCTGAAAAAATACAAATTCACAATGACGAAATGAGGTTTCTTTTGGAATCAATATTCTTTAATGAAGTGTATTTTTAAAATTTAAATCTTAAATAAAATAAGATTAGTGTCAGAATGAACTGGATTACATATTACAATTAAAAAAAAGAAATGAAGATTTTATAAGCAAAGTTGTTTTAATACTGAATATGTAATTTCAACTCTATCTGCTACTACACGTAGCCGACGGCGTTAGTTGCGTTCGCGAATACAAGCTAAGACTGCGATATCATAGTGTATTATATTGCACAAATAATCAAATTGACTTGATGTAAAAAAGGAATTAAAATTTATATGCTAATTAGTAAGCTAATCAATATGCATAAAAACGCAGTTGTTATACACTTCTTTTACCCCTATACTCATAATTGAAATACTAGATCGTATTTATTCTACTCTAATTTAGGGTTATGTTATTCAAGTGAAATTAACTCCACTTGTAGCACATTTACATTCTTAGCTTTACAATGATACCAAATCTCTGTTCTACCAAAGGTGAACCCGTTATAAAAATCAGACAATCGCTACTGCACTTAGTTTACATTGTTCCGGTAGTGTTGATTTAATGACTTAATTTGCATAATTACTGTATTTTTTCAGAGAGAGAATGTTCACAGGTAGATATGTGTATTGCAAGTCATAAATTAAACAGAAATAACTGATAAGGGATATTTAACTCCATATAAATACATGAATACTACCAAATGTGCCACGCCCCCTTTCAGAAATATTACATAATTTTAAAAAGACAATAGAAAAAACGCTCAACCTACTACAACTGCATATTTGTGGCTTTTTGATCAGGACATGTCTAACTATCAAAAAATGCAATTAAACATTGTATATACTCCAAAACAAGGTTCAATGATAAATGCTTTGTTTTCATCTAGACTACAGGTATATGTTAGTGTGGCAATTTTGTCCCTTACTCCCCAAAGTACAATATTTACATGTACAGCTAGCCCATTTCACTGTTTTATCAGTAAAACCTAAAAAATAAGAAATCAAAAGATCATTAAGCAATAATATACTTGTATGGAAAAATATATTCCTCTTGAAATTGAAATTGAGAGATGGTGAAAACAGTAGTGGATAGAAATTAAGGTTGTAGCTTAGGTAGAGGCAGGGAGGAAAGGAAAGGGAGTGGAATGTAGAAGACGTGAATGAAAATGTAAGAGATGAAAACCCGGGGATGAAAATGGAAAGTGGTCTGTAGGCATGTGAGAAATGAAAATAAAGGAAATGCACGTGTAAAAGAGAGTCAAGACCTAGCATATAAGGTAATCTTTCATTTAGAGCCAAAATCAAACTATTAGAAAGAGATTGAATAAAATGGCAATGTAGAATATTGGAATGAAAAGGCCTAAGTGGTAAGCAAAAGTTTTGGAGATATAACCGAGACATGGATGATGGGTTAGGGTTAGGTGATGATGGTCACTGATGGGATGGGAATTAAAGAGGGAGTTTCTGATTCTGATTCTGATTTAGGACCAGATACGAGTAGGTAGTTACAAGTTTCACCACCAGGTGGATCGTTCGGGTCATAGCAAGGCGGGTATAGCAGAAAGTTCCCTTTAAATTAAAGGGTCTGATTTAGTGGTTCAATTTTCATATAATACCCTTTGTATCTAATAGTTATGCAATTAAAATATGTCCAGTAAAAGAAAATGTTATATGTCCAATAAAAGAAAATATATTTCATTTTTGTGATTTTGTAACATGGGGTCTATGGGGAATCAACCCGAACTAGAAGACACAATTTCAAAAAATTAATTTTCAAAGTTGATAAACAATTTTTGAAACCATATTTCTAAATGTACTTTTACATGTAGATTTCAAATATGACATCACATTGACTGAATTTTGAATACTTAATGACGTAAATCAAGATTATTTCTACTCGCATCTAGCCATGGTACCATCAGTCCATTATTTCATTTTTGCATTGGCATTGGTTTTCATCTAGGATATGACGAATAAAGGTTTCGAGAGAAGACTGCAAATATTGTTTTCCCTTCAAAAGGAAATCATTGATCCAGTGGCTGATTTCAACAAACCATATTTTGTTGCAGAATAGAGCTCCAGTAGGCAATATGGCCTGTGTAAAAGAAAGAGGATATTCTGGATTTTGAAGCCCTGTGATCGGAGGATGGCAATGTAGTGAAGCCATCTATTATGTTATGCTAACTTTAACTGGTATTATTAAATACTAAAATGAATCTATCCATCTCGAGTTGAATAGGACATTAAATGGGTTAGTCTTGCTTCAAGGCCCTGGACTATATAACAGTTTTTGTATAGAATACACATACGTCTTAAAGAGCATGTGCACGCATCGGGAAACATTGACCTACCTTTGCCAGCCTTAATCCCCAAAAACGAAGTAACACATTTTTCGCTTGAGTTGTTCATTATGATGACTTATCTAGGGGTTTTCAGACAGATATTTTTACAATTTGATAAGAAATTCATGAACTTTTTGTCCTTAAATTTTGTTAACAATAATTTAAGTAGTTCATCCTATCTGACTTTTGATTTCAGATTTCACCTATCATTGATCTTAAAAGACCTTATAAATAAGATGGTGGAAATAGTGAAAACCGATACCAATGAATTGTAAGCTTTTATTAAGACCTTGTACCATGGTCAATTAACAAAGTTGCTCGAGTGTGCGATGCTGTTCCTTGTGTGCCTGTTTCGAAATGTTAATCGATGAATGTAGTCATGATCTGAGGGTACTTTAGTAGGCTATAAATACTTGTACGGAGTAACATTTGCTCCCAAAGGGAAAAAGACTAACTGAAATAACAAAGACAATTACATCTCTGAAGAACATTGAACAGAGTAACTTATTTTACATACATACATAAAGATAATGCTTTGACGTCTATTATATCCTAAAGACAGCCTTATGTAATCAAATAGGTGACTTGTAGATCAACGAAATTCCCCTTCCTACAAGACGTTGTGAATTATCAAAAGTACAGAAATTTCAAAAGTTACTATAAGCCAATTCTTGTAAAATATCTGGGATAAAAATGAGTTTAATGTCTCTAAATAGGTCAAACAAACAAACAAACAAACAAACAAACAAACAAACAAACAAACAAACAAACTTTTATCTTTTACAATGACAATTCGCTAAAGACGTCGATTCTTATGATGTTAATCTTCTTTTTAACATTGTGTTACTCTATTCAGGGACTTAAAAAAGATCTCTAAAATACCACATACACTTATATTTAGTTAGATTTATTCTTAATACTTGCTGTTGCGCACTGGTTAATACTTTGGGCTTATATATTTGAGGCCAATCTTATCAATTTAGTCTGCCAATTAGAGTGCTAAAGAATATTTGCATTTACTACACTTATTAATCCATAAATATTTGCAATTAATCCAAAGTTGGCCCACTTTAATTTATTCCATACGTGGTGGAGCTGACGGTCAACTTTAATAGATGATGCCAGCATTTCGCTTATTCATATTGGTAATCACTCACAGTTCTTGATGTACGGAAAGGATTTGGCCTTGGTGCATTATCGAATGGATTACTATCTTCATCTTCTCCAACCGGATTGGAATCTCTAATATAAGACCTTGGTTTATTATTGTTAGCATTAAATGGATTATTCTCATTAACAACTATAAATGGACTGTTCTCAATATCACCATTTCTCGTTGGAACATGATTAGCACTTTCTAAATTAAGGTCCTCCGTTGATAAATCTACTTCGTATATATTAGGATCGAGGATATCTGGTTTTGTAGACAAGTCAGACGGTGATTCTATATCATTCGGTGTAGTAAGTGGTGAAGTTGGATCATCTCCAGAATGGTTATGTAAATCAGGACTGGTACTGTCGTTACCAAGAAATGTTTGTCCCGTCGCTTTCAGAGCGTCTCTATTCATAACACTTCTATTCATTACACTCCTATTTCTCAAGAGAGGAGACATTTCGATTGTGTTTGATTGGTTGCCGTTGGCGTTGTTTTCTTTATGGGCAAGTCTTGTGTATCCCTTATCGCGGAAAATATCGTCAATGCTGCCACGTGCTATGTCGTGGCGATTGGTTTGTCGTAGCTTTGGTTGACCTCGACGTCTTCGCCTGCATCTGAAAGGAAAAGGCAACATTCAAGTAAGCTGTAGTCTTGTGACTCAAAAGACTGAAACCATCAGAGCCAGAGCTGTTTCATTCATTAATATTTTACTCTATAGGCCACGTCCAGACGCGGGGGACATTGGTTCTCGGAACATGCAAAATGGTAGCTCATTGGATGAAGTCTAGTATACAAGGCGAACACAAAACGGCCCACCTAAAACTAGAATAAATTCTTTGATGTCTCATTTCAGTTTCAGTTTCAGAAGCTACATTTAATGGTTGGTCTTATTGGTTTAAATATATTACGTTCATTAATCATCGTGCCATGTTTTTTGGGTCACCTTGTACTTACCTGCATATACAGACTATAACGAGTATCAGGATGACCAGTACCAATACACCTGCCCCTGCGGTGATTCCTATGACTAGAGGATCTTTCTTCTGGAAGCCATCGCCTATTGCTTTCCCTTTGAATTGAAATACAAGAAAATCACATATATTTCAAAATACATACTAGTATTTGATTACCTGAAAACGTAGATTATGATATATAAAATGACGTTATTAATTGATAACTATCAGCTCATAAGGGAATACATACCAAGATTAAAGGGTGGTTCCACAGTTGTGAGATGAGTCGTCTCTATGTATGATGTTGTGGATTTCTCTGGAATTAACTTTTCTGTAGTACTGGGCTTTATTGGCTTTGGTGTAGCTTTACTTGTGACTGGCTTAGTTGCTTCTGACGTCGTCGTCAGTTTAATGACTGTCGGCGTTACCTTTGATTCAGTTGATATAACTGTTGTTGTCGGTTCAATTGTTGAAGGCTTTGTCGTCGGCACAACGATTGAAGTCTTTGTCGTGGGTTCAATGGTTGAAGGCTTTGTCGTCGGGTCAATGGTTGAAGGCTTTGTCGTTGGTTCAATGGTTGAGGGCTCTGACGTCGGCTCAATGGTTGAAGGCTTTGTCGACGGTTCAATGGTTGTAGGTGTTGTCTGCTCAATTGTCGCAGGCGCTGTTGTTAATTCAATTGTTGAAGATGCTGTAGTTTTCTCAATTGCAGTTGACACTGTCGTCGGTTCAACTGTAGGCGTTGTTTGTTCAATGGTAGATTCTGTAGTTAATTTTTCTGTTGTCGACGGCACAATAGTCTTTGGTTCAGTTTTGGAATGTTCACGATTTAGTGGTTGCACCGTTAACTGTTCAACATTTGTAGAATTCATCGAAGGTCTTATTAGTTTAATTGTAGGTTCTAATGCTTGAATTGTGGTGACTGGGGATGGTGTTTCCGGTTGGGTTGTTGCTGTGGTAACTACCCCGTCAACATCCCTTACACCTGGAGATTTTGTCTCTAATATACTTCCCGGTTCCTCTTTAATTGGGCTACGAGTGTGGATCATTATTGCTTTAACACCATCAGATTTAACATCTGTAGAAATAGTACTCTCTGTTGTAACATCACCTTTCGATTTTGCCATTCTATCTGCAACATCAGTTGCGTTTACACTGTCAGCTTTAAGTACACCATCTTCTATGTTTATGTTATCAATATCATCTGACATTGTTGATACTTCATTGGCTTTCTTATTTTGAATAGCATCAGTGGAATTAGATTTCACTTTATTAGTGAGTGATGTTAAAATCGGTGGAGTAATCGGCTCCTTGGTTGTAAGCTCCAACGGTTCCTTCACTCCCGTTTCCATATTGATGTCATTCAAGGATTGTTGTGTCTGTTGTGGTCAGTCTGCGTAGTAATACGAAATCACTTCCTTTATTTTGTTTCAATTTTGTTCATGCATCTTCCCTGAAGAAGAAAAATAAAAAACAAGATTACTTCCTTTACGATACAATTTAGCAGTTCTGTTAAGCCATAAAATAGAATGAATGTCAAAAATTACTAATACAATATTTGGCTAGCTAATACACCAACAGAAGTAAACCTAATGAATGTTTGTATAGAAACACGCAATTGTGGTTATCCAGTCAAAAAACTTTGCTTCCTTTTGTAATTCTGCCAGAAGATTCGCCAATATGCCAATCAATTGAACTTCCTTATTAATCCTTTAATGATATTCAAATGAATATTGCCATGTCATCTCGTGGTTTTAATTCTGATAAATGACATCAGTTTGAAAAAGCCAATGACTCAGATTTAATATCCAATAATGATACTTCCAAATACTTCATGAAACTATAAAAACAAAGTAGAAAATATGTATGCTGTGTATTTCATATTGACAGTACGTGTAGGATCTGTGAGATGGTGGCAAAGTGATTCGAGGCATTACACCCGCAAGAACAAATGATGCCAAAGATAAAATAATGATGATGCCCATATTTGACATCGTCATAGATTAGAACTGACAATTTGTACCAACATGAATTTACTCTATACAAGTTAGCTATGCATGGTTATAGATGTGCCAAACATAGTTATATCTCTAGGAACACATATTTTCACAGAATCCGTCATATTAATCAATCAATTGAAGGGCTCAGAGGGTCCCATATCATCATATAGTTTTCATTGTATGTTTCGCCTGGCTTCATTTCAATTATACGTTTCAAGTGGTGTATTTATCTATTATTTGGCACAATAGTCTGCTATTTGAAGCATTTACAGTTAATAACGAGGACGAGGAGAGTTTAATCATGTGAACATAACCAGTACTGATTTTAATATGGACTAAAAAACAAAAATATGTTTTCGATGAAACATTTAATTTTTGCGGACATCTGAGAGTTCCTTTTGCAATTAATCACTAGCGTGGTTTCTGATGTTATTCTACTTAATGCCATAAACATAAGTTTCCATCCAACTCAAGTTCGTTTTAGTTTAGTTGGTTTTATTTTTCTTTTATTTCTAATTCGTCATTTTAATGGTATTCATGCCAAAACTAGTCGCTCAATTTAGATGTAATATCTTTCCTCAAAATTGCACATAAGTTTGGTAATTCAGTAATTCAGTAATAATCTATAAATGATTTCATCCCATAATCGGCCAGGTCTCTTCTGTTTTAATTAAGCTAGACAACTGTGAAATTGCATCTAGTAATTGATTTATAGAAGTTCTAGAGATAGGCAGCGTTGTTGTTATATTCATCTTCTCATTTGGTTTTAATGTAATTTGTATTCGAGATTTCTATACTTTGTTAAAAGCCAACATTTTGTTTTTTATTTGCTGTTAAACACACACATCTTTTTGTGTGATACAACAGGAAGGCGATTATTCATTCACAATTCTAATCCAAATAAGTGGCGCACAATGTTGACTCTCTTTATACGTAAATAAACAAAATAAACAAAATGTTTAATGCTAAGTCTGTGTGAATGAGACCTGAAGTCATTCTAGCGGGTTTTAACGGAAAGTGAATGTTCATCACCCGGGGTTCATCATCTGTCTGGCTCAAATCACATTCTATCAAACTCATATATCACAGATAATTTTAAGATGAATCTGATTTTAGGACAAAATTTTTACAGTAAGATTTATCAGAAAAATTCTTTTCGTGATTTTGATATAATAAAGTAGCAAGTTTTGTTATAAGTCAATACATTGAATGATTACACCTAATCTGAATCTATCTAACATCCCCCCATCTCGTATGATGATCTCCAAGAAAACCCACTCACTGGAATTTCCTGGTAGTTTTTAATCACACAAGGGACGATCGTTCACCATGGCCCAATGTTAGGGTGTTACGTTGGGTTGGTTTCCAAATGTTTATGCCAAATGTTTCTTTTTCAACGCCCGATCACCTCTACAATGACATTTAATTCAATTACTAAAGATTTATATATTGCCTGAATGACTACATTTGTTACTTACTAAAAGACCAAGATCAATGGCTCCTTATCATTCCTAATCTTACATTATTAATAGTTTTTGCCTATTTCTGTGAATGACTATCCATTATTGGTTCTAGGTCAGGTAATTTGATTGCATGATGTAGAAGAGTTAGTTCGTGATAACCACGGCAGAATTAAAATGGAATCGTACAGACATAATGGTATAAAACATATTTTTGTATAATCGTAATTTATCCTGAAAATCCAAATACAGGAGTGATTATCACCTTCTGGGACCCCAGTGAATGCGTATCCCATGACCTAATACAGGGGCGGATCTGGGAACCAACAAGGGGGGGGGGGCCAAATTTCAGGTCAGAGAAGAAAACGTCCGCGCTTGCGCGGAAAAAAATTTTGGGCCCCTAAAACGCAAAAGTGGGCCCAAATTTTGAAATTTTGAGGCCCATTTTCTTCAAAATTTGGCCTGAATTTAAAAAAAAGGCCTTAAGAGGCCCAGTAATGACCAAAAAGGCCGACTTTTTGGGGGACTTAAGGCCTTTTTTGGCCCAAATTTTTTTTTTGGGCCCAGTTTTTTTTTCTGGGCCCACCAAAGGCCCCCTAATCCGCCAGTGTAATAGAGACGCCTCCTCTCAGTTGTGCTCATTTTCCAAATAACATTAAAGTTACTGCATAAAGATACATATTCAAAATAACCACCAATATTACCAATCCCATACACAAACAATAATTAGTGGGGAAATAATTACAGTGACATCTGTATATCCGAACACCTCTCAATGTGAACACTTTTTGGTCCCATTTTTATTAACCTTCATGTTAAAAAACCTCGCAATGTGAACATTTTGCATTCTGAACACTTTTGGCTTTAATATAGTAATAATGAACTCGCAATTGCTCAGCGCCAGCAGTCCTCATGTGCCCAGGACACCTCATGTGAACCATGGTGAATTCACGTACAAAACATACTGTTGAAAAATATATAATGTTACATTCCAAAATAACTTGGATACGGATCATAAAGCGTGATAAATGCTATGATTCTTGGCTTCGATCATAATATGACGACATTTGAATTATCCATCTTGCATCTTGTCACGCTTTAACAATGAACTCATTTCATCATACTTAGTACTTACCACATTTTCTTACAATGTCCTCTTATCAGTTAGTCCCAAGCATATATTTTAAGTTTACAAGTAGGTATAATATATCAGGACAAACAAGCCTTTATTACAAGTTAAGATTAGTCAGGTCACTTCGTCCTTGATAACTTCATAACACAAAGTTGACTATGGAGTTCTATTCACCGAATGTGTGTGTATGATTAACTTACCATTCGATTCGTCATCGTCCAACATTCTAATTGCTCAATCCAGTCATTACTAGTATTACTACCTTCCCTAATCCACTCCTAGTGTTTACTGAAAACTTAGATCACTTTCAAGATGCGATCATACTTTCATTTTAATATAAATTTTATTAGAAGGTCGATATTCATTGAAAAAACATTGATTGTGACTTATAAAGTAGGGTTTAATACTATATATACCCCCTGCGTTCCAAATACACCAGTTTAAAATGTTTCAACAACGTAGTATTGACTTGAAATATTTATTGATTAGAGCCACTGTGAGGCACCTCGTGTAGTTGAGTGTATAGTCCAAAGTTAAACATAATTTTAAGTCCCGATAACAATAATTTTAAGACTTTAAAATTATATTGAGATAACTTATTTTCTTATCAGCTTAAACATTGTATAGAAGTTACATACAAGTTACATGTACATATCTACACATTCCAAACGAACATTTATAAGTTTTTCAATTCCAATCTACAATGTCTCTTAACTATTTTATTTTTTCGTCCACTTTATTCTCTTGCTGTAAATGCAGTACAGAATGTTTTACCAACCAAACAAAAAACATGTTAACAATGCCAAGAGTCACAAGCGTGAAGGACAAAATGTTTAGAAATGTAAAAACGATTTCATTTTTTCGTAACACATCTTCAAGTCCGGATACTCCCCCATCCAAAATAATTGAAGATTAAGATCCAGACATCCTACCCCATTGCAGTTAACGAGTTAGTTAATAGTTATTAGTAGTGCATTACGGTCTCCAATTTATAGCAAGTTTTAGTGAAACGTATTTTGATTTTTTACACTGAAAGAATCTAAAGAAGCAAGTGACAAGAATACATACCGAACATACCTGATTTGCAGTAAGGATAAGTTCAAGGTTGACGTTCCTTATCCAATATCCAAATAAACCACACTAGAGTTTATGTCTCCATAATCAAATATTAAAGTTTATGTACCACATAAATCCAATCGGCTTAACGAATCCTGACCAATGTGTACCAAACTGCGTTTCACACGCATATGGCGGCAATCAAAATAGTGTAGGTATTAAAAAATCAAAAATTATGATTGACTTTTAGCTTCGAATTAAGCCGAAGGCTGCGAACGGTTGATTTAATGCTAGATAAAATAATTCTTTCAAGTGCGTGTCTTTGGTTTATAAAATACTTGACAAAAAATTGACAAAAAACTTAATATGCATTCACTTATATAGCCATGATCTTCTAAATGCAGGCACTTCCTCCTTTCAGATTTCTATGGTTATAAATGGGAAACGGTTTCACTTGTTGAATTTAATGTGAACTGGTACACATTTACAGAACATAAAATAATTGTTTGACACATTCTTTTTTCACAATTAAAGTAGGTAAACCTTTAATGCTTTGGGAAATATCCCCATGCAATGATATTTATCAAATTTTATCCATTCCATGAAAAACACTGACCTCATCGCTCCAGGAACTTTTCATGGCTAACTTTGAGCGGGATATTAACGAAACTATGCAAAGGTCGAGGCTCTTTAAACAGAGGCATAGTAACACTAACGCAAATTATACAGCAATTAAAAAAATAGTTACATCGAAAAACACCTGTGTTCCCCAAACATTGTTTACAATTCACTGTGTCACCGTTATTTTCAATTTCATCCTCCGGCTTGAGGAGATCTTCAAAAATAGTCTGATCCAGCCTGAGAATTCTTGCGATTCTTGTGAAAGAGGTGATATGTACATGATGTATGTACTACTATCATTCACCTATAGAACTCTGCAATACATACCCCTGGTCACTATCCTTAAGCTGCTGCCCACTGTTCATTCACAAATTAACCTTTCTAATTATTACATCATATTACGAACGTATATCACGGGATACTAGAGTATCCGCGTATATTGAGTATGACCGGTTCTAAGCTTACGAGTGTGACCGTATTTCTGTTCCTATAAACAGACGAGGTGAGTACTTGATTTTTATGAACACTTTCGAACGTTTTCTTTTTATTTTCCATTTTTAAGCAGCTGTGCCTCTCATGACTTTCCAAAACAGGTCATATTCGTAGCCTAAGAACCGGTCATACTCAATATACGCGGATACTCTAGTTACCCGTGTATATGAAGAATTATACTTGTAATATTTGGTGATATAGTCTTGCTAGTATGTACTTCACCTCGTGAGTGAAGTTGGTCGCGGGGGGAGGGGAGTCCAGGGTCTTAAGCCGCGAACACTAGTTGTAATATATAAGTTTGTAATACTGATGTAAATTCAATATTAAAATTACTAGGTTTTTGTACAGGAGTTTTTTTTAACTATAAGTACATACAGTATGTACACACTTATGACTATAACGAGAGAGCAAACTTGTTAAAAAGTAATTTTGGATTTTTTAGGGGAATTGATAAGAGGCTGTAAATATTAATGGCTCTTTTATTGCTTTGAATCATTATTATATCGAAATATATATTTTATCTACAATAGTGACATCTAACAAAATACATTTTTTGGATTGCAAGGAAAGCATAGGCATGCCTTTTGAAAGGAAAGGTTCCAACGTTTTACACTCTCTAGTTTTTGCTGCCAATATTAACAAAGGGCATCAATGAAGTGAAAGTGGCTTATTTTTCATATTTCAATTTATTTCTCAAACATTTTGAAAACACACCATCAAAACTCTACCATTACATAATCCATTTGAACATGTCACAAATAAATGCCTTTACAATTTAAATGACAAATCCTTCAGTTCCTCCTTCTAATTCACACTTATATACAAACTCCAAGGCTGGGAATCACAGATAAATTACAATTCATGTAATAACTGCAAATACAGGTTTGGGATCTGAACAAAATAACACTCACAAAGACACTTTTACAGTCAACATTCAAACTCAGATAAATGCAAAGTATGACTTAACTTGAGTAGTTGATTCATTCACAAAAGCATAACTGAGTAACTCCTTATAAAAATGTTCTTCACGTATGTTTGAACATTTAGCAGAGATTAGAACCTGTTGTTTAATTTCAAAACACTCTGCTGCCATCTATAACAGTCCACACTCGCCATTTTTAGTGCTGCCATCTATAACAGTTCATTCTCGCCATCTTTTACTGCTGCCATCTATAACAGTCCATACTCGCCAAATTTTACTGCTGCCATCTATAACAGTCCATACTCGCCATTTTTAGTGCTGCCATCTATAACAGTCCATACTCGCCATATTTTACTGCCATCTGCATGTACAGTTGCCACCTGCCATAAGTAAGACTTTAAACTATTTCTCCCATCTACTTCCACCGATCTTTATCCCATTTGCAGTCCACATTCAACTGTATCTGCCATTCTTAGTCCACAATCCATATATACTTGCACTGTCTTGCAGCCATAAATGCACACGACATGAACTACTAGCCAAGTCCAGCTCTCCAAGAAGGTACAGCCCTACAATTAAAAACATAATACAAGGAACAATTTATTTTTTATATATGTTTTCAGCTTTTAACTTACAGCTATTTTACGCCGGTGTTGATCCAGTTGGTTAATTAAGAGTTGTTTTCAAATGCCCATTCAAACTTTTGAGCATAGAATATTGGGCAATATCTCAGCTGATAACTAAGTGATTTAGAAACCATTCAATTGCCCAAGCATTACACATAGAACTAACTATATACACCCGCATTGAACATTGATATAATTGATGAATAAACAACTATGCAAACTGTAGAATGTGCTTTTCTTAGAGAGGTTTTGGAAGGACAATGAAAGGTGTTCTACTTGCAAAGGTGTTCCACTTATAGAGGTATTCCACTTATTACAGATTTTACTGTATAATGTACTTTGAAATCATGGCTTTAATTTGAAATATTGACTTACTTATGTTGCACATGTAGGACCTGTCCCCCGGATTTAGTCTGATCTTTCTGTCTCTCCTCCCAGCCCTTGGTTGGCTTTAGTAATCTATTTGGATCCCTTGTTACATGTACCTTCACCTATAGCATAATAAATATGGGATTGAGTAACGTTATATAAACTTATTTTTTTAAATCTATTGACACACATGGACATGTAGTGAATGAATAGATCATATATTTTCCCATGAGTTGCCACATGTTGAACTAATGACTTAAGGTAGAATTCACTGTCGATCAACTTTTTTTCTACTATTCAGATTTTCTTGAAAAATCTAGGTGAAAGATATACTGATGAATAACAAAATATGTGAAATTCAGAGATTCACCGTTCTGTTATTTCTGGAAAAACATTTGAATTTAACATTGATTTGATGAGAAAATGATTTTTTTAAATAAAAAAATTGCACAATTCAGATTGTTATGTTATATGTACATGTATGTAATCATGAATCAAAGTATCTCCTTAGGCACATAAACTTTTACATCTAAAGATAGATGTCGCACTTACATGAATTTCCCTAACTGGATTTGTTAGTTTTTATAGTAAATATATAACACAGATTCTCTTTAAAAAAATTGTGAGCATTGTATGGGAAACCAAAAGTATTCAAAAATATATATATATGAAAATTCACTGTTCGGATCTTGAGATGAATCAGTGAGATGTATTGTGGACTGTTAAAAATGAAAAATAGATTCTGCAGGGTTTCGAACCATGCGGCACTTGATAAATCAGATAGTATCGATGTTTTATTCAGTTTTCATTTTTGGAGTTAGAGGGAGGGAGGTTACTGAACATGTCTGATTTTTACAATCTGTTAGCTGCATACAAACGTAACAATGGTACTCTCCAATTGCATGGTTGTAGCATCATCCTCCATTTGAACTTATGTAGAGCCCCTGCATTTGGGGGATGCAGTTAGCCCAATACTTAACATACCTGGCCTTTCAAACGTTGGAGTCTCTTTTGTTTCTCTCTCTCCTCCTCTGCCCTTTGTCTCTCTTTCTCTAGTTTGCTTTGCACAAGGTGGTTGTCCTGAAGAAAATTTAATACGTTTAACTCTAGCAAAAGTTTAAGATGGGATATGCTATGTGGCACTTTGGGCTTAAGTAAATTCAGTAATTTTGAAATATATTCTGAAGCTGATCAATCTCATATATTTAATATCCGATCATATATACAAAGAAATATATGATTTGTTTTAGTCAAGTTAAAGCCCCTACCCTTTCTTTGAATCGGGCGATTTCCTTATTCCCAATGCGTCTTCTAATATCCTCATTGGCTTGTTTCTCCATGAATTCAATCTCTTGTTTAATCTGCTCTTCTTCGTCTTTCTGTTGTTTGTAGTCAGCCACCTTGGCTCGCATTTCACGCTAGAGCAAAATGAAACAACTCAACTTGAAGTTTTATATTATTTTTGAAATTCAACAAATACTAAGCCTGAGGTTGAAATGTGAATGTTGAATGTGAGAGAAACACTGCTTTTATCTTAATTGGTTGAAATCAAATTCTTCACACTATTTCTCCGTCTATTGCCTATTCACCTGTCTTTCTTGACTCTTTTCTTTTTTCCTCATTTCAATGAGCTGTTCTCTCAATTGTTTTTCCTCCCTCTCTGCCCGCTCCAGTTCCTTCTGAACCTTCCATGAGTTTAACTGCCCAGCTCTCTCCCGTCTTTCTCTCTCAATCTTAGCTTGTAACGCCATCTTTTTCTTGTCCTCATCATTAACACTGTCATCTGAGGAATCTGACTGGTTAAACACCTCATCTTTTTCCTCCTGAAAATATTTTTATTTTCTTTCTTAATATCTGAGAATGCATGTCATATTTCAGAAATTATTTCAAGTATATGTGATGCAGGCCCCAAAAGGCCCTTCATAAGGCTGAAAACAAAGTTTTCTTAAATATTGTAGTCTCATCCAATGTTATCAAAATCTAGGATTTGTGGAACTTTGAAAGATTGGCTTGGGTTGAAAAAGAACACATTAATAGCACATAAAAGTGGTTCAAAAAACATTAAAGTTGCTCACAAAATAATATTAAGATATATTCTATTTTGAAAGAAATATGTTTGGCATGTACAAATGTTCAGAATGTCAATACAGTTAATATATGTATGTATAAATACCTGCTTTCTGTCTCTCCATTTCTGTATGGCTTCTTTCTTCCTGTCATTGAGCATCAGGAACTCCTGGTACCAATTCTCATGGTCCCTCACCTCATCAGCTGTCTTTGTAGGAATTGCAGAGATTGCTTCACGGAGGAATTTAGTCTTACCCTGCAATTTTTTTTATTTATCAATATCTTTTTTTTCAATTAGCAATTAGAAAGAATTTCAGACTTGTTGCAAGCTATTAAAACAACAAAATATTTTATATTTATCCACTTACTGCATGTACATATAATTTTGAAACGTAAAAAACTGATTATTTTCACAGGTAGGGATCAAACAGCACTATTCTGCAAATACCGCACGATCCGGTAAAAAAATGTTATATTTTGGAATCTTTTTCAAAATGAAGGTTCTTCTTGTTTGTAAGTCCATCAACCTAGTTTATTCTTGTTATATATAATCAGCTAACGGAATGTGTTTCTCATCATCTGTGTTTGTGAGACTGCACTGACTTGTTAACATGTAATTACGTTATAAAATGCTCTATGAATAATGGGAAAATAAAGATATAATAATGAGATAAGCTGAAATCAGACATGGGTGAAAAGTAGAGTGATTTGACTTAACAGACGGTAAACAGATAAGATAATTATCGTAAATTGTGTTTAGATGCAGTTTTATGACCTACTTGAATCAATGTGATTTTTACCTCAAATTGAAAAAAATAATGATAAATATATTTCATTACGAAAGAAAATATGGATACATGATTTTTTAACCGGATTATGCAGATTTTGCAGGAGAGTGCTGTTTGATCCCTATATGGGATTTTGAAAATTTGTTGATTCACTTTGTTTTTTCTTTTTCTTTAAGCTCCTATTTGGTTATTCTTGATCTGCCACAGTTTTCTCACCTTGTGTTTATTCCTAAACTTCATGAATGTTCCGTGATCGTAATCATCCCAACCTCCCCTCATTCCTCCTGTTTGCTGTAGGAATCTCTGCAACAGTCAAAAACATATTAATTAATAGAAGTAAATTAAAGGCAGAATCTGATCTATAGGGGGTGACAAAATTACAAGCAACATGTATATAATTGATATTACCAATCTATTCCTTACAATATCAAATACAATGTCTCCCAAAAGATTCACAATATGTTATAAATTGGTGAAGTTATTCATGATTCAAAGTGCAAAAATGTTTAAATTCTCCCAAATAATAAGAATGGTAACCATTCTTATAGAAAAATAATACACTATTGTAAAAATCTTTCGTTTTCCTTGAATAAAGTATGCACTTTTGTGATTTTTAGAAAATAGACATGACAAGGAATGACATGAGCCAAAAATATTCTAAAATTGAAACAATTTTTTTTAGCCTGCTCGCTATATCTGATTCTCTCTTTAACTTCAGCAGGACTATTTCATTAATATAAACTACTTAACAAAGGTATGTTTTTCTGCAATGTGCTTAAAAGAGTATGTGCATCACTGACACTTGTATTCAAAAAGATTTCAGATTAAATTCTAACAAACTACCTCAACCAAACCCTAAAAAAGGAATGTATACACTGTAAATAGCGTTTCAATCGTTTCAATTACTCAGATGCGAGAAGGTAGTTACCAGTTTCGCCACCAGGTGGCTGATTCGGGGGAAATAACATGGCAGGGTATTACAAAGTTCCCTTACACTTGAATATTCATCAGTTTTAGTGGTTTACTAAATCATATTACCCTTGTGTGTCATACAGTTATACAAATTAAAATATGTCCAGTAAAGGAAAATATTATCTGCCGAACACAAGAAAAGATATTTCACTTTTTGTGATTTTACAGCATGGGGTCTATGAGGAATCTCCCCGACCTAGAAGTCACATTTTCAGAGAAAATAAAATTTTAAAAGTATAAAGTCTTTTCAAAACCACATTTCTAGATTTAATTTTACATGTAGATCCCAAATATGACATCAGTTTGACTGAATTTTGAATTTTTAATGACGAAAATCAAGATTGTTTCTACTCGCATCTAGTCTATTGTTTCAATCAACTCAAGCATTTCGGCCTTTTCGCCACCGTTTCAAGCATTTCACCTGGCAGTGCATACATCCCTTAACAAATGTTTTTATATTTTACCTCAAATTCAGCCACTTCAGGAGGGAGATCTTTTGTGACATCACGCGCAGACCTGACAGGTTTGAAAGTGGGCCTGGCTGATACAGGTGCGGGCAATTGAGACCATGATTCAAATTTCTTCTCCAGGGCTAGGATGTCTTGTTCATTTGACTTTTCTTCATGAAGAAGTTCTTCATACCTTTAACAATAATGTGAGGCAATTAGTGATGTGAGGCTACTATGCAGCTCTTCCTCATAACATACAAATGATGTGAGGCTATATGTCAAACTTTCAATAGAAAGAACTTTGCGAAGAACATTTTCATCTTAAGACCCAGTTACACTTCCCCTTTTCACCATTCATTATGTCATTAGTAGGGTATAAACTAAACATGAATGTGTAAAATGACAACTAACATTGTTGAGTAGATTGTGACCAGAGTTCAGTAACTTACATGAGTCTCTGCTGCTGTTTAAAGTTTGAGATGGTCCCTTCAATATCTTCCATGATAACCTTTAACTTCTCAACAACTGGAAAAAATATACAAGGAGAATTTTGGCTTAACTGCGAAGAACATACATGTAATCATCATAATGGAACATAATCATCAAAATGGAAGGGGTGGAGTCCTCAACTGCAACACCAAATTTGCATAAATAGAAAAGGACGTAATATTAGCAACTTTGTATTTTTAACAGGCTACTAAAACCCAAAAATTACAAAACCTTTTGTGCATTATTATCGCTTTCAGTTCATAAGTATTTACCATATATACTAGAGATTTTATTTAACTTACACTCGGGTGTAGGTTTGACATCTTTAAGTTCTCTGTGAAACTTCCTCACATTTGTTCGTATCTTGGTCAACTGTTGCTGCAGCTTGCTCTCTGGAAAATACCATAATATAATACAAGTGCAATGGCGTAGCGTCATATACGCATAAAACGCCATGGCGTACTCTCAAAATTTAGAAAACAGTTGATTTTTTATATTGATTTGCCCCACACTTCAAAAATGGCTAATAATTTACATTCTATTCGTCCATAATAGTCGGAATTTCGTATTTCAAACGCCCCGGAACGCTTCAAATGCTATCTCATTTTCTTTTTCACTTTCTTTTTTTTTCTTGGGGGGACCTCCCCCGAACCCCCCTCAAAGCACGTCTATTTCGCTTACTCGTGGCGTACACTCACAAAATACCCACGCTACGCCACTGAGTGTATAACTTCAAGTTATACTACAGTATATTATGCTGTTAAGTAAAAGTTAGCCTTGCCCAAGTCGGTCTCTTTTACTTATCTGGTAATAATTCAAGATCAGATAAATAAAGTAAAATTGTATAAGTTGTGAATTTCTTTCTATCATGCATTATATATTATTTCAATCTCTGACAGATTCAAATATGTGACCGAAAAAAACTTTTCAAATTCAGAGGTGTTCAGATGAGAGAGGTGTTCATATTAGAAAGGTGTTCAGATTAGAAAGGTGATCAGATTAGAGAGGTGTTCATAATAGAGAGGTGTTCAGATTAGAGAGGTGTTAATATTAGAGAGGTGTTCAGATCTACAGGCTTGGCTGTATTTAATAAACATAATAGACTTCTAATCAGCAATCAGGTGCGACTATTAACACTAACACTGCTATCATTATTGGAACACAATGCTGTTGTAGCAGTAGTAAAAGTACAGAGAGTCAGAATGAAATAGGTGACATAAAGGAAATGTTTAAATATACAACAATAGAATTCTTCATATAAGAAACATGGTACAATTTTTCATCAAGTCGTTGTCCTGATGTTGCAAAATAGATAATTTTAAGGAAAATTATGCTGCGAGACACCACAGGGGATGAATGGAAAATGTTAACCATCAATACTTAATACTGTGATATTGAAAAATGGAGAGCTCTAAATGCAATGGCACAATTTCTCCACTGGGGACAAATGGAACGACTTTACCCTCAATGGATCGCGACTACCCTGATATCGTAGGTGTCATAGTAACAGTATGTATGATGGTTGCTGTTCTCATAGTAACAACAAATACACTGACCATAACCTGCATCGCTAAATTCAAACATTTACAACGAGTGAATGCAAACAAATTCATACTAAGTCTGTCATGCGCTGACCTCATTCTGGGTGTTGCATTACTGACTTGCGCATTCAGGTTCTATGCACCAGATTTCATGTTCTACAATGGCGATAGGGAAGCTGAGCGGATCTCATGTCTCATTTGCCAACCTCCAACTACATTAGGAGCACTGTCATCTATAATTAATTTCCTTCTTGTTGTAATTGAACGATTTATCTCGATAGCCAAACCATATTTCCACACAAGATGGTTCACGGAGAGAAACAGTAAGGTCATTATCTGCATCACATGGACATACATCATAGGTTGTACCAGCTATATGACTGCTAACACGGAGTACAACTATGGTGACTTGTGTCTGTGGGTCGTCATAGACAGGAAAACATTTTTACTATTAACAGGTCATGTATTGAGTGTCCTTGTACTTAGTACGTTAGCATACACATACATCTTCATCATCGCTTGGAAACAGAATAAACAAATCCACCAACAAGCTTTGTCCGTGTCCAACAGTACAGGAATTACAACCAATGACTACAGACTAACCAAAATGATCGCCTGGGTGTATGGAGTTTTGATGATATGTTTTATTCCATTTATAATCAGCACAGCTCTGATGGGGCAATACGAGCATGCACCTGTATGGCTACAGGTCATTTATAGATTTTCAGCCATTTTTATATATTGCAATTCATTTTCAAATGCATTTATCTATGGGTTAAAAAGCAGGGACTTAAGACAGGCTTATAAATGTCTACTTGGCTGTAAAACTGCAGAAATCAGACAAAATGACTTTAAGAATACAAATCAAGCAGATGTTAGAGTTTAAGAAACTGCCTGGTTTCGGCAAGGGAAAGATCAATACCCGGTGATTTCAGCGGGAAGTGGCGTTTCGTTCATTGGATGAGCTGCGCGCGCACGCATAAATGTGATTATCCAATATAATTAGGGGAGGGCTATTTGAAGTAGTTTTTGGTCTCAGGCGCGACCCAGGGCTGTTGTCTTAAGGACATTTAGTTGAAAATGAGCCATTCGGCTGATAATTGGTAAGAGTTTGCGATCTTATAATGTATAACTGTTACTCAGACACATATTTTGACACGATTCTGTTGGAAATAAGCTTTGAACCGAGAGATATTCACGATTGATATGCACATTTTTGATTGTGCCATTGCTTTTCGATTGCACAATCCATGTATTGATAGAAGAAACATTAATAATACAGATTGGTTTACCTTCAATACATGGCAGACACTACATATCGGTCTATTAATACCAGTTTGTGCCTTAAATAGTTTTATATTTCCATCCACGGCCTGGAGCCTGGGTGTGTTTGTCTCTTATGTGTATGCTTGTGCATGGACTTCTAATCACTAGCAGAATTTAACATGATGCAAACTCGACATTATAACTCATGCTGTAACATTTTGACTTCGCTGGAAAACAATAGGAATTCTTTTTTCTTGCCAATCAATCATGAATCACAATCAAAATTTCAGAATGATCAATCAGGCAATGGTCCAAATCAAGTTATAACATTATATGATATTCAGCAAGAAGTCCGGTAGAAATACAGAATATTTTAACATCAAAGCTGAAAGTTAAAAGCTAATCTGTCAATTTTCTGTCTGCAAAAGAGCGTCCCAAGAGCGTTTACATTTGACACAATAACAGACTGAGGCTTTGAAATCTAGGATTCCCCAGGAAAATATGACGTCATACTAATTAGCATAAGGATTTCCCTATTGGGGTGGGTCGAGCCTTGTTCGAAAACACAATCCATAAATACATGCTAATTTCTAAGGAGATAGGAAGTGTATAACGTGTTTATCGATTTTGTTTAAAGATTTAATCAATTATCAAATTGTTTAAGTGGATAAAGTGGTCACACTTGCTTCAATTCATAGCGAAATCGACGGATAGAAACTGACCGAATTCCCGATATCCTACCCCGTATTACTGTAGGCTATAAGCACAGTGACCTACAGAGGGCGCTATCACAAACAAGTACTGGACGAACCGATAAATTCCCGGGTATTGTAACGCCCTTGGTTTCGGTGTCTATATTGTAACTAACTAGTAACATTTAAAAGCAACTACAGTCAGCAATAGGAACATTCTCCCTGTATTGCCTTTAATTTACTAATACTGACAAAGCCTTTGGGATGGTTTCGCATCATTAATTATGTTTGTGTAATGTACAGTAAAACCTGTACGTCTGAACACATCTCTAATTGGAACACCTCTCAATGTGAACACTTTTTTGGTCTCTTTTTTAATCTGCCATAGAAAACCTCAAAATATGAACATCAACCAATCCAAAGACTTTTGGGCAGTCCCAATGGCATTTGGATTAGGCAGGATCTACTGTACTGTGTGGGTGTACATTGATATAATGAATCAACCCCTAATCCAGAGCCTACTGATGGCTCTGATGCGCACTAATTGATATGCATAAAAAAAATAATAGAATGAAATATTAATGAGGTACATTGATTATTGTCATTTATTTTATGAAAAATAGTACACTAATGGAAAATAAAAGTACAACATAAAAGAGGCACTGTACTTCAATCGCATTTATTTCTCAAATGGACTTTGAATATAAAGTAGTCACTATAAACTATAGGTTCCAAGGTTCTATCTTTACTTCAGCAGGGGTTTCTGCTGAAGTAAAGATAGAACCTTGAATTTCTCACAACAGGCTAAATAAATGAAAACAACAGGCAAAATTAATGAAAATCATGAATTTAACATGGAAAAGTTGAAAAGTCCCTATAAACAACAAGTGTGTGAAAACAAAACAAACGGTGAAAATTGCCTGTTGCCTGCTGCTAATGAAACCCCTGCTTCAGTATTGGAATCAGTGAGAGAACACGAGCAATGAATTGCAATAAACAACTAATTTATTGTTAAAACTGTTCACACCTAATCACTTCAGGTATTCAAAAGGATTAAGTGAAGGATGTTTTATTGTAAATAATTTATAAGTTAAGATTCAATGAAATGAATTAACTCATCAATGGAATGGAACATGAAAGGGAAAATTGTCCAAATGGGAATACACATACAGCGTACATATTTTGAATGAGGACAGGACTGACATAGTTTACAAAATTAACCATATTGTCTTGTAATCATACCCTGGGCATTTAAAGCCTAATTCCTGGAATGATTTATCTATTAAATGCCCATGGGGTATAAGGGAATCAATGTACATACAAAATTATGCCAATGAGTGACATATTGAATATTGTGATGTCATTACAATTATGCCAATGAGTGACATATTGAATATTGTGATGTCATTACAATTATAAAGAGTGACATATTGAATATTGTGATGTCATTACAATTATAGTGATAGAATGTAAGGAAAATATAAAATAAATAACCAAATATTTGGTCTTCCTCTGATCTCCATTAATTTCACAATGATTGAATCTATTACCGGTACTTTCCAATAGCTTAAGAATATTAATATTGTACTGAGGTCATCATCAGATGGGTTTTATGGTACAAATGTTCATTCACCTTCATCAGCTGTCAACTAGAAGTTTGACATCATCATGATAATATGTGCAGTTTGTAATCATATCAATTGTTTTTTTTTTCGTTTAGTTTGCTTTTTTCGTTTAGTTTGCTTTTTCAAAAACTACTTGATTTTCAAACCAAGAAGCATTATAAGATAAGTTATAAGATTTTCATATCAAGAAACATTCCTGAAAATGTTTAATTCTTCCATTTTTTTTATCATCTTTCATATTTATTGTAAGCACAAGTCATTTAGATACAATTACAAGGGGCAAAGCGCTGTAAGCATTAGATGTCCCCTTATATAAATAAACAATAAAGTACAATATTCATTTTAACCTGGATGTCACCTGTAAATGGTAGAATGCCTTGCAATGAAACAAAAGATAGGAGGGCTGCTGATATCCTGGGGGGGGGGAAGTATGTTGAAAAATGGAAACAGGTCATAGGCAGGAAAATATTTAGATTCTGGTTGTGTTTTCAATGAGATAATTCGCAACCAGTGAAAATAGATTATCCATTTCTAATTGGGTTAATGATGGATCCCCAAAAAGAAAAAAGTGAATTTTGTCTTGCTGAGTTCTGAAATGAGTTAATAAGTCCCCATATATCCCTAAAGTATCTGTTATTAATTTATTTCTTTGTTGTTCTTTCAGAGGGCATTTGAAAAAGAAGTGGGGAAAAGTTTCAGGGGAACCACATAAACAATTTGATGACTCAACTGAGCTCCAATTGTGGGCTTTGAGCTGGGCTTTTAAAATTAAATCTACCCTGGCTCTATTCAGATAAAGTTCTTGTTGACGAGTTAATTTTAAACAAATAGTTGAAACAACACCAGGGAACAAATTTAATTGAAGTGTTCTTTTAAAAGATGCAACCAGTTTCCCTGGAAATTCTTGGATAAAACTTTGCAAACGATATTTTGTGAAGGCACAAAGTATATCAAATAACAACCAAAATATGTCCAAACTGATTTCAAACTAAATGGCTACCAAAAATGCAGGATATATAGAGATTATCCAATATGAGGTTCGGGATATTGGAATTATCTCAGGCCAGAATAATATATCTGCCTGAGGGCCATAGGTCCTGAGGGTAGATATAATAATTATATTGGCCAAGGGATAATCCCAATATCCTGAACCAACTATAGGATGATCTGTTTATCCCATACAATCTTGCTCATCTGCTTCACATACGGTAGTTCAATTGGCCTCAGTTCAGAAAAATGCACCAACATGCCAACGGTGATTATGATGTAGTGGGCAGATATAATATACATGTATCTGCCTGCTTAGGCCAGGACATAAAGCTATATCTGCCTGCTGATGAAAATTTAAGTTTTTACAAACCACGACCAAGTATGGGATAAATATATTTCTATCCTGGAAAGCCTTCTGTTTGTACTACAAATAATAAATAATATTTACTTTCAGTTTTCTGATCTGTTGATAATTTTCGGTCCAGCTCTTCCAGATGTCGGAACTCCTCTCTGAAGTCATTGCGTCTGTTGTAGAGGTGGGTTGTCTTCTCTCGCTCCATGTTTTGGACCCTTAAGATGAATTGAAAAAGTATAAATATAGATTATAGAAGTGCATAATAGTACTCTTGTATTCAATAAAAATCAGGAAGTCTTCCTTTGACATGAAAACTGGTTTTAAGAGAGGTGTTCACACTTATTTGATGTAAACTGTATTATTCTATGCGTCTATCGATAAAAACTGGCTAGCAACAGGCAGCAGTTGCATGATCAGTTCAGTTCAAACCCAAAAGAATGTATTAAAAAGTAAATAAACAAAAACATGTCTCACTTTATTTCCAGCTGGTGCACTTCCTTGATCAACTCCACCTTTTTAGCAATGTCTGGATTCCGACTACTTTTTGCCATTTTCGCATTCAATATCCTCACACTTCTGTTGTAAAGTTCACAGAGACATCAGAATACTGTTCTGAAGAGAAATATTAACATCTCAATAAGTGGTTGACTGAAAGGTGATGTAGCATGCATACTATATATTTGTTTGTGACTTACATAATGTGTAGTGGGAGAAATATTACAATAAGTATCAACAGAAATTTATCTTTCACTCAAGAAACTACTGTTCAAATATCTAATCACATTTAGGAATAACTCAATTAGGCCATAAGAAGTAGAGAGATATTGAGATATGTTATTTCAGTGTGAAAGACAACTCCAAATTACCAAATCATAATTATACAGAATACCTAATCTATTTATCTAATCCTGGATCCATATCATAACTTATAATCATATAAAATATCATTCAATCATGCGGGTCTAACTCACAGGTACATCAGAACAGATGAGAAATTTGTCATGAAAAGAAAACCCATCTCTCTGACTCTGTATAGTCAACTCTAGCCAAATTTTATAAAGTACTTTGAATTAGAAAATAAGGAGACGATATGATATTAACCACATATCTACTGACCAGTATGTTCAATTACCTCCAGTACCCTAGGTTACCTTGTGAAACTCAGCCAAACCTGACTGTAAAGGTAGCATCACATTGATCATTTGGTGAAATTTAGATCATCCATTTTGCCAGTCACTTATCTGGTCAAGTGTCTCGTTACTGTAAGATCATGAGCTCATTGATGTGTCACTCAACCACGTTTCCAAAGAAAGTCATTCATCAGAAAATGTTTTTTGGACATTTGCTACTACATATAGAAAAGAACATTCCGAGATAGCAACATCAAAAAATTGTAGGAAGGGTGGCAAGCCAATGGCTATTAAAATCAACTTAATTCAAGATATTACGCTATGATACTTACTGATTTATTAATTAATAAAGACGTCAAATGATGCATTGAAATTAAGACGCGCTGATTTAATTAAAATGCTACAAAAACTGGCAAAAACAATGAACTTAAACTTACAGGGCGTCAAATAAGTCTGTTCTGCTTATGAGCCCATATTAAAGCAGATATATAATTTAACAGTGATAGAATTTGAATAGAATATAAATTAAAACCTTGACACTAACAATAAATCTATAGTCTACAACTCACTTAAAATTGAAAGGAAACTTCCTAGTTGGCCCAATTGTACCCCCTAGGAATCCCCTATGTTGAGAGCCACTGTCTAACCAAACCTGAGGTCCAATGCAAAAAAGGTGGATTTACTCAAGAGAAAACATGTCGCTGAATCATCACTTATTATTCATTCCCTATTAGCCATCCAACCAAAACATTGGGCTCCATGTAAACCCAAGTATTTATTTGAAATAAAGAGTACATAACTTACACGTAAAGGTGGTGTTTTGTTTGTGATATTGAAAATGGATAATAAAGTCACGTGATCTGACGTAACACGAGTGTGACACGATAATTTTTAAACTTTCATGGATGAAAATACATTTTCCGGGAATCAATACATTCCAAATATTACGATTTGTTCAGCAGATTTGTTATCACAATGTAGATTACTTAATAAAACTGACGTATCTGTTTAATTAGACTGGAAAGAAATATGGTGGACAATAAATACGATTTTTCAATTAGTTGAACTGAACGAATGTTATACTGAACGAAATAGGCAGACGAGACTTTTCGATATTCTACGAGATTACGAACAGATTGCGAGGAATTTTTCTTATTGCTTCTTGTAAATTGTTTCTTATTTATTAGCCACCATCCAGTGATGGAAACCTAATATAAACACAGAGTTTAATACAAGGAACAAACACGTTAGTATTTTTAATGATGTTTACTCATTCATCAACCAGTGTCACGCGGTACTAACTTCGACCGTTAATTTGAATTTTTGACCTACCGGATGTTTGAAAATCAAGGATTACGAGTATCATACTGCACCATTTTCTTCAAACTTTTTCCATTCAAAGCATAACAAAAATCCCTTTCTGTTGGTACATTATTCTTTTAAACAGAGTCCCTACTTCCAGCGGCATTTTGGCCCCAGGTGTAAGAAGGCGTCTAACAGCTGGGGACCAAAACGCTGCGAGAACGAGGGACTCTTTACAATAAAGTAATGCACCGACAGAAAGGCAATTTTGTTTTGCTTTTAATGGTAGAAGTTTGAAGAAAAACGGTGCAGTATGAGACTCACAATCCTTGATTTTCGAGCATCTGGTAGGTCAAAAATTCAAATTAACGGTCGAAGTTAGTACCGCGTGAGTGTGTTTCTTTCGGAGTAAATCCACCTGTTTTTGCATTGGACCATTATTAGCCTTTTGCGGATTATTGATGTAGATGTAGAAATAGACCTTATTTGGGCAAGTCTACGACGTCAGGAGAAAAATTACAACCACAGACATCTTAGATATAACAAAAACGCTTGCAACAATTATGTGCTCATGTTCGTTTAAAATTAATACCAAATTTTACCTGATCACAGTTCGAATCTTCGATTTTGACCGAACTTAAAAATATTTTCATTTTTGAAAAAATTCAGCATCAGCTACTGGATTACGCAAAATAAACGATCAACATAAACTGCAATCGTATGGAATGAATTTGACCCTCAGACTAAATATATTGCAGATTAAAATAAAAAATAAATAAATATCATCCTTATGATAATTTCACTGTAACATGTGTTGTTATTATGCTTTGATCAGTTGAACAACAATCAGAATGTTCGATTAGTCTGTTCTTGTTGTTTGTCACTTCCGGTTTAGCAAGAAGGTAAGAAAAATTTGTCTGAGACTAAAGCTTTGAATAATTAGCCTATAATACTGTGGAATCACTATATATTTATACTGGTTTGATAATGAAGTGATAGTCGATGTTTTTAATACATTGGCACTCATCACTCCTCAGCAACTAAGCCTAGAACTACTGTTGATCTCTTGTCTAAATTTGCAAATTCATTTCATATTTCATAGAGGGAAAGGGGCAGGGTAGTGATCTTGTCTATGACCATGTGTGTCATTTAGCAAACTAATATTAAAGGTTGAATAAAGACTATAGAAGAAATTTGGGAGTCATTTTACCTTTCCCGAGCTATTAGTGCAACGTTTGGCCTAATGTCTTCTTCGCCATACATGTACCTATTTTCTTAAATATATGCACTTGTCGACGAATACCACCAATCAGACTTGCAAATAGACTTCTAAATAAGCAATTGAAAGGTTGGACGTCCCGCATTTTGTTTTTTGAAACATTTCTAAATCTCCGCCATTTAAAATTCTTGCTGCAGCTGAGATAGGTAAGACCGCATGTTACAGAATAACCGCGGTTGTCTGATATAACCGTATGCATGGTACACGATATGACCGCCGTTGATGGTCTATTACCAGCGACTCTTGCAGTTAATTAGATCCACTGACGAAGAAAAATCTAAGAAAAAAATCTAAGATCTAAAACAATCTAAGACCTAAAACACCTCAAATCTGCCCATATTCAAGGTCTTCTTGACACGCGCATGGTATAAAGGAAACAGAATGTTGGATAGAATGTTAGGTGAAAACGGGGCTGGAATCCAATGACAATATAACCGGGAAATCATTAAAAGGTACGTGAGCATTTTTTCTGTCGATGTCGGGAGAAGATTCCCGGGGATTTAGGATGCCAGTGATTGTGAATATCGGCAGAAATTAGGTACGTTCGGGGGTTTTCTTTGTAGCTAATGAAAATAGATGTTAGCCTTGATGAAATATTCAAAATTCGATATATTTTGACACCAGGACCATGATCGTTGGATACGTCTCTGCACTATTTATTCAACCTTTAAGCCTATTCACACCTGAGTGATTGTAGCATAAATGTGACAATATTAGGGGTACTTTGGTAAATGTTTAATGGGTTGGATTGATACTTTTCTTGCAAAATGTATGGCTATTATGACGTTTGATACTAGTAGAGATAGTAGGAAATATGTTGTCTTCTCAAAACTCCAATAGTCCAACTCATCAGAGCCCGAGCATCCCCGTCTAGTTGATCGTTCATTATCTATTGTAAGGTGGAGAGTGGGGGATTAGCAATTCTTTAGGACAGTACACTTCAAGATGATGTAGATTATGTATATACGTGTAAAATATTGAATTTATTTTCAGAATCGGCTACATTAACCAGCATGGCACCAGTAAACAGCTCAACTCATTGGTGTGTACAGGAGCTTCAGAACAACCCCCCTGAAACATTCCTTGATGCCTCTGAAGTCCTTGTTAAAGTTGCAACAAATATTCTGGACAATTTTGAGAATCCTAAATATCGAAATTTGCGCCTAGGAAATAAGATGGTACAGAATAGGCTGCTTCCTGTCACAGGGGCTATGGAGACTCTTTTTGCTATGGGATTCCAAGAGGTGAATGCTCTTTAATCGCTCTTTTTAAGTGCTATATTTAGAGGTTATGTCACTATTACGTGAAATATGCCGGAGTTCTCCCAATTTAGGCTGACCTTGGGAGGCTCTATATTTGGGCAAGATCAAAGGCATATTTCACGTCATAGTGACATAACTGAAGTATTACATACATTTATTCCCATGGCTACTTTGTATCAATGACATCACACATCTGCGTGCGACTAGAATTTGATCGAAATGAAACACGACGTCATGATTTTGTCATGTAAAGAAATCTAATATCAAGACGAGGTGGATATAGCCTCCTAACTTTCCAATTGACTTCCATGCAAATGCTTAGCCAGGTTTGTAAAACTGACGTGAGTATACTGTATGTATCTGACATTTACGCACTTCATAAAGCTCAGTCATCAGAATTCCAAGAAAACCTTTATACCTTTTTTAGGTAATTATGAAACATTTATTAGTGATGTATGACAAACATCATTGGATGATTGACCATGATTGTATGAAGTACAATATTTTTTATGTAAATTTTATATATGTTTTCTTTGCTTTAGGATGGTGAAAACTTGACCTTTCCTCTTGGTTCAAATGTGGATGAAATGACTCAAATACGTAATGATTTGGTAAAAGAAAGACTTGTTGCTATGAAGCAGCATGAGGCAACGCAACCAGCACAACCAATTGTCCCAGCTCAATCACCTTCTGTTGCACCTTCAGCACAATCACCAAATATTCAGGTTTGGCTAATTTTTAAATTCTAGGCACCAGTTTTTTGTAAATTTAACATCTTTTACATGCTTAAACACAAGTACAATTTTATAATTTTTTGGAGGAATGCAAATCCCAGTAAAAAAGGTCTATTTTATTTTGCCATATGGATCATTCTTCTCTTCAGTGCACCTTTATGAGTTTACTTTTCCAGGCTTCGGAAATGAAGTTCTATGCCAAGTTACAGAACAGCAGTGAGCATGTGATGATATATGAAGACCCAGTGCTACAACAGAAGGCAAGGGACACCATGCCACTTGATGATCTCACTGCTCAAGCCAAGAAGACTCTTGAATATGCTAAAAAGAATTGTACAGATCCCAAAGACCTCCCAGGTCTGCCAGATTGTCTCCTGTTGGAATTAATGAACTGGTTTAAGACATCGTTTTTCAAGTGGGTTGACCAAGAGCCTTGTGATTTATGCAAGGGTAAGACTGTATCTATAGGGATGTTAGAGCCATCTGTTGAGGATCTGAAGTGGGGGGCCAGCAGGGTGGAGGGATATAAATGTAATAGTTGTAATAGGATTGTGAAGTTTCCACGTTATAACCACCCAGGGAAATTGCTTGAATCCCGTAAAGGGCGATGTGGTGAATGGGCCAATTGTTTCACATTGTGTTGTCGTGCTGTGGGTCTTGAGGCTCGCTACGTGCTTGACTGGACTGACCATGTTTGGACAGAATATTATTCGGAATCTGCCAAAAGATGGCTCCATTGTGATCCATGTGAAAATCAATGTGATAAGCCACTGACCTATGAGCATGGTTGGGGCAAGAAACTGTCGTATATTATCGCATTTGCTCACGATGATATCCAAGATGTCACTTGGAGGTATTCTGCCAAACACACAGAAGTTCGCTCCCGGAGAATTGAGTGTCGGGAAGATTGGTTGGTGAAGACCATATTCAAAATGAGGACAGAGAAACAGAAAAATATGAGTGAAGCAAAGAAAAAAATTATGCAGGTAAGGAAAAGTTACTAGTAGTGTTGGGACTCACCACCAAAATCTACTCGAGTAGAAAGATAAATTTGACAATTTTGACGATTTTTAAAAAAGAATTGAGAAAATTAGAACTTGGCAAATCAAGGCATTTGTTGCTACTTACATTGACTTTTTGTTTCATGACCACTCAATTCCCACTTCCATCAAAATTCATTGCGCATGTGCATTTGATAGACTGGATATAAACAAACACAAAAAACAATGAATACGATTCTCATTCTTTATTCTTATCAACTGACCATTAAATCAACAAAACAATCTGCAGAATATAGTCAGAAGTATGTAATTTATTAGAAACAACGCTAAGGCAGCTACAATCCTTGCTTAAATCGTGAGTATGGAGGCTAAATCGTGATTTTTCTCAAATATTTTCAGAATCACGATTTTTAAATTTTCAATCGATTGATCATTTTCTAGGCTCATTCAAGTTCTAGTCGATGACCTGAGTCACTCTTTACACCACTATTCACTAGTATTGAACTAACATGCATTTGGCTGACGAGAAGTGAAAACGAATCAGTCCTAAATGAAAACAACAAAATCAGATATATCCTCAAACTAAAAAATTGTATTTTTATTCATTTATTCTATCAACAGGACAGATTAGTTGTTGAAATGGTTGAATTCTTGACTCCGAAGATTGCGTCTGCTTCAGAAGGTCAAGGTCGCCAGTCAGGGTCCGTTGCATGGAGGTTATCAAGAGGAGAAACCAAAACAGATGCTCAGCCATATGTATTTAAGTGAGTCACAATCCTATCCTAGAAACAATATTGGAAGAATATACCTGTCTGAAGTGACAAAAATGTCCAGGTTTTACAAAAGTGTAATCCAGAGAGACATTGGATTAGAGAGGTGTTTGTATATACAGTTGTCTTTGTATTGGAAATTATTTTTAAATTTCCTTTAAAATTATTCAGTAAAAGTTGTCATATTTCCCCAGCAAGATCCTAAAAGATTATGTTTTATATTTTTTGTAGACTTACTGAGAGTGAAAAGCATGATAAGGAGTTCTACATCACATACAGTGCTGCACTTGATAAATATTGCAGACCCTCTGAGAGAAATGAGGTCACCAACTCATGGAGTTCAATGCTGTCTGAATGCAAAAACATCTTCAGAAAAGTAAGTTTATAGAAATCATAAGAGCGTGCTAAAACTATTTTAGTATTGTTATGCATGCCTGATTAACAGTTTTTGCAAACTTGAAGAGGCAAAGAGTAAGGGATGTTACTGGATGTGGTTCATCGCTTGAATCATTGTCAATTATCATGAAGAGAAACAGTATGCATTAAAAAACAACTTAAGAAATATCATGAAGGATTATATCTCATGGGCATGAAGCATTAGGTTCTGAACAGCTTTGAAAATTTGTGAGCACCGGCCATCAGGAACAATTGTTAAGGTGATCCTGCATCTCCATTAAAAATATTTTTAAAATATGCATATTAAAAAATATCATCCCCAATTCAAAATTTGAGACTTTTTTTGGCTCACTTTGTATATACAGTATCAGTATGAAGAAAACATACATGTAAGAGCAACCACAAGACAGTAGTATGAAATTAGAAATGTTAATTCAATTCTTCTGCAAAGATATAAATGAATATTGCAATAACAAAGATATTATCCAAAAAGCCCATTGATTTCATATAATGGGCGCTGGTGATTTCAGGAGGAGAGAGACTGGAATATGGTATATCTAGCTAGAACTGAGGGCACCCCTTCTGCAAGTATATCATGGACGCTTGATTGTTCAGGTATAGCTACTTCAGATGTAATGTGCTGCTCATATAAAGACACGATATGAACTGATCTAAAATTACATTGAAAGCTGAAAGTAAATTATTAAGTATTTTGACAAATAGTCTGAAATAGATCTCCCAAGTATACCCCATAGACAGTATTTTCTAATTTGAAATATATATTTATTTTCCAGATTCTGGCCTAGCAGTAGATAGTATTGAGATATTGGTGTGTAGCAAGACCTATGAGAATGGCAAGGTGACATGGATTCTGTGTGCTGATGACCAATGCATTCCAGTAGCAGGTGAGCACATTTCATAGGATATCCTGAGCACATTTCATAGGATATCTTGAGCACATTTCATAAATCCTTAGGCTCAGTCAGGGGTAAAATAGTTTGTGTGTTGGTCAGATGAGTTGAATAAAATGCCTGTGTCAGGTTTTCTATGATTAATTTTGGTTCCAAAGAAATATTCAGACATCAATCTTTAAATGATGAAGGTTAATACTTTTTGATTCAGCTCTCTCCTAAACAGATTTCAGTTGAAAGCCATTAAGAGTTAAAATAGATCATAGTTGAAGTTGGACTCTTAGATCACACATCGGAAAATATTTCATGTTGAATCAAAGAGGTAGTAGATCACATTAGAATGTTTTTACTTGCAGCCAATAATAGAAAGACTATAACTGAAATGGAAGGAAAGAAGAGAGTAACGTTAACAGCCAAATTGAGTGGAGGTAACGGGGACTGTGCCTGGCAACACACCCAGTTGTTCAGACAACCAATAGATGCAACAGAGACCCCATTCGAACTGAAAGTGACTTTGATATAACAGACTTGATTTATGTTATAAAATATAGGCAATGTAAATCAAATGATATGAGGAGTGGTGCCAATTGAATTTAATTCATCATCATCAGACCATTAATTTGGTGAATGATGGGGGGGGGGGTGGCATTAAAATCCAGTTGCACAGCTATTTAAATATGTTCAAAATAATTGAATGGTATATTGTTGAACCATGTATGTATTCCTGCAGTCATAAAATACATTGACAGATCAATATGCTCAACTTTAGGAGGCCAACAACTTTATCAAGTTAATATGGCACTGGCCAATGGACCAGCCATTGAAAACAACCCTGGATATAAATTCAGATCATTTTGTATGAAATGCAGTACCAGTGTGAGACAATGACAGAGGAGGGAAATATCCCAGAATTCATAGATGAACATATTTCCATGTAAAGATGAACCTCTACATGAAGTTGGGTTCATTTATGAATTCTTGGATATCCCCCTTTTATGGCATTATTATGTCACTGTCACCACCAAAAAGTGGTAACATATTGTTATGGTCCCAATTTTGGTGATGGTGATATTTTGCATGTTAATGCCTTATATTGTAGTTGTTGCACCCTTGGGTGCTATATTGTGATCAGTGTTTCTTCCAATAAGTCATTGGGTGGGTAGATCACTTTGAGTTGCAGATTCAGATTTAACCTTTATATCATAAGCAACAGCAACTTAGATCATTTTCACCTGAATGTAAGTAATGAATCTACAAAAGTCACTTAATGCATAATATGATTAGCTTATGATGAGTTCAAGGAAGATGGATTATAGAATTTCACCTTATTTATTATATACTTTCACCAACAGGGAAATTCAGTATACGATACTGGTTTAAATTTTACAAAAATTCTGTGAATAAAGTTAATCATTATTTATTATTATCATATTGAATTAGGAAAATGGAGATGAAATAAAAATTATATTCATATCAAATTAATTTTCTTGTTTGTATGTTTTGGTGAAATATGTTCATGTATATTTGTGTAATATGTTCTCGCATATGGAAATGTGCTGTTCCATCATAGTATGAAAGTTTTTTTGGAATAAAGCAATATGTTCAGATTTCATGTAACTATATACTCCTATGATTTTATAAAAAAAAAAATTTTAAACTTATGACTAATACAGCGACTTAACTGAAAATATCACACTAAAACACTCTTCCCTCAAAATAAAATACAAGTCAAGTAAATCAAAATATTTTCAACATTTATTTTCAATATAAACGTCCATATTTGTACAACGTGAGAAATCAAATAGAGCCCAAACATAATGTGCTATATAATCTACAAATGTTTTGTACAATTCGGCAAGCTTCAATGGACTGTTATCATATACTATTGATCGTCATGGTAAACCATGCATTTATGTCCTATGTATTGTACTAATACAGTAAAACCTGTGGAAGTGGAACACCTTTGCAACCTTAGTGTTCCACTTTCAGATGTGTTCCACTTTCAGAAGTGTTCCACTTTCAGAAGTGTTCCACTTTCAGAAGTGTTCCACTTTCAGAAGTGTTCCACTTTCAGAGGTGTTCCACTTTCAAAGGTGTTCCACTTTCAAAGGTGTTCCACTTTCAAAGGTGTTCCACTTTCAGAAGTGTTCCAATTTCAGAGGTATTCCACTTTCAGAAGTGTTCCACTTTCAGAAGTGTTCCACTTTCAGAAGTGTTCCACTTTCAGAAGTGTTCCACTTTCAGAAGTGTTCCACTTTCAGAAGTGTTCCACTTTCAGAGGAATTGCACTTTCAGAAGTGTTCCACTTTCAGAAGTGTTCAACTTTCAGAAGTGTTCCACTTTCAGAGGAATTGCACTTTCAGAAGTGTTCCACTTTCAGAAGTGTTCAACTTTCAGAGGTGTTCCACTTTTATCTGGTTTTACTCTATTAGAAGGTGCAATTATAAACAAAACTTAATATGTTTCCCCAATTAATAATTCCGATCAATATAGCTTTATACATTACAGCTTACATTGTAATTATGAGATAGTTAGTGCCAGCACTACATGGAATAATACATTATACAATATACATACAAATAAATACATAGCAGGGTCAAAGTCAATATTGTGATGTTATCTCAAAATATCAGTTATACTTCAGATTCAATTCTTTCTTTTCTCAATTTTATTTGGCAATTTATTGGTTTTTCTGATTCAACATAAAAAACTTGATGTACTTTTACTCCACTTTCACCTAACATACTTAATAGTTTTGTAAAACTGTATATTGTTCATCAAAATATTGACACTGCCCTTTTAGTAACATATTTTTACAACATATTATATGTTACAAAAATCAAGTTGTGGTAGAATCTCATTTTCATTGTACAAAAAATCATCATTTGTAATAGTATTATGCCTTAACTGTACCACAGTATTGTTAGTTATACACTGTACTATAGTACTGTTAGCTATAAACTGTACTACAGTACTGTTAGCTTTAAACTGTACTATAGTACTGTTAGCTATAAACTGTACTACAGTACTGTTAGCTTTAAACTGTACTACAGTACTGTTAGCTTTAAACTGTACTACAGTACTGTTAGCTTAAAACTGTACGACAGTACTGATAGCTTTAAACTGTACTGAAGTACTGCTAGCTTTAAACTGTACTGAAGTACTATTAGCTATAAACTGTTCTACAGACTGTTAGCTTTAAACTGTACTACAGTACTGTTAGCTATAAACTGTACTGCAGTACTGTTAGCTTTAAGCTGTACTACAGTACTGTTAGCGTTAAACTGTACTACAGTACTGTTAGCTATAAACTGTACTGCAGTACTGTTAGCTTTAAGCAGTACTACAGTACTGTTAGCTTAAAACTGTACTCCAGTACTATTAGCTATAAACTGTTCTCCTGTTCGCTTTAAACTGTACTACAGTACTTTTAGTTATAAACTTTACTACAGCACTATTAGCTATAAACTGTACTACAGTACTGTTAGCTATAAACTGTACTACAGTACTTTTAGCTTTAAACTGTACTACAGTACTGTTAGCTTTAAACTGTACTGAAGTACTGTAAGCTTTAAACTGTACTCCATTACTATTAGCTATAATATGTTGTACAGACTGTTAGCTTTAAATTGTACTACAGTACTGTTAGCTATAAACTGTACTGCAGTACTGTTAGCTTTAAGCTGTACTACAGTACGGTTAGTTTAAAACTGTACTACAGTACTTTTAGTTATAAACTGTGTTACAGTACTGTTAGCTTTAAACTTTACTACAGTACTATTAGCTATAAACTGTACTACAGTACTGTTAGCTATAAACTGTACTACAGTACTGTTAGCTTTAAACTGTACTACAGTACTGTTAGCTTTAAACTGTACTGAAGTACTGTTAGCTTTAAACTGTACTCCAGTACTATTAGCTATAATCTGTTGTACAGACTGTTAGCTTTAAATTGTACTACAGTACTGTTAGCTATAAACTGTACTGCAGTACTGTTAGCTTTAAGCTGTACTACAGTACTGTTAGCTTAAAACTGTACTACAGTACTGTAAGCTTTAAACTATACTGAAATACTGTTAGCTTTAAACTGTACTACAGTACTTTTAGTTATAAACTGTGCTACAGTACTGTTAGCTTTAAACTTTACTACAGTACTATTAGCTATAAACTGTACTACAGTACTGTTAGCTATAAACTGTACTACAGTACTGTTAGCTTTAAACTGTACTACAGTACTGTTAGCTTTAAACTGTACTGAAGTACTGTTAGCTTTAAACTGTACTGAAGTACTGTTAGCTTTAAACTGTACTCCAGTACTATTAGCTATAATCTGTTGTACAGACTGATAGCTTTAAATTGTACTACAGTACCGTTAGTTATAAACTGTACTACAGTACTATTTGCTATAAACTATACTACAGCACCATTAGCTATAAACTGTACTACTGTAGTAATGTTTACCTAATCTGTACTACTGCCCTGTAGCACTATATGTATTTTTTAACATATACAGTAAATCTATCACAAGTTATTACGACATATAAATTGCATATGCTCATTGTATATTTACAAAGTTGAAAGTTTGATTGCACATTTATCAGATAGCTGCACTCCAGGCCTCATTGTATTATGCATTTGTACATGGTATCATAGCTACTGCAAAGGGCTGCATTAAAAATGAGGCCTTGTTTTGAGTTGATGATACCCCTCATTGAGCTGACAATCCCATGTACATGTACAAGCCCACAATAGGATGAGGCCTGGATAGGAACCATGTATTAATGCTTTCAGACATTTATAAGATCTAATACTGTACAAGTGTACAATAATACATGTACAGAAAAATAACTTCCAGAATTCAAAAATTCAGCTACACATCTACCACCAAATAAAAGCATTGGTTAAACAAAAAGCATATTTTGTGAACAAATAAGTTCAAGCTACATATAAATACTATGTTTAGATTACTAGTACTTAATTAGATAGTCTAGCAATTATCCAGACATCAAGTCAATAGATAGTGTTGTTAGTTAACACCTCAGTCCCCTTCATTTAAACATATGTGTTAAATTGTCTTTCAGTTTCAAGCATTTCATCTCTTATTGAATCACTGTCCTAGCTAACTATGGCAATCTGTGATTGTACAATGAATATTTGTGATTGTATAATGAATGAGGTACAATAAACATGTGCAATGTACAATAAACATGTACAAAGTACAATAAACACAATTCACAGCTGTATATCATTTTTTTGTTCATGTGTTGACAAATAAGAGAACAAGCACAACCGCCTCATGTCATTCTTATAATGTACATTATGCTACTCCCTCTCTTTTCTTTTATATCGAAGTTCTGCAAATACCTCACTCTAATTCTATCACCATGAATTCTAGCGCATATATTTCCAGCTGAACAACTTAGAATAAATCACTATCATTTCTATTGAAAATGTGTTGGGCTGATAGTCCATAATAGTCAGTTTGGTTTACAATATCCTTCTCTTCATTGAGTCTAATGTAGGGCCAACATCTTACATTACATTGTATTTTAATCTTGGGTCTGTTCAAGAAATCCTACATGCCATTTACATAATATACATTTTCCTGTATACAAAATACACAGTTAAGATCATGGAATCTGTTGGAGTGGATGAGTCTTAAGGTGGGCAGAATGGGAAAACTTTTAGAATCTTCATTATGATCTGCCTACTTAAATGCAAATTGAACAAACAAGATTTTAAAACACCTTAATACCTTCATATTCTAATAATACAATCACCTCACATGCATTTTCTGATTTATCATAGTTCACATTTCCTACTTGTAAATACTGAAGACATTATTCCAAATAATTATATTGTACATGTATATTATCAGAATGTGTGACTGTAGATTATGGAATGTGCAACTTTGTATATTCTTAAAGATTATAAACTAAGAGATATCATGAACTTGTCAATGTGGCATATAACTGAACCAAATTAAATATTAGTCAACTTCTCATTAGGAATGTGATTAACAACTTATAGGAATGTGATTAACAACTAATAGGAATGTGATTTAAAAGACCTACAAATGTGATATATGAGATTTAGAGACCAAGAGGAGAAATCCCAGAATTCATACTGGTGAACAATGAATCATAGGGCATTCCCTCTCTTGTAGAGACCATAATGCTACCCTGGTTTTTGAAGATCTCAATTTGTAAATATGTATATGTAAAATACAAAATGTAATTTGAAAGCCTGTTTCCAATTCTCCAATACTCTCCTAAATTGCACAAAGTGAATGAATGTCCAGCATTCATATTTAAAGTGTTAATGTGTTACAAATGTGATAGCGTTCATATTTAAAGTGCTAGTGTGTTACAAATGTGACACTTGCATCTAATAAAAAATCTATTAAATTATGCACTTGAGTGAAAAGATTATGTTTTTGATAAGTTTGGAATATATGTCTTTGCTATATTTTTTTTCTTAAATAAATGGAACTGTGATATTGATATGGTCCTAACCCTAGTAATGCTGTTGAACACCATACTAAATAGGAAATATATATCCTCCTAGAGTAATAAATCTAGCACACAATGCTCTGCCTCTCTTTACCAACTATACAAGGATGAACTGATTGTGGTTTGACTGGACTTGTGATTAAAGTAGTTGATGACATCATCCCTTATATAATTGCATAAGCTTGAAATACAAAATCTACTGATTACCGATTTAAAATAAAATGATATTTCTTATCGTTTTTCATAGCTGAGACATAATCATTTTCTTCCTTATTTTCGCTAAAGCACTGGCAGTTCTGAGAGCAGACTAGAGTAGTAAAGCAAGAATTTCAGCCGAGGCACCCTAGGCACACATGCTTTTGGTGCCTGTATAGGTCTAAACATTACAATGATGTAGTAGGAACCCCCTCCTGGAAATATATACAACTTGATCAGCAAGTGGGAATGATAAATATTGGCCTTCAATGTTAAAAGACAAATAGTAGATTTACCAGCAAGTCATCATTGCCATTTAACTACATTATAACAATGTTTGAGAAGAATGATAATAGACAATTTAAAAGAAACACTCTAGTATTATGAATGATTGTACTAACCTTGAAATATTTAGTGTCATCTCCCATGTTTTTCTGTATCTCATTGAGTGTCTGTTGGTCCACCAAATCTCTGATGCTTGTCAGTTGTGACTGTATACTCTCAGTGCTTTCTCTTGCAGTTTCACCATTCACAGCATCGTCTTCCTATATTACCAAATAAGGGAAATTAGTTGCAATATATGACTGTATACTCTCAGTGCTTTCTCTTGCAGCTTCACCATTCACAGCATCGTCTTCCTATATTACCAAATAAGGGAAATTAGTTGCATGTATATGACTGTATTCTCTCAGTGCTTTCTCTTGCAGTTTCACCATTCACAGCATTGTCTTCCTATATTACCAAATAAGGGAAATTAGTTGCATGTATTTGACTGTATACTCTCAGTGCTTTCTCTTGCAGCTTCACCATTCACAGCATTGTCTTCCTATATTACAAAATAAGGGAAATTAGTTGCAATATATGACTGCATACTCTCAGTGCTTTCTCTTGCAGCTTCACCATTCACAGCATTGCCTTCCTATATTACCAAATAAGGGAAATTAGTTGCATGTATTTGACTGTATTCTCTCAGTGCTTTCTCTTGCAGCTTCACCTTTCACAGCATTGTCTTCCTATATTACCAAATAAGGGAAATTAGTTGCATGTATTTGACTGTATACTCTCAGTGCTTTCTCTTGCAGTTTCACCATTCACAGCATTGTCTTCCTATATTACCAAATAAGGGAAATTAGTTGCATGTATTTGACTGTATACTCTCAGTGCTTTCTCTTGCAGTTTCACCATTCACAGCATTGTCTTCCTATATTACAAAATAAGGGAAATTAGTTGCAATATATGACTGCATACTCTCAGTGCTTTCTCTTGCAGCTTCACCATTCACAGCATTGTCTTCCTATATTACCAAATAAGGGAAATTAGTTGCATGTATTTGACTGTATTCTCTCAGTGCCTTCTCTTGCAGCTTCACCTTTCACAGCATTGTCTTCCTATATTACCAAATAAGGGAAATTAGTTGCATGTATTTGACTGTATTCTCTCAGTGCTTTCTCTTGCAGTTTCACCATTCACAGCATTGTCTTCCTATATTACCAAATAAGGGAAATTAGTTGCATATATATGACTGTATACTCTCAGTGCTTTCTCTTGCAGTTTCACCATTCACAGCATTGTCTTCCTATATTACAAAATAAGGGAAATTAGTTGCAATTTATGACTGTATTCTCTCAGTGCTTTCTCTTGCAGTTTCACCATTCACAGCATTGTCTTCCTATATTACCAAATAAGGGAAATTAGTTGCATATATATGACTGTATACTCTCAGTGCTTTCTCTTGCAGTTTCACCATTCACAGCATTGTCTTCCTATATTACAAAATAAGGGAAATTAGTTGCATATATATGACTGTATACTCTCAGTGCTTTCTCTTGCAGCTTCACCTTTCACAGCATTGTCTTCCTATATTACCAAATAAGGGAAATTAGTTGCATATATATGACTGTATACTCTCAGTGCTTTCTCTTGCAGCTTCACCATTCACAGCATTGTCTTCCTATATTACCAAATAAGGGAAATTAGTTGCATGTATTTGACTGTATTCTCTCAGTGCTTTCTCTTGCAGTTTCACCATTCACAGCATTGTCTTCCTATATTACCAAATAAGGGAAATTAGTTGCATATATATGACTGTATACTCTCAGTGCTTTCTCTTGCAGTTTCACCATTCACAGCATTGTCTTCCTATATTACAAAATAAGGGAAATTAGTTGCAATTTATGACTGTATTCTCTCAGTGCTTTCTCTTGCAGTTTCACCATTCACAGCATTGTCTTCCTATATTACCAAATAAGGGAAATTAGTTGCATATATATGACTGTATACTCTCAGTGCTTTCTCTTGCAGTTTCACCATTCACAGCATTGTCTTCCTATATTACCAAATAAGGGAAATTAGTTGCATATATATGACTGTATACTCTCAGTGCTTTCTCTTGCAGCTTCACCTTTCACAGCATTGTCTTCCTATATTACCAAATAAGGGAAATTAGTTGCATATATATGATTGTATTCTCTCAGTGCCTTCTCTTGCAGCTTCACCTTTCACAGCATTGTCTTCCTATATTACCAAATAAGGGAAATTAGTTGCATGTATTTGACTGTATTCTCTCAGTGCTTTCTCTTGCAGTTTCACCATTCACAGCATTGTCTTCCTATATTACCAAATAAGGGAAATTAGTTGCATATATATGACTGTATACTCTCAGTGCTTTCTCTTGCAGTTTCACCATTCACAGCATTGTCTTCCTATATTACAAAATAAGGGAAATATGTTGCAATTTATGACTGTATTCTCTCAGTGCTTTCTCTTGCAGTTTCACCATTCACAGCATTGTCTTCCTATATTACCAAATAAGGGAAATTAGTTGCAATATATGACTGTATACTCTCAGTGCTTTCTCTTGCATCTTCACCATTCACAGCATTGTCTTCCTATATTACCAAATAAGGGAAATTAGTTGCATGTATTTGACTGTATACTCTCAGTGCTTTCTCTTGCAGTTTCACCATTCACAGCATTGTCTTCCTATATTACCAAATAAGGGAAATAAGTTGCATGTATTTGACTGTATTCTCTCAGTGCCTTCTCTTGCAGCTTCACCTTTCACAGCATTGTCTTCCTATATTACCAAATAAGGGAAATTAGTTGCATGTATTTGACTGTATTCTCTCAGTGCTTTCTCTTGCAGTTTCACCATTCACAGCATTGTCTTCCTATATTACCAAATAAGGGAAATTAGTTGCATATATATGACTGTATACTCTCAGTGCTTTCTCTTGCAGTTTCACCATTCACAGCATTGTCTTCCTATATTACAAAATAAGGGAAATTAGTTGCAATTTATGACTGTATTCTCTCAGTGCTTTCTCTTGCAGTTTCACCATTCACAGCATTGTCTTCCTATATTACCAAATAAGGGAAATTAGTTGAAATATATGACAGTATACTCTCAGTGCTTTCTCTTGCAGCTTCACCATTCACAGCATTGTCTTCCTATATTACCAAATAAGGGAAATTAGTTGCATGTATTTGACTGTATACTCTCAGTGCTTTCTCTTGCAGCTTCACCATTCACAGCATTGTCTTCCTATATTACCAAATAAGGGAAATTAGTTGCATGTATTTGACTGTATACTCTCAGTGCTTTCTCTTGCAGCTTCACCATTCACAGCATTGTCTTCCTATATTACCAAATAAGGGAAATTAGTTGCATGTATTTGACTGTATACTCTCAGTGCTTTCTCTTGCAGTTTCACCATTCACAGCATTGTATTCCTATATTACCAAATAAGGGAAAAATAGTTGGTTGTATGTATGTGAAACTAGGGGTTACACTTAATAAACTCTCATTTATTTTAAAAGAAAAAAAACAAGTGGAGGTTTGAAAATGTGATTGTTTTTACAGGATTTCGAAAATGAACCCATTTGAATTAATTTTTATTTTTTCTTATTTTTTGAGTACATTTGTATATGTTTATGAGTGTCATTGTAACTACAGAAAATTATGACCTGCCATTTATAACTCAGAAAACTCATTGTAACCAAAATGACCAAATATGGGCATGTAGTGTACTACCATTCTCCCTCAAACATGTTTTACTCCAATGGATATAAATGGCCCAACTGACAAACATAAAATAATAAGAACTACCTTAAAGTGAGAACAAAAACGCTAAATGCCAAACACCAGTCACAAAAAATGGTTGCCATAACAATACCCTCTTAGTGCGATGACATAATAAGGAAACAAACCTGTTTAGAAGCAGAAGGGGTCAAATCAGCATTGTTGGACTCTGTTAGTACATTCTGGACATCTTTCTTGGAGCTTTGAGGTCTATTTTCCTCATTAGGCTCATTATTGGTGGACTTCGCAGCATCAGCAACATGGTCCTCTGTTTTGGTGTCCTTTTGTTCAATGTGTGCACTGATATTGCCTTCAACAGGAGGGGTGGGAATATTTGGGGTTTCCTCATTGTCAAAGCAGGGATTCACGTAGGAATATTTACCAGAGTCAAAACTATCTTCATAATTGCTTGGCAGTTCTAGAACAAAAATGCAAAAGTTATAATTACACCATCACATCTATTATGAATTCAGTTGATTGATCTAGGCTTCTGAACAATCGAATTTATAACATTAGAATAGAATTGTATCATCAATATTTGTATATATGTAAACGATATGAAAATTATTAATCTCAAAAATACTCCTACTTCAAGTTGATGCTCTGAGTATTCAAGTAATATGAAACAGAGAGGCTTTCCTACATATTTTGAGGGATATCATTTTTATCCATAAGTGGATATTGACCATATCCATGAGCAAGTGCTCACCCCAAGTGCCCTATTCTTATGAAGTATGGGAAAGCAATATTAAATTGATATTATGTGATGATACTTTGACTAAACATGTATAACATACCAGGTGCCTTTTTATCCTTGATTTCTTCAACAAGAGGGTCTTTATTATTGGGCACAACAGGAGGTGAGGAGAACTGATCAACTATAGCATCCAAAATGGCTATGGATGAGGACTCCTCTATTTGCTGGTACATTTCTTCTATATTCTCAACTGAAACAAAATCCACATAATATACAATGACAAAAGGGGCATATGCAAAGAACAGTCATAAAGTGATTATAGGATGGTACACTTAACATTCTAAGAGAACTTGAATGTGTAAAATTATTCCATGTACAAGGAAAATAGTTGAAATAAGGTCTCCTTAAATCTGAAAACCAAAACGTAAGTTGTAAACTTAAAATAAGGGGCTAGTAAGCTTGTTATATGTGAGCCAGAAATGGAATGAGTGTTGCCATTACACAGGTATTCATCTTATTCAAATTAATATTCAAACTTAACTGTAGCTTTCCAATGGGGATAGACTTAAATTAATGTTGTTAATCAATATGCAGCAGAGTTAAGTTGCTTGGTTATGAAGCTTTTTGACAAAAAACAAGTAATAAGGATTTTGTGCCTTTGTAACAACTCAAAAATCCTCCCTCACCAAGCCTTTTTTGTTAAAATGCTTCAGAACAATTTAACCTGCTGTGTGGCCTCTAACCATTTAGACCCACCTGTTTGTGTGGCTATAGTTGTGATTTGCCTAGATGGGGAGTCTATACTAGAGGCATCTCCTAGACCTTTGAGAGAAACTTCACTCTGTCTACTTGGGAGACCACTCTCATCTAGTCTACTTCTCAGGTCATCAAGTGCTCTCTGTAAGATAACATTATAAGTTTACAAGGGTTTATTGGATAGACTATGCAAGGAGCATAGTTCACGAGGTCAGAGCTGATGTTCGCATTGGTGGAAGTTTAAGAAGGCTTGCTTACGTTCAAATAAGTCTCAACACCTTGGATTCTTAAAACATAATTGGCTCCCATTCATATATACAAGAATGATTTTACAAAACCTTTATACATAATCCATACATGTAAGATTTAACAAACCCTTTATACATAATCCATACATGTAAGATTTAACAAACCCTTTATACATAATCCATACATGTAAGATTTAACAAACCCTTTATACATAATCCATACATGTAAGATTTAACAAACCCTTTATACATAATCCATACATGTAAGATTTAACAAACCCTTTATACATAATCCATACATGTAAGATTTAACAAACCCTTTATACATAATCCATACATGTAAGATTTAACAAACCCTTTATACATAATCCATACATGCAAGATTTAACAAACCCTTCATACATAATCCATACAAACAAGATTTAACAAACCCTTTATACATAATCCATACATGTAAGATCTAACAAACCCTTTATACATAATCCATATATGTAAGATTTAACAAACCCTTTATACATAATCCATACATGTAAGATTTAACAAACCCTTTATACATAATCCATATATGTAAGATTTAACAAACCCTTTATACATAATCCATATATGTACGATTTAACAGACCCTTTATACATAATCCATATATGTAAGATTTAACAAACCTTCTGTTGGTCGATTTGCTTCTTCATGGAGGACATTTCGTCATCATTTCTTTTCATCTTCCTTCTCTCTGACAACAACATGCGCTGTGTCTCCACCTGTATAGGTTTTTCTATACCTAATAATGTAAAAATATGTTTTTAATACCTAGCAATAGTATAAAATAAAACAATATGGTTTTTATACCTAGTAAAATGAACAATATGGGGTTTTCTATACCTAGTAATATACATTAATATTCTGTTCATGTTTTGATTTTTGGGAAAAGTTGGTAATTGCTGGACGACAAACCATCATTGAATCGTAAAAAGGTGTAACATTGAAGTCACATAATCTGATGGTTGATAACATCACTATTACACAAATAATGAAAACACTCACTTTCCCCGAGTCTTGTGCATCTAAATAACCTAAGAACCAGGATGTAGCCAATGCTGTATCTCACAGTTCGGTTAATAGATGGCACTAGTGTGAAGATCAGGTAGAGTGCAAAAGTTGCTATGACAACAGTTGCATCAAATGTCTACAAAAGTATGAATTACAAATCAATTATTAAAATAAAGTACTTTTATACAGAGGCTATGACAGTAATAGGCATGTAAAAGTATTTTATTATAGAATGTGTTGCATTCATTTTCGTTCAGTTATGACAATTATTCCTTTTAGCACATATTTTACTGCTTCTCTTTAATGGTCAATCAGACGTACATGATTCTAATTTTGAGCAGTGAACAGCTACAGCTACTTTATTTTAGGTTATTAAATCCTCTTTGTATGCTGAATCTAAATCATTATTTCAAAATATTAAGTACAAAATAGATAAAACTTTTTAACATAAATCCTGACCTGCCAGCAATCTTTCAGGAAATCTTTGCCTTTTATGACCAACCTCAGTATAATCTGGAAATACATAAGAAAACATGATCAGGCACCACACCCAAAGCAAAATGTGTAATACACTGCATATCATACACTTAATGTGCCATAAACTACATATAATACATTCAATTTGCCATATGCTACACATAATTCACTTAATGTGCCATAAACTACATATAATACATTCAATGTGCCATATGCTACATATAATGCACTTAATGTGCCATAAACTACATATAATACATTCAATATGCCATATGCTACATATAATGCACTTAATGTGCCATAAACTACATGTAATACATTCAATGTGCCATATGCTACACATAAAGCACTTAATGTGCCATAGACTACATATAATACATTCAATATGCCATATGCTACATATAATGCACTTAATGTGCCATAAACTACATGTAATACATTCAATGTGCCATATGCTACATAAATTGCACTTAATGTGCCATAAATGACATATAATACATTCAATGTGCCATATGCACATAATGCACTTAATGTGCCATAAACTACATATAATACATTCAATGTGCCATATGCTACACATAATTCACTTAATGTGCCATAATTTACATATAATACATTCAACGTGCCATATGCTACACATAATTCACTTAATGTGCCATAAACTACATGTAATACATTCAATGTGCCATATGCTACATAAATTGCACTTAATGTGCCATAAATGACATATAATACATTCAATGTGCCATATGCACATAATGCACTTAATGTGCCATAAACTACATATAATACATTCAACGTGCCATATGCTACACATAAATCACTTAATGTGCCATAAACTACATATAATACATTCAATGTGCCATATAAATTCATATTGTGCCATAAACTACATGTAATACATTCAATGTGCCATATGCTCCACATAATTCACTTAATGTGCCATAATTTACATATAATACATTCAACGTGCCATATGCTACACATAATTCACTGAATGTGCCATAAACTACATATAATACATTCAATGTGTCATATGCTACACATAATTCACTTAATGTGCCATAAACTGCATATCATACACTTAATGTGCCGTCCATATGCTACACTTAATTCACTGAATGTGCCATAGACTACATATAATACATTCAATGTGCCATATAAATTCACATTGTGCCATAAACTACATGTAATACATTCAATGTGCCATATGCTCCACATAATTCACTTAATGTGCCATAAACTACATATAATACATTCAATGTGCCATATGCTACACATAATTCACTTAATGTTCCATAAACTACATATAATACATTCAATGTGCCATATGCTACACATAATACCCCATATACTGCACATAAAACACTTAATATGCCATACACTTCACATTATATACTTAATGTGCCAAATACTGCACATATTACAGATAATGTACCATACATTGCCCAAAATACACTTAATGTGCCATATATTGCACATTACACACTGAATGTGCCATAAACTACACATAATACACAATGTACCATATACTGCACATTATACACTTTGCCATACATGGCACATAATACACTTAATGTGCCACATATTGCACAAAATACATTTAATATGACATGCACTGTACATAATACAATTAATGTACTTCACATAGAAAAGTAGCACAAAACATACCTCTATTAAGAACACTGAGAGGAATGCAATGTGTATGTAGTGCAGCACAAGCTCAGCAGTGTCAACAGATGATTGGCCACTAGGTGGTGTTCTGGTTGTAGGTGGCGCCACTGTTACATTATCCTGGGATGTGACTGGGGCCTGAGTCACTGATGGGGGCACTGAAATCACAATACATAATTTCTTACTCAACAAACATTTTCTCCAGACAGAAACACTAATGTCAAAATGATCAATAACTGTATTCTCTCTTTTCATGCAATGAGCTTCCCAAATTCAAATTTTAAAGGGTAAGATATTGAGAGATTCTAATAAGTGCACATCCCAAAAATTTAGAAAAAATATTGCTGATTATCTTTTTAGCTGTCATTTCTAAGGTTTCCACAGCTACAGCTCCTGTGTTTCTTTCTCTACATTAAATATAAACATCAATCAATATTTTGTTGTGTAGATAATCCAAACTAATTCATTAACAAAGTATTTTCTTGAGATCATATTCATCAAAAACGTTGCATGTGCACTCATTAGAGAGAATACGGTTTATCGGTTTAACTCAAAAAGAATGATGGCAATACAGCATACCAGTTGAAATATTATAAATATTCTTATTATGGATTCATTTAGTGTCAAAGCACAAATATAATGTAAAACAACAACAACAATGATTCCTATATTGCAAGTTCAAAATGGTAGAGATGACATGTGTGAACTGAGTTGAATGCAAATACCCGAAGGTAGTTCCTGCAAAGGCTGTAATGGTTATTGAGAAATAAGAAAGAGGGTATAACAATTTGATAATCAAGTTGTACTGCATGACAACATGCAATCAATCCATTTCAGATTGATGGTAGGGACATTAACAACTGAACAAAATAAAATGTTTATAACAAATGCATTTTTTAATGTATTTGAAAATGAAAAATATTTCAAAAAATGCAGGGACCCAAGGTGAATATGATAAAATATCAGGTGAATATGGTAAAACAAGATAACAGCAACGCCAAGGTATGCAAGTCCCATCGAACAGCCATTACTGCCATTTCTACAAAATCTTCCTCTACTACTTTTTCAAATTGTCATCAGAAAGTGTAATATGATTCTCAGTAAGGCACATATAAAATTTCAACAAAATCACTGTTAAACTTTTTGAGTTTGTAAGAAACGTAAAATAACACTATCGAAAATGGTGACCATTTTACAAAATGGCCGCCTACGAGCAAAAGTGTCAATAGACAGTGTGCCATGCTTGTGAGTATTTACATATCAAATATAAACCAAATCGCCCCACTTCCCGGACGGATGGATGAACTGACGGACATACAACGTATGGAGCCATTCTCTATCCTCCGAACTCAGTTCGATGAGATGATAAAAATATGTTCATTATTCTGATTTATGAAAAAGAACATTTCTATTAGATTAAGGCTTTATTCATATGATTAATAGAATCATAATACCCATACTAGCTATAACTAACAATACAGGTATATTCTATCTTATAGTCGCAGTAGCATTTCTCGAAGCAAACATCCTCATCTGTGATAATTGAGACTTATTGACTAACTGCATTACAAAATCAGTCCAATATCTGGAACTGGATAAATAATTTGAATCATTGATCTGTTAAATGAAATATGATGTAAGACATTGTACAATACACATGGTGCTAAAACTGGATGATAAGTCTAGCTCAGTCTTATATAATTAAGAAATCACTTTAGAATGATTGTACAATAAGGGGAACTCTAACATGTTTTTTATTTCACCATTTTAGCTTATTATACAAAGAGTGCAGCATATATGAAAAATCACCCAAATTTTTGTGACGTCATATTCTGGTTGGCTGTAACCATCACATTCAGAGGTTTCTCTTTAACTTTATTAGAGTGCAGATGAAGCTATTTTATAAGATGCTCCGTCAAATGAATGCTTGGCTTAATTATAAAATAAGATAGATATATTCTAAGATTGGGTCTAATGATGTTTTGAACAATGAATCAACAGAGTGGATCCTTTCACTTCTTCCTGTTATTGTTCAGCTGAGACACATCTTTAATGCAATTTATTATTATAGGCTATTAGTGCTTTTAGTGCATTATATAAAAAATATATTTGTGAGCTAAGCCAGCTGTTTTCCTATTTGTTTAAACAATGTTCCTTCTTCAAACAATGTTTCCTGATGGAACACAATACATGTATACATATGTAATAATATGTACAGGAGAACATGTCTAATTTGAACACCACTTGAACTGGTCAAAACTGTTCGTATTGGCAGGTGTTCATATTTAAAACTTTTTGAAAATGGAAAACGCTTAAAAATTGGACTAAAACGAGTTCACATTGAGAGGTGTTCAGATTAGAGAGGTATTCGGATATACAGGTTTTACTGTATGTAACCCAATCTCTCTTAACTGACAATGGAAAACTATAAAAAGAAGTTATTCAATAGGGGTTAGGCACAAATTGATTTTGTTCTGAGGGACACAATGATATTGACGTAAGGAAACACCAATTTGACTTAAGGTATACGCCTGCAGTGTCACTTTGATATGCGTTAATGTCAATATCATAATCCAAATCCAGAATGAGATCCACATTCAGTTCTAAACATAAAAGACAATTTATTCCATGAGAACAACTTTGACATGTCTGAATAAAGTACCATGGGATCTAATATAGAATTTTGGCAGATATAAGAGATCTTGGAATAATTCATTTGTACAAATTGATTATAGTTTCCATCATATTCATTTAAATTGAATAAATTACAGTTAAGCGCTATTTAATAAAGATTTGTTGATGAGTATGGCAAATACTATCGTTCAACAGATATTTTACTCAACTAGATACAACTTGTTCAATCTGTTTCCATGCATGATCATCGATTGTGTAATCCATATGATATGAACAAGTACATTCTCTAATGTTTGATTTTACAAATGTACAAAACTCTGACACTTGGGGTAATTGCCACAAAAGTAGTGGTTCATCCATCAGCTGACAGTTAAATATCCAATAGAGGGAGTCCCACTTATAGATTTTTAAGATTCACCACGTTTCAAGAGGAGTATCAGCTAAAATAATGTGCATCCAGGGGGTTTCTTTGGAGATAATAAAAATATATGTTTGTCTTGATGAAATATCCAAACTTAAATATATTTTGACACTGGTCGATGATCGTTGAATGGCCCCCCTGCACTAATTGTTGCACCTTTAACTTGAAGAACATAGAACATTCATTTATCAGAGACCCTCTTACCGTATACTGAGATGCATCATTTTTATATACTGTACTGAGGTATTTATATAAGAGTGTGACTGTGTGATACTCATTGTATCTTATTCCTTTAACAAAGCAGTATAGAAATATATGTATGATTGACTTGAAATAAACAACGCGATAGCAATTATAGCTTTACCATTAATAGACATCAATATCTAATAATACAGTATTCTCTATTTATCATTTGCGACAAAAGTTTGTTTTCAGAGAGATTCACGATTAATTAGTCGACATATTGACATTAACTCGTTTATTACACTCCTTAATTACATTGCTTGGCTGCTAAGTAATTACATCTAGGAACAAGCATTGAAGCTATTACCTTATCCCTTAGATAAGTAATGTACAGTATGCTATATGCTTCCAATAGCTTTATGTCCTGATAGTAAAACATACCTGCATACCTTCGGAGCCTATACGAACACCTTTCTTAGAAAAACGATCGAATATGAACACTCAATCTTAAATTGACACTGAAAAATGGTGGCTTTATTACTTTTTTATTTGGTATAATGTTTTTTTCAATGTACATGTACAGTAAAGCCTGTCTAATTTTAACACTATGAGGACCAGTTAAAAGAGCTCAGATTAGGAGGTGTTCACATTTCGAGTTTTTCACAATTTCATGGCATTCCAGTAATTTGAAAATCTGATTCAAATGAATTAAGTCATCCTAGAAAGCAAAATTATGAGTGAGACCATTCAAGGTTTTTTTCAAAAGTTTTCAATATCATCATGAATCAGTGTATAAAGGTGGAATAGCGGTAAATCGGGAATAATTCCTGATAAAAACTCCAAAATAAATCGTTGGTACTTTAAAAATGTCTTTTGTTAAAATACCAAAGTATGAAAAAATCTCTCACTCTAAACTCGGCTTGATGTGTTCTTCATCACTATATCTCGTCATTTTGTTGATACTGTAGATTTGGTTAATTTGGCGCTACTTAATTTGGCGATTTTGGCATATTGGCAGCTATTTAATTTGGCGGATATGCAAAAAAAAGTTAAACTTACGCGCTGTTTGCGAATTACAATGTAAATGGTCATGTTTGGCTACGTTTTTTTTTCTTTTGAGGACCACTGGAGATATTCACCACGTTTGTACATTTTTGTGAAATCATCCTTTACATTTTGCACCTCGATCGATGCTGCTACTATAATGCTTTTCCTTAGTATTAATGAGTGACTGACCAGTTCTGAACCAATTTATGAGAGACATTATGACAGACGGGGATTCATACTAAATTTTGGCGAAGATTTATATTGGCGAATTTTTCAATTTCGTCAAATTCGCCAAATTAACTCAATCTACAGTACATATTGGAACTTATGGTTCATATCTATTTAACTAAAAAACACAAAAAGTATGTAGATAGCTGTTAAGATGTATAATATTATGAGCATTCTTCCTTTAACTTTCAAATATTTGAGGAATTTTGTATGAAAATGTTATGAAAAGTGTTCAGATAAGACAGGTTAATTTTTTTCAAATATGACTGTCCACTGTTCAAATTGGGAGGTGTTTACATTTTAAATTTTTACAACATGGGAGTCATTGGGAGAAAGAAATTGAGATTGAACCTTTGAAATATTTCAACTTGGCATATCTTGCATTCATTCTGCTTCTGCAATAATAAAGAACTATAAAGATAACAATTTTTAGTGCTATTCAGAGTTTTGCCTAAAGCATAAGAAAGGTTTTCTCAAATGATCAACATCTGGAGAGTTAGAGACAATATATATTTTTTAATGGAGCCTCAGGTGCGCAGATTCAGGTGTGGCTCATCTTAGGCAATCCCAGGGCTCTGATCCTACCATTCAATTCAACATTGTTACGAAAATATCATTCCAATGGCATTTCACTCATTCACTTTAGAGACATTTTGTTAAACACAGATACAGAATTATTCCAAGATATATAAACATTAAAACATGATGTGACTGGACTGTGAAGCAAAAGTGAATTTTAGAAAATGATGACACAATTACTATGTAGTCTCAGAGTTACATTATTCTATAAGAAATAGGACACAAAGAGTTTATAATTTAAAAATATTTTTACCCCAAAATGTTCTTAGTAACTTGAATGTTAACTCTGAAAAATTTAATATAAAGATACAGTACCATTATCACAAATATAGAAGTAAGTTTTGTCCTAAAAAAGACTGGGATACCCTACCCTGTTGTTATAGCCTTTTGGGGAAAAATGAAAAACCCTTTTGTCATGCAATCTTCATTCTTCCCGGAAAACAAAATATGCATAATGTACTTAACATAGATTTAGCATTACTACTATTAATATACAATACTCCTTAGTTTATTTCAAACTGGTACTATGCAATATTTGGAGCATATCTCATTTCACGACACCATCACATTTGTATGAGAAACATTGAAAAACATAAATAATGATTATAACATTGTTATACAGAAATACAATAAATGAGCAACTGATATCTACAGTGAATCATAAAAATGTTGCATATAATTGAATGTATCATGTATTCTATTTGGTTACACCTAGAAACGGATCAATACTATAGTGTTCTGATATCCCTTTATTCTCAACTACTGTTCTCTTATCTCTGTATAACACAGTTGGAGATATTACGAAGTGTCATTTGTTTAAGTCGATACATTATGTGATGTTTCTTAATCTCATAAAGGCGTGTAGTCCAGTATAAGGAATATGTTAAGGTAAAGTCAAATCTAATTACAGTAAAACGTCTACATCTGAAGACCTCTCTAATCCTAAGACATCTCAATGAACATTTTTTCTCAGTGTCAATTTCTCAAGAAACACCTGCTTGAACACCTGCTAATCTGAACACTTTTGGCTAAAGTTCAGATTAGACAGGTTTTACTATTGACGATAATATGCCTTTGTAATAATTTTCATATCAATTTCAGTTTGTTATGAAATCTGATCTAAAATAATTTCATGATTTTATCTCAGCATTCTGTCAGATTATATTTACTCTTGTAAACATGTTTATTTTAACATGATTTTGACCTAAATAATGTGAATTGTATATGATAACAGAACTGCTTGGCTAGAATGAATCGCAAAATGCAGAGCAGCTGATCAAACTGATCAAACTACAAATTAAAAGAATTAACATTGAAGAAATTAATTAGAAATAACATACATGATACATGACTGAAAGATACGGTATCTGATACAGGATGTTTTGAATATCAATTTTATTCCCTGTTATTTTCCCGGGGAAAACTTGTGTTATTATGAAATATGTCTATTCCCTCCTTTGAAAAGTGTGAAATGTATCATATTTTAAAAATCAGGTGAGGGAGTTCTGAATCTTTTGGTCCAATAACTATTTTCTAAAACATTCAATTATAGGAAATGATATTAGGATACTTGAATGGGAAATAAGTATTATAATGAAAAATCAACTTCGCATTCAACTTCACATTCTGATGATCATCACATCTTTGTATTTTCAAAATTGCAACATTAATAATTAAATCCAAATGCTACTAGGACAAGCCAAAAGAGTTCAAGTTGGCAGAAGTACACATTTTGAGGTATTTAACATGAAAGGTGTTAACCTTTGAGAGGTATTCAGATTAAAGAAGTATTTGAATAGGTTTAACTGTACCTTCTAGAATGAAAATGATATAAGGTTTTCAGCTCTCACAATAATTCTTTCATTGAATAGCACGCCCTTTTAATAATAAAGGCATTTATAATCCATTTGCTCATATTTTACATTGAAGAATCATGCTAATGATAAACACACATAATTTATTGTATAGGGTGCAAGACTTAATAGAAAAATACTGAATATTTAGGTTGTAATGCTTGCTTTTTACTTCTGATGCTTTCATCAACTGCATATTCGAATCTTTTTGCTGATACACAAATTAATGATACGGCTTCATCTTTATTAACAAACTAAGCAATTTGAACCTTAACATTAACCCATGCAAGTCCATGAAAATGGGCATGGGGAAACATAAATATAATTGAGTTAAAAAACATTTTAAAACTCATCAAGTATACATGTATGTATAACATATATCAAAATGTTTCCCAAAACATATTTTTCCCCTAATATATAAAGATTCATTTTAGAAATCTTTACCGTTTACCGTCATTAAAAATGAAACTGTCAAGTCCACTTAAAATACAAATTTTTATGAAATTTGGTTTCAAGAAAAAATGAGAATTTCATTGATCATACTTACTGGCTATTTAAATGTGGCAATTCATCAGCAGTTTAAGAAAGTGAAGAAAAAATACCTTCTCCTTTAATTAAAAAATGGATAATTCTGAATTATTTTTTCTAGCACATGACACTTCTTTTATATGCCATATTGTGGTGTCTTAGATTGTGACATGTTGCATGTTTGTATACATTTTTATGATAAATAAATAAGTGCCACACCTTGTATAACTCTAAGGTGAATAAGGAGAAGGAATGTGGTGAGAAGGAGGTCGATGACCACAAATCAAATGACACACATATGGCCCCTCAGTGAGTTCAATGCGCCATCTATCACATAATGGTACAATATTTAACCCTAAGTGCCTTACCTTGTATAACTCTGAGATGAATAAGGAGAAGGAATGTGGTGAGAAGGAGGTCGATGACCACAAGGCAAATGACACACATATGGCCCCTCAGTGAGTTCAATGCGCCATCTATCACACAATGGTACAATATTTAACCCTAAGTGCCTTACCTTGTATAACTCTAAGGTGAATAAGGAGAAGGAATGTGGTGAGAAGGAGGTCGATGACCACAAGGCAAATGACACACATATGGCCCCTCAGTGAGTTCAATGCGCCATCTATCACACAATGGTACAATATTTAACCCTAAGTGCCTTACCTTGTATAACTCTAAGGTGAATAAGGAGAAGGAATGTGGTGAGAAGGAGGTCGATGACCACAAGGCAAATAACACACATATGGCCCCTCAGTGAATTCAATGCGCCATCTATCATATTGCTGCATCTGAAGAGAAAACATTATTATATTGCAAAAATGTCTGTATGGGTGCTTTAAACTAATGGGAATGCATAAACGACTAAAAACTAATTAAGTTTGTAATTCACCAGGGGTAGATTCGATAGGAGATGTCCAATTGTAAGTAGATTTTATAGATTTCTCAACCATTATAGTTGTTGATGTAAAATTAAAGTCAATGTTGTAATCCAAGTAATAAGTGATGAGTAGGTAGATAAGTAACAGTGGAAGTTTTGCCAAGGGAAAATTTTTGCCAAGGGGGAGGAGCATTTAGATAGTTTTGACAAAAAATTATTTGAGAAAAGTGCTCAGAATGGTGAACAACTGTATGATTTTGAAAGAATTTCTGGCCGCTCCCCTAGTATGTATCCAACAAACCGAATATATATTTATTTATTCAGACGAAGGATACAGTCTAGCCGCTCCCCCTGGCTACAGGTAGTATGTATCCAACAGACCGAATATAATATTCGGTCTGTTATGATTGATATATTTCCTATGGAAATCGCGGTGATATTTTTTGCACATAAATTTCTCGTTTATTACAAGAATGTTCACCTTGAAAATTGGTGAATATGTTGAAGAGATGTTCATCTTAAACTAGAAGCAAAAATATTTGTATAAGGCGGGTACAAGTTGATATAAAATAATGAAATGTTCAGACTCACCAAAACTTCAGGATGTGTTTATAAGTACATCGCGAAATCAATGTCAAGGACGTTTGAGTTCACGAGATCCAAACGAGATATGCAAATTTTTTTAACTTTGACAACACATGACCACTTGATTACCTCGGCCTTCTTCATGAATATTTCCGCTCTATTTACTCTATAAATGAAGAAAATTAATCGGGATAATGATAATAAATGACTAGATCTAATAAATTCCCGCACAAATGGAATTTATCAACACGCTTCCGTCCGCTCCACGTGTTATTTGTTTACAAATAGACTGACGTCACTGGCTAAATCTCGTTTATCGTGAGAATTGGCATTGCCAAAATGGCTTGACCTAATCAATGGCTTCGCTACAAGAAGCGTCTGTACATTTTATGAATATCTTCAGTAAGAGGACAATATACGAAAAAATAATATTGTAAGTACTTTACAAGGTAATCATTTTATCATTTAACAAACTTATTTGTAACATTTATTCAACACCACATTTTACAATAGGTGACTTACAGTCTGAATATTTATTCAGACGAAGGATACAGTCTAGGCTACAGGCCTGTCATGTAATATTCAAAATGATATTGAAAGTGAATGACAGTCAAATACTTTTAAACAGGGACCAATCATCTCAGTTGAGCGTCATCATTTCCTTTTCTGTTATCCGTCAACTAAGTTCACTAAACTATTTTTGACGTATCAAATCACAGAATTTTTTACATAAACCAATAACAACGGTTGTATCAGATGCTGGCACAGTTTTGCCGGAAGTTTGCAAGAAGTAACTTTTGGCAATGCAGTATGTTAGAGTAACCTAGTAGGTGTAAGAAAATATAAGGTGATGGCCTTTAAAGTGGTAAAAACAATTTTCACGGCCGAATTGGACTTCAATTCCTGCGATTTCAGGGGGTACTATAAGACTATTTCATAACATAAAGGATATAGTTGCTATTGTTCTGCTTTCTACAGCACACATTACTAGTCCAAAGATGAATAATATCCTAAAGTTATAGGCCGATATCTGTATTAGTCTCAGAAATATTGCAATTAATAGGAAAAAAATATGCAATTTTAGTCATTTTTAAGTCTCACGTATCTTATATTTAAGCTTCCAGCAAAAGATGGCAGCTTAAATAGCTCAAAATTGTTTTCTAAAAACTAATTCAAGCTTTGTTTGATATTGTAATACAATTATAATAATGATAATGTACTATTTAAGATTTTTAATATGACTTTATAGTACCCTACCCCTGGAAAGTGGGCATGGTCAATGTTATCATTTTGCAGCATACAATTAAAAACTTATATTGATAGAAAGCAAATCAATGCATTTTTAACATTTTCACTTGTTACTTGACATTGTAATTCATTCATTACTAAAATATAGGACTCTACATATTTTATATATACGTTTTCAATTTTGTACAATGTATCATGATGAAATCTAATAGGCTGTTTCATTTTCAGTGTTCACTAACGCATGAAATGTAAGTCACAGTGTTTCCAAATTACCTTTGCAATGAGAAAGTACCACAAAGACATAATATGAGCAGTTTCAAGGTCCTAATACTAATACTTACCGATCTATCGGCGTTCAAAAATAGAGAAAGCTGTCGTGGGTGCAGTTTTAACTAACTTTGAACTGAAACTGCTGCTTAATGAATATTTTTCTCAACATCTGTGACTTTTGTAGACCCCAAACATAAGATACCAAGACATAATGCTACCAAGTTCTGATATTGGAAGTTTCAGAGCTCTAGATCAAATATTCACTTCTGCATGTACTTTTAAAAAGAGGCAAAAGGACAAAAAACCTGTCAGATATCGTGAAAAATATGAAAGATGCACTATTCAGAACAATTTATCTCTTAAATGTTACTTTTATTTGACATAATTTCTGATTCTACCTCCAGTTAGTACCACCAATAATACATATGAGAAGACTTAACGTCATAGTAAGTGGAAGTAAAGATCTATTGGCTTCTGAAAATGGGAAAAGCTGTAGCAAGTATGATTTTCACCAGTTTTTCATCTAAGACTGCAACTTTCTGAAGTTTCTTTTTACAAACTGCACAGTAAGACCAAAGACATTAAAGGAAACCTGGTCATTGTACCACCAATAATAGGTAAAAATAATATTGGTAATATATACCAAGTGTTTACTTTAATAGTATAGTTTCCAAATAGCGTTTGAAATCTCGCTAAATCTCGTTTTTCGTGAGATTTTAAGAGACTTGCATATTAGACCTCTAATGACTTACATTACCTTCTTTTAAATGGCATATTTGAATTCAGTGAAATGTTTTCTCCTTTAATAGCTTTGATTTACACAGTTATGTAATTTGAATAATTTTCTATAACAATTTAAAAAAACTTGGGCCAAATGTCCATAGATGCAATGCTAAAATTCTTTAAATCTGTGGATTATTTGTATGTCAATCAACATTTGCATGTTTAATCACATCATGTACATAAACAGGGTCATCATGTGGTATATCATTCAAGTTTTATACAGATTCAACAAACACACTTTGATAAATCATGAAATTAAGCCACTTTTCCAAGATTTTAGCATGTAAATGAATGGAGCTCTAGCCCGAGTTAAAAGCTGAATAAAAGATGGCAGCACGAGATTTCATTGATTTTTCTGCTATTTAGAAACTATCCTATTCCAAGGCATCTGAATTGATAAATAAATGAAATCAGTACTTTATTGTATCTTGGAACAAAATACACTGTTTGAATGCTTAAGCTTGACATCACAGTATCAAGTGAAAGATACGTTGTTATATACAGCTATATATCACTTTAACTGACTTTACTCTTCAATTTGAAATATGCCTGGCCATTCTAAGAAAAATGCGACGGAGGGCAAAGAGGGTGCATGGTATAATTGGTAATTAAGCTCTTCTAGAGTTTAAAGCTCCCACAATTTTTAAAAACGAAATGGAGAATAACATGTGAAAGTATAGGATGGACTAATTTTTCTAAGAAAGTTTTTGAAAGTAATATTGCATGAAATATTTAAGCAAGAGATATGTTCCAAAATACTTTCAGGTAGAAATAATGTATTCTCAGTATTCAATAATAACATTCTTTATAGGGTTTTTGGTCTTAAGCATATCAGTGATTATCCCATGGTTGCAAGGATATAGATCGAATATCACATGAAGATATATTTGATATGTGGATCAAGTTATAATATTTTAGCAAAAAATTCACAAACCATTGAATATCACTTTTAAACTATCGAATATCACGTCTTAAAAAGTGATATTCGGTGGTTTGAAAAGTGATATTCCATGGTTTCGAATTTTTTCAAAAAAAAATTCTTTTTTACATTTTTTAATTATTTTCAAAAATATTAAAAAAAATTTCAACATTTTTTCACAATTTTTTTTCAATTATTTTTTCAAATTTTTTCTCGAATTATATTTTTCACATTTTTTAGCTGATGATGATTTCCCATGGGATGAATAAATTTTTTTTTAAAAATATCAATTATATCCACTCATGGATACAAATATCTTCACTCACTCGCTGCGCTCACTCATGAAAATATCAATATCCACTCATGGATATAAATGATATTTTTTCAAAACCATAGGATATTCCTATATTATATCAATCCGGATGCTGAAGTCACTTAATAAATAATAACTAGATGTAACTCCTAGTAAGCACTTCAAGTTTCAGTTCTAAATAAAATACAGTTTAGTTAAAAAATTGTTAAGAATACATACATTTTTTCACAATCACAATTTCACCATTTCTGACTGTATTTTGCATATTTTTAGGTGTCAATGGTTCAATGATTATTTGATATAACCTCCTGAAACTACTCTCATATATATTTGGTGGTACAGTGATATGGAATCCTGTCTTTTGGGGTCTCACGGAATTCTTGTTTTAGAGAAGAAAATCCCGAAAGCTGCAGTTTAATATTATGAATTATAGGTGAAAATTGCACTTGCTACACTGCTTCTCCCATTTTTAGATGCTAATAAATCTGTAACTACACTTACTATGACCTTAAGTCTACTCATATGTATTATTGGTATTACTAACTAGAGGCAGAATCAGAAATTATGGTAAATAAAAGTAAAATTTAAGAGATAAATTGTTCTGAATAGTGCATTTTGTCACATTTTTTCGCGTTATCTGACTGCATTTTGTGTCTTTTGGGTCTTTTTAAGAGTCCATGCAGATATGCATACTTGATCTAGAGCTCTGAAATTTTCAATACCAGAATTTGGTAGCACTATGTCTTGATATCCTGTGTTTGGACTCTAACCAAATCACAGTTGTTGAGAAAAAAATTCATAAGTAGCAGTTTTAATTCAAAATTAGTTGAAATGGCACTCAATACAGCTTTCCTCATTTTTGAAAGCTGATAGATCGGCAAGCATTTACACCATGATCTTGAATCTGGGCATACATATTCTTAATGGCACTATCTTATTGCCCAGATATTGTGGAAACATTGTGACTTATATTCCATGTGATAGTAAGCACTGAAAATGGACTTGTAGCATTGTGGCGGATCCCCCATACAAAAAAAACATAGGTAACGTTGATCAGTCCTGCTATTTTTTGTGGCTATTGGTCATATAGTAGATCATTTTGTCAAAAGGTAAGGGTGATCTGAGAAAAAGTTTGTAAATTGAAACAGCCTATTAGATTTCATTATGATACATTGTACAAAATTGAAATTGTATATATAAAATATGTAGAGTCCTATATTTTAATAATAAATGAATTACATTGTCAAGTAACAAGTGAAGATGTTTTATATGCATTGATTTGCTTTCTATCAATACAAGTTTTTAATTGTATGCTGCAAAATGATAACATTGACCACGCCCACTTTCCAGGGGTAGGGTACTATAAAGTCATATTAAAAATCATAAATAGTACATTATCATTATTATAATTGTATTACAATATCAAACAAAGCTTGAATGAGTTTTTAGAAAACAATTTTGAGCTATTTAAGCTGCCATCTTTTGCTGGAAGCTACAAATATAAGATACGTGAGACTTAAAAATGACCAAAATTGCGTATTTTTTCCTATTAATTGCAATATTTCTGAGACTAATACAAATATCAGCCTATAACTTTAGGATATTATTCATCTTTGGACTAGTAATGTGTGCTGTAGAAAGCAGAACAATAGCAACTATATCCTTTATGTTATGAAATAGTCTTATAGTACCCCCTGAAATCGCAGGAATTGAAGTCCAATTCGGCCGTGAAAATTGTTTTTACCACTTAAGGACAGGGTGCATGTTGGGAAATTTTCTGCATTCCTCAATTGAGTCACATGTTATTTTTCAAACATGAATAACTCCTTCCCCACATTGTCTACATCTTCCAAGTTTGCACAAAGAGTGCACTCCTGTGCCTAGAAAAGCCTTGTGAGAAGGTTTGTTTTGTAAAATGTATAAAAAAATGAGAAAATTCAGTGAAAAAATTTCTGAAAATTTTCTGATTTTTTTCACTGAATTTTCTTGTTTTTTATACACTTTCTCAAAACATTCTTCTCACAAGTCTTTTCTAGGCACATAAGTGCACTCATTGTGCAAAACTGGAAGATATAGACAATGAAGGGAAGGAGTGATTCTTGTTTGAAAAATAACATGTGACTCAATTGAGGAATGCAGAAAATTTCCCATCATGCACCCTGACCTTAAAAGGCCATCACCTTATATTTTCTTACACCTACTAGGTTACTCTAACATACTGCATTGCCAAAAGTTACTTCTTGCAAACTTCCGGCAAAACTGTGCCAGCATCTGATACAGGTAGGTTTCCGGAAATTCTGAATCGATGGGCCGTGACGGAGGCACGGAGAATAGTGTCTAAAAAATCAGATTTTTTTAACAAATGAAAAAATAAATAACACTTACGATTGGGTCCGTTTTCTTGACTTATTTGATTCCAAATCTGTATTTTTATCGCTATGTCCATCGGCACGATACATATTGTTTTAAGTATAACAATTAGATAATTGTGAATTGCTATATGGGAACAAAATACACCTGTAATCAGGAGCAGGTAGATTTCCAGTTATCTCGATAATTCCGCCATTCTTATGGAGAACCGCAACCTTGTTGACGGTTGAAAATCGTATCGAAACTATAACATTTTTGATGAAAATTAGTCACATTAAATTTAATTAAAATTATTGTACCATGCTTTTATCAGAATTAATCTAATATAAATATTGAATCTATCATTTGAATGAGATTTAAACATTTCAATAATGATTTCGATTCACCACAGTTGCAAGGATTGACGTAACTCAAATGTGAAAGTTGAAAAAAGTTAATTTCCAATCTATTTGTACATTTACGCTCATAAATGGTGTTGTAGTCCAATATAAACCTGATTTGCGAATAGTATTTATGTCCCGACAATAGGTGAGAACAATTTATTTTATTATTTTCCTCTGTATATTTCAATAATTTCAGGGGAATCCTGAGTTCTAAAAACCCGCGTTTTTTTAATTTTGATTTTTTGGTGATCAGGTTGTCTCAGGGTTGTCTACACACAGGTAGGGATCAAATTCGCCACTTCCCGTTCATACCGCCGTTTTCGGTAGAGGTTACCGCGCCTTCGAGTAGAAATACCGCCCCTTCGAGTAGAAATCACGGACAGGTAGGTCATAGACTGAATCGTAATTCACAATAATTATCCGATCTGTTTATGGTCTAATAAGTTGAATCACATATTTATCTACCATTTTCACCCATGTCCCACGCCAGCTTACCTCAAGTTTCTTCATAAACGGGCGCACAGTCGGGAATTATCATTCGAAAATCTCTCGTGGCCAGTTGTTTTGGTAAAACTCGTGTTTGTATTAGTTCCCCCAGCTACCACATATAATTGGAATTGTGCCATGAATGTTAAAGATAATATCCTTTTGTTCGTTCATATAATATTCCATCCCATTTGACGATCAACACAATTTGACACGAAGCTCCACTGTTTCTTTGTAACAGTTCCTGGGACACCTTATTAGTAGGTGTACTGTACATGTACGTACATTGAATATTGATTCCAGTTCATCTGCTGGCATATGTTAAACGAAGTGTGCAAACTGCAATCAGGCTCCGAGTTATGTGCTGAATATTCACAAAGGTAAATCTCCTACCATTCACATCTACACCATTCTAGGGGAAAACCTAAAGTCGGTAACACACATCCCATACCTACATATATGTATTGACATCACAAATAATGTACGCTTGACTACATATATTCAAACTATCCAAAGCCAATAAAGTGCTTTGGTTCCTCAGACGCAACCTCCATCAATGGCCTTAAAAAGTGAAGGCTCAGGCATATAAGACACTAGTCCTGCAGAATATGCCAGTTCTGCATGGGATCCATACCGGCAAAAATATTGATATGTTGGAACAGGAGCAGAGAAGAGCAGCCAGGTTTGTAAATAACTGTTTTTTCAATGGTGTGGAATAGCACTATATTGGGAAGGAATTCTCTATTTTGTACACATACGATGTTAGTTTCTCGCGAATAGGCCCATGGGCGTTTATTTGAAAGTGGGCTGTATGAAAAGGTTTTTCCCTCTTTAAAAGGTAACTGGTCAACTCAACCCCAAGTCAACTCAACCCAAGTCAAGTCAACCCTTAGTCAACTCGACCCCAAGTCAAGTCAACCCTTAGTCAACTCGACCCCAAGTCATCTCAACCCTTGGTCAACTCAACCCTTAGTCAACTCGACCCCACCATATTTAAATATCTATAAAAACAATTAATAGATGTACCTTTCATTATGATATTGATGAATTTTGAAAGAATTAGGGATAAATTAGAAACTAGATATAAATCGGAAGTTAAGTAATTTTCTGAATTTATTGATTGTAAAAAAGTTAGGTGAATTAATTCTAAAAGATTAAATCATATTGGTTTTATCTAGAGAAGTTTATGCTAAACACTTTTAATTTAACAATTTATAATTTTTATGAATATGACATTTATTTACCAAAATAATACGTGATTAATATGAGTATAGTTTTAACAGAATTAGCCTAGCCTATCTTAATAGGGCTATTCACGATGCTATTCATATATTTCACACCTTCAAGGTAAATTGGCTGGCTATTGGATTAACTTTCCAATATAAATTTGTTTATTAAAAATTATTTCAAATAAATGCCCAGTTGGCAAAACATTCGAGAAAAGGGATGAAATTGCGAATAGTACATATGTAAGGTAATACGTGATTAATGTCGTTCAAGTACAAATGATTAATAAAAATGAGGTCACATATTGGTCAACGTTTTTGCCCACGTTCGTGATCATACTAGTGCGTGAGTATGAAGGCCATGTGTCAACTATACAATCGATAATATCCCCCTAGCTATTCCTCCTTGGAAAATTGTTTTCTCCCTCTTAATATAGGCCCATGGGCGTTTATTAAAAATTCTTTCAAATAAACGCCCTGTGCAAAATAAACGCCCGTAGGCCTATTCGCGAGAGAGAGTAAAGAATAACTTGTAGATTTGTGATCATAACCACTGGCGAATCCAGAAGATAACAAAGGGGGGGGGGGGTGTACATTTCAAATCCAAAAACTTTGAATGCCCATTTTTGATAATTTGACCTAAAAAGGCCCACTGCAAAAATTTTGGGCACACAATTGTTTGTGGGCCCCGGTAATTTGGCTCATTAACATAAATGTGACGACGTTTTTGCACTTTAACCAACCAGGACAGCAGAGGTTTTGATTTTCGTGGCCTCTTTGTTTAAATGTTTACGACATAAAGGTGAGAAGTTTTGCTGTATTTTATTGCAATTCTTTAAAAATTGATGGGCTGCGATTTGAGAAATTCTAATCTATTTACATAGACTATGATTTGTATCGTTTTTGAAAGAACTCTAAAAACGACACAAATCACGTGTTAATAGTTCTCTGTGATCTGAACTTTGCCAATTTAACATTAATCTGAATAAAAGGAGAGTTCTACCTAACTGAAACCAAAATACGATTAAGGTGCGTAATCCAAAAACGAAAACGGCGGAATTTGACAGAAACTGTAAAGTCGAAACAATGCTGGTATAACAGGTATATTCTTATACATTTAGCCATTTAAACAGTAAAATCAATCAAATTTTACGTTGGACGAGGTGTGAAGGAACAAAAATGACCCCAAATCCAAGAAAAACGTACTTAACTGAAATGGTGGATGTCAGGGGGTAATTTGTGTGCTGTCCTACGAGCAACCTAGACCAAAGATGATATGAAACACATTCCTCTAACTGAATATACTATGAAGAAAGGGCTAGGTTGACTGAATTAAAAGATAGAGCCTTTGTATTCGTAAATTCTGTCGATTATCTACTCGAAGGAGCGGCAACCTGTACGGAAAACAGCGGTATGGACGCGAAGGTGCGATCTGATCCCTACCTGTGCTACAGGGCCGGTGAATTCGTACGATCCGCGATCCGATCCGGATAAATTTCGTCATGGTAATGATGCATTGTGGGATTAATCCAAGAATTTATCCAAAAATCGGTGAATTCGTACGATCCTCGGATTAATCTCAGGATAAATCTCAATCCACCTCTTGAGGTGGATTACTTTTTGGATAAATTTTGTCCGAATTCCAATGCAAATTGGATAAATCTTGGGGATTCCCCCTAATAATCCTCGGATCGTACGAATTCACCAAATCATAATCCGGATTAGTAATCCAAGATTTATCCCAGAAGATAAAATTTATCTGGATTGGATTGGGGATCGTACGAATTCACAGCCCCAGGCCTGTCAACTTGGGATCACCCAACATGAGTGACTTATAAATTTTAAAGACCTTTCTTCAAATTGTGGACACCTTGGTCCAAATCTGAACACCTCAACTTTTGAACACCTTGGTTTTTCGATGAAAATGCGATATCTCGATGAAAATGCATGACATATATGGTATCTGCGTGAAAAGTCCGAACGAAATGCATTTGCTTATTTTAGGCGTTCTTTTTTTGCTGTATCAGCAATCACTTTTTTGAAGTTCTTCTACAGAAATATTTTTGCTTGACATAGAGTCCATTTCACTGCTTCATTTCGTCAGTAGAACGGCAAAAATAAGAAATTGGGAGACCATTGTGCAATAATATATGGAAAAGTATATTCATAATGTACATGAATGACATTTGTATATCTTGGATTGCTTCTAGTTTGGCTTATAAAGTGTGTGGCCTCTTATATTTGGATGTTTCTCTGCCATGTTATTTTCAATAAGATTAACTTGGCTGAAATTCTTCAAATTACAAGACGGCACAGACTTATTGCACAAAAAACTAAAAAATCTGAAATATACAAATGTCATTCATGTACATTATGAATATACTTTTCCATATATTATTGCACAATGGTCTCCCAATTTCTTATTTTTACCGTTCTACTGACAAAATGAAGCAGTGAAATGGACTCTACATTTACAGTGCTCACCATAAAGAATTACAAAAGGTATGGAAATTACATGCTGTCGCACATGTAATAAATTCTTACCCCAGTGTATTCAGTGCTCTATTTTCTCCGTCCTAGTAAGTCCAGATATAGTGGAATTCGTGTCCATAATGACAAATAAGAACTTAAAAATTTGAAGTGGAATTCACATGTTAATGCCGACTCTTCAAATGTTGAGGTGATTTTGGAGCCGGATTACACGGCAATGGGAATTGGCTTCCAGAATGCAACATGACACGTGTCAGCTTTCAAAATGCCGCTCAGCCATTTTGAAATCTGTCACGAGTAAATAAGGTTACCTGATGTTGCATTCTGGGAGTCAATCTTCCTTGGATCACAAACATGGCGATTCATGAAAACATTCGTTCGATTTGGTAGGGTTTTATCCATCATTTACAGGTATGAAGCTTTGGATTCATTTATTGTGCTACTTAAAGTCAATGGGAATTATTTTTTGACCGCTTGGATTTAGCTCATTGTGACAACTTTTGAGGGTTGAGATTTATTTTTTCACCCCACTTTATAATCAGGTAAAATGCGTATTTGCGTGACATATTCTGTCATGCCAAAATAACTGGCGTGACTTCAAATTTTCCAGAAAATGCGTGACAAATACGCAAATTGCGGGACAGTTGGATGCCCTGTGTCTATGTCTATGTCAATAATCTGCAAAAGGCTAAGCCCATATACAGTAAAATTTTAAATGTTTGGAACTACTTTGAATTAAAAAAATAAGCAATCAAAGGAATAATTATTGAAACAACATATGTAAAAATAGAAACATTTATATATGTCCTTACTTTTGTATATTTTAGTTTGTTTTGTAGTTTAGCTATCAATCTGTGGTCTCTTATATTTTGACGCTTCTCTGCCATGTTATTTTCGGAAAAATTAACATGGCTGAAACTCCCTAAATTACAAAAGGCCACAGCTTTTTTTCTAGTAAATATTTAATGACGTAAATCAAGATTATTTTTACCTGTAGTACTTTCTAAGACAAATTTTCCATGTCTTTTTCTTCTCAGATTGGTCAGTGTCCATGGATTATGCCCAATGCCAAAATTGGCCTTGCTGCACATACCTACCCAAATCATTTAGAGAGAACCCCCTGGGGATAAGAGTCAGTACATCGCCACAACTAAAAGTGCATGTACTTGTGAATATCTTGTGGTTGAAAATAAGCTAGATTTGTGGTTATTTACCTATTTAGGTAAAATTCAGTTTTGTGTCAAGTTTTTCAACCCCAAGATTCCAATACACATGTAGTTGATGACTGATGTACTGAAAATCACATTTATGGGGGTAATCAGTCTTTCCGTCCTTCTGTCTGGAAGATAACTTGAATACTAGTAAATAGTTTTATCAGTGAATTTTTTCAAGACAGGTGCCACTTTAAAGATGGCTTGAATTTTTTGCCAAAATTTAAGTTTTTCAATTTTAGCCAAAGTAATAAATATTACTGGCATTTTTTCAAAATGGGTCACTAAGGAGCAAAATCCTTTTATTTAGTTTTAATTATGAGTCAAGAAAAGAAGTCTAACATGGGAAGTGTGATTAACGAAGATTGAATGACAAGAACGACTTTGAGAATTTGTCTTGACAACTGTCATTGTGAATCGGGCGTCAAACATTTGACTTGGAAAATTCAATTCTTTATTTCCTGATGTCAAAAATGTTATTCTAGGACATGTATGTTACACCCAATTGATTTATCTCCAAAATGAAACCTAAATGAGCTAGGCTATTTCTGACCATTAAAATATAGGTTTTTAAGTTCTCAGTAGCCGGGTAGTGATCGTGTTACCTTCCATCTCTTTTGATTGGTTTATTTGATCGATGGCTGTGCGATTCAATTTTATGTATTATTATTGCTTTGAGCAATTATAAAAAACATATTTGCCAGAACAGATGCTGAAATCTTGGTTCATGATATACAAGTAATACTTGATTTAGAAATGTTGAAATGGCCAATTTAGTCACTTTAATTTTGACATACCCCTTACTCTCATTGCAGATTATTTTTTGAGCAAGAGATAATGGTGACACCATTTGTTGAAGGATGGGACTTTGTGCAGACACTTGGAGAAGGAGCCTACGGAGAGTAAGTTACAGTAAAACCCATCTAATGTGTTTGGATTAACGGTTGTTCACATTTCAAGGTAACATAGTAAAACCTGTTTTAGTGAAACACCTTTGGAACTGCAAAAAAGCATTTCACTTAGGTGTTCCAAATGTAGAGGTTTGTTTAACATTAAGTCAGTTAGCTCTGGGACTCTGAAAAGAGTTAAACTATTAGGGGTGTTCTACTTCTAGAGGTGTTTCACTTTACAGGTTTCACTAACTGCATGTGAGTCTATCTGAGGTAACAGAATTTGGACCAAGAAAAAATATTCACATTTAAAGATGTTCTGATATATATGCAAGTTTCACTGTAACATCTGACCCCAAAAATTCAGAACCCAGTTTGAATAATGTTGTTTTAGGATTGAGTAATTTGTACTGGAGCCTCTTTTTTATGGGGTGCTTATTAATACAAATATGGAATGGTCTTGTTATGTTTTATAATATACTAACATATACAATATATAATATTATCTCTTCTTTATTCAAATATGACGGTGAACGCAACAAATACAAAGTATACTCATGTATATAATATAAACCGTTTCCTACATTATAGAATGTCCTTACTCTAAAGGCCATGAATTATTTCTTCATAAATATTTAACTTCATTATCAAAGTGTGTCTTCTGCTTTAGAGTGAAACAAGAGGCAGTGCCTGTGGAGATAATTGTATATAAATATAAAATATGAAACTTCGTTATCAAAGTGTATGTTCTACTTTAGAGTGAAACTTGCTTGAGACCCAAGAGGCAGTGCCTGTGGAGATAATTGCATATAAATATATAATATGAAACTTCTTTATCAAAGTGTATGTTCTACTTTAGAGTGAAACTTGCTTGAGACCCAAGAGGCAGTGCCTGTGGAGATAATTGCATATAAATATATAATATGAAACTTCTTTATCAAAGTGTATGTTCTACTTTAGAGTGAAACTTGCTTGAGACCCAAGAGGCAGTGCCTGTGGAGATAATTGCATATAAATATATAATATGAAACTTCTTTATCAAAGTGTATGTTCTACTTTAGAGTGAAACTTGCTTGAGACCCAAGAAGCAGTGCCTGTGGAGATAATTGCATATAAATATATAATATGAAACTTCTTTATCAAAGTGTATGTTCTACTTTAGAGTGAAACTTGCTTGAGACCCAAGAGGCAGTGCCTGTGGAGATAATTGCATATAAATATATAATATGAAACTTCTTTATCAAAGTGTATGTTCTACTTTAGAGTGAAACTTGCTTGAGACCCAAGAAGCAGTGCCTGTGGAGATAATTGCATATAAATATATAATATGAAACTTCTTTATCAAAGTGTATGTTCTACTTTAGAGTGAAACTTGCTTGAGACCCAAGAGGCAGTGCCTGTGGAGATAATTGCATATAAATATATAATATGAAACTTCTTTATCAAAGTGTATGTTCTACTTTAGAGTGAAACTTGCAGTAAATACAGAGACCCAAGAGGCAGTTGCTGTGAAGATAATTGACCTTAGAAAGGAATCTTCCGTAGCAGACAATGTTAGAAAAGAGGTATCTGTTATAACCAGTGTTACAATTTACTGATTCAACTATCGTATTGTGGTTAGTGTCATTCAATAATAAGAATCAAATACAGAAAATTATTGTGCCTGAAAAGTCTGTATTTTACAAAAATTCACTATTCAATTATGATATTTAGGCCAAGTATATCGTGTTTCAAATGGACTTTCAAAAGAAAATGATTTGGACATCAAATTGTATGATAGGGATGCAGGCCCATAGCCAGGGGGGCTCGATGGGTTCGAGCGAACCCCCTCCTCGCCAAGAAATCATTCTGAGCACTCTTTAAGTGATTTTGGCCATTTTTGGACCAAAATTGTCACAAATGAACCCCCCACCTGGAATTTTTCAAAAAGTGAACCCCCTTGGCAAATCCTGGCTACGGGCCTGAGATAGTTATGCTAGAAAGTGTAATTTGTAATAAAAATTGATAACAGACCTATAAGATGGCAATTTCATAATTATTGAATAACTCATTTAATTTATTACAGGTTTGTGTTCATAAAATGCTTAAACATGAGAATGTGGTCAGATTCTTTGGGACCAGGAAGGAGGATTCACTGCAATATATATTCTTGGAGTATGCTAGTGGAGGGGAGCTCTTTGATAGGATAGGTAAGGAGGATTCTCTGCAATATATATTCTTGGAGTATGCTAGTGGAGAGGAGCTGTTTGATAGGATAGGTAAGGAGGATTCTCTGCAATATATATTCTTGGAGTATGCTAGTGGAGGGGAGCTGTTCGATAGGATAGGTAAGGAGGATTCTCTGCAATATTTATTCTTGGAGTATGCTAGTGGAGGGGAGCTGTTCGATAGGATAGGTAAGGAGGATTCTCTGCAATATATATTCTTGGAGTATGCTAGTGGAGGGGAGCTGTTCGATAGGATAGGTAAGGAGGATTCTCTGCAATATATATTCTTGGAGTATGCTAGTGGAGGGGAGCTGTTTGATAGGATAGGTAAGGAGGATTCTCTGCAATATATATTTTTGGAGTATGCTAGTGGAGGGGAGCTGTTTGATAGAATAGGTAAGGAGGATTCTCTGCAATATATATTCTTGGAGTATGCTAGTGGAGGGGAGCTGTTCGATAGGATAGGTAAGGAGGGTTCTCTGCAATATATATTCTTGGAGTATGCTAGTGGAGGGGAGCTGTTTGATAGGATAGGTAAGGAGGATTCTCTGCAATATATATTCTTGGAGTATGCTAGTGGAGGGGAGCTGTTTGATAGAATAGGTAAGGAGGATTCACTGCAATATATATTCTTGGAGTATGCTAGTGGAGGGGAGCTGTTTGATAGAATAGGTAAGGAGGATTCTCTGCAATATATATTCTTGGAGTATGCTAGTGGAGGGGAGCTGTTTGATAGGATAGGTAAGGAGGATTCACTGCAATATATATTCCTGGAGTATGCTAGTGGAGGGGAGCTGTTCGATAGGATAGGTAAGGAGGATTCTCTGCAATATATATTCTTGGAGTATGCTAGTGGAGGGGAGCTGTTTGATAGGATAGGTAAGGAGGATTCACTGCAATATATATTCTTGGAGTATGCTAGTGGAGGGGAGCTGTTTGATAGGATAGGTAAGGAGGATTCACTGCAATATATATTCCTGGAGTATGCTAGTGGAGGGGAGCTGTTTGATAGGATAGGTAAGGAGGATTCTCTGCAATATATATTCTTGGAGTATGCTAGTGGAGGGGAGCTGTTTGATAGGATAGGTAAGGAGGATTCTCTGCAATATATATTCTTGGAGTATGCTAGTGGAGGGGAGCTGTTCGATAGGATAGGTAAGGAGGATTCTCTGCAATATATATTCTTGGAGTATGCTAGTGGAGGGGAGCTGTTTGATAGGATAGGTAAGGAGGATTCTCTGCAATATATATTCTTGGAGTATGCTAGTGGAGGGGAGCTGTTTGATAGGATAGGTAAGGAGGATTCTCTGCAATATATATTCTTGGAGTATGCTAGTGGAGGGGAGCTGTTCGATAGGATAGGTAAGGAGGATTCTCTGCAATATATATTCTTGGAGTATGCTAGTGGAGGGGAGCTGTTCGATAGGATAGGTAAGGAGGATTCACTGCAATATATATTCTTGGAGTATGCTAGTGGAGGGGAGCTGTTTGATAGGATAGGTAAGGAGGATTCTCTGCAATATATATTCTTGGAGTATGCTAGTGGAGGGGAGCTGTTTGATAGGATAGGTAAGGAGGATTCACTGCAATATATATTCCTGGAGTATGCTAGTGGAGGGGAGCTGTTTGATAGGATAGGTAAGGAGGATTCTCTGCAATATATATTCTTGGAGTATGCTAGTGGAGGGGAGCTGTTCGATAGGATAGGTAAGGAGGATTCACTGCAATATATATTCTTGGAGTATGCTAGTGGAGGGGAGCTGTTTGATAGGATAGGTAAGGAGGATTCTCTGCAATATATATTCTTGGAGTATGCTAGTGGAGGGGAGCTGTTTGATAGGATAGGTAAGGAGGATTCTCTGCAATATATATTCTTGGAGTATGCTAGTGGAGGGGAGCTGTTTGATAGGATAGGTAAGGAGGATTCACTGCAATATATATTCCTGGAGTATGCTAGTGGAGGGGAGCTGTTTGATAGGATAGGTAAGGAGGATTCTCTGCAATATATATTCTTGGAGTATGCTAGTGGAGGGGAGCTGTTTGATAGGATAGGTAAGGAGGATTCACTGCAATATATATTCTTGGAGTATGCTAGTGGAGGGGAGCTGTCTGATAGGATAGGTAAGGAGGATTCTCTGCAATATATATTCTTGGAGTATGCTAGTGGAGGGGAGCTGTTTGATAGGTAAGGAGGATTCTCTGCAATATATATTCTTGGAGTATGCTAGTGGAGGGGAGCTGTTCGATAGGATAGGTAAGGAGGATTCACTGCAATATATATTCTTGGAGTATGCTAGTGGAGGGGAGCTGTTTGATAGGATAGGTAAGGAGGATTCTCTGCAATATATATTCTTGGAGTATGCTAGTGGAGGGGAGCTGTTCGATAGGATAGGTAAGGAGGATTCACTGCAATATATATTCTTGGAGTATGCTAGTGGAGGGGAGCTGTTTGATAGGATAGGTAAGGAGGATTCTCTGCAATATATATTCTTGGAGTATGCTAGTGGAGGGGAGCTGTTTGATAGGATAGGTAAGGAGGATTCACTGCAATATATATTCCTGGAGTATGCTAGTGGAGGGGAGCTGTTCGATAGGATAGGTAAGGAGGATTCTCTGCAATATATATTCTTGGAGTATGCTAGTGGAGGGGAGCTGTTTGATAGGATAGGTAAGGAGGATTCTCTGCAATATATATTCTTGGAGTATGCTAGTGGAGAGGAGCTGTTTGATAGGATAGGTAAGGAGGATTCACTGCAATATATATTCTTGGAGTATGCTAGTGGAGGGGAGCTGTTTGATAGGATAGGTAAGGAGGATTCTCTGCAATATATATTCTTGGAGTATGCTAGTGGAGGGGAGCTGTTTGATAGGATAGGTAAAGAGGATTCTCTGCAATATATATTCTTGGAGTATGCTAGTGGAGGGGAGCTGTTTGATAGGATAGGTAAGGAGGATTCTCTGCAATATATATTCTTGGAGTATGCTAGTGGAGGGGAGCTGTTTGATAGGATAGGTAAGGAGGATTCTCTGCAATATATATTCTTGGAGTATGCTAGTGGAGGGGAGCTGTTTGATAGGATAGGTAAGGAGGATTCTCTGCAATATATATTCTTGGAGTATGCTAGTGGAGGGGAGCTGTTTGATAGGATAGGTAAGGAGGATTCTCTGCAATATATATTCTTGGAGTATGCTAGTGGAGGGGAGCTGTTTGATAGGATAGGTAAGGAGGATTCTCTGCAATATATATTCTTGGAGTATGCTAGTGGAGGGGAGCTGTTTGATAGGATAGGTAAGGAGGATTCTCTGCAATATATATTTTTGGAATATGCTAGTGGAGGGGAGCTGTTTGATAGAATAGGTAAGGAGGATTCTCTGCAATATATATTTTTGGAGTATGCTAGTGGAGGGGAGCTGTTTGATAGAATAGGTAAGGAGGATTCTCTGCAATATATATTCTTGGAGTATGCTAGTGGAGGGGAGCTGTTCGATAGGATAGGTAAGGAGGATTCTCTGCAATATATATTCTTGGAGTATGCTAGTGGAGGGGAGCTGTTTGATAGGATAGGTAAGGAGGATTCTCTGCAATATATATTCTTGGAGTATGCTAGTGGAGGGGAGCTGTTTGATAGGATAGGTAAGGAGGATTCTCTGCAATATATATTCTTGGAGTATGCTAGTGGAGGGGAGCTGTTTGATAGGATAGGTAAGGAGGATTCTCTGCAATATATATTTTTGGAGTATGCTAGTGGATGGGAGCTGTTTGATAGGATAGGTAAGGAGGATTCTCTGCAATATATATTCTTGGAGTATGCTAGTGGAGGGGAGCTGTTGGATAGGATAGGTAATGACTCACTAGCCTGAGTTTATACTGTCTGTTGCTATCATTTCATTTCATTTCTGATGCATGACATCATGTTAAAGTCTCCAATTTTTTGTGGATGGTGTTCTGTGGTTAATGTCCAGTGATTAGTATATGTAACAAATGGCAGTAAGTGACATTTGCATGATTGATAGTAAAATAATGCTCTTACCAGTATTAATGATATTACCGGTATATGTTTGTTTTTACAAGAACCTTTATATTTTGATAATTCAGTTTTTCTAGACCACCAGCGGACTTCCGCCCAGAGCCAATATTATATGCAATACACTGATAGAACTTATGCAGATCCTTGGGGATAGTTATCAGTGGTCATGAAATGCTACTTAATCATTACATCTATTACATTAAAATCAATTGATCAAAATATATATTCATATATCATTTGAATCATATTGATACAGAAAAGTTCTGTACATACATATGTACTTGCCATATGTACCTGCCATATATGTGCATATTCTGCAAAACTAGTTTCATTGAAAAATTCAAAATATGTTTTCTTTTTTTTATAATTCATTAATAAGAACCCTAACTAAACTTTTCCCATTTTTATTGCTTGAATAGATTGTAGAGAGAGGTTTAGTTCTATCCCACTTGGGTAGACTAACTTTTTAACATCAGGATTTCATTTTCGAATTTCATTAACCAATTATGATTTTGATGACACTATGTCCATGCATTTCAGAGCCTGATGTTGGAACGTCCCAGCCTGAGGCCCAGAGGTTCTTCAAGCAGCTCATTACTGGAGTGGTAAGTCAAAGCATGGCTCCTATGATTTTGTTACAAGTTGCATAGAATGCTGAAAGAATTACACATGGATCAAAGTAAATTTCGAATGAAAGTGTCAATTTTACACATGCTTTGAGTTCAAATTCGCATAGGATGGCTCTTGCTTGCATAGGCTGTCACAAACAAGTTGCACTTCACATAGGGTGCGAGATTTGAAGTCACGTGACATTTACATCCTGGTTTCTACAATGCAGCGCCCTCCATAGAAAGTTAAAAGTCACTCGAGATTTCAAAAAATCACGAACAAAATCTCAAACCTCTCTAGAAACCAATTTATGTTGCATCAAGGTGTGTGATCTTCACGTCATCATGGTTTGTGAATGGAAAAACATTTGTACGAGCCGTATAATATACTAAGCATTTGTTCGACTAGTGTAACCTGTTCGATGTAATTTTAAACAATGCATTCACAAATGTGCATGTACAAGTGTGATTTCACCAACATAGTGTGTGCAAACTCGAATAAACCGTGTATGAAATCACATGGATTGTGTATACATGTATTCTGCTAGAAGCTATCACATAAATATAAGATGTCCAATTTTAACACCATAAAGAACAAGTATACAGTTAAACCTGTCTATCAAAGCACCTCTTTAATCTGAACACATCTCAAACTGAAGACTTCCAATATTGTTATCTCCCATTGAGGTGTTTTACAAGGTGAAATGTAAACACCTTCTGCAAAACAAAAAGCCATGCATTTTTGGATGGTTATATAGTGGTGTTTGGATGAGATATGTTTTACTGTAGATACTGACTTCACATTTCAACCATATAGCCAATATTTCAAATAATGCCAATATTTCAAACATAATGTCAACATTTCAATGTAATGTCAATAGTTCAAATAATGCCAATATTTCAACCATATAGCCAATATTTCAAATAATGCCAATATTTCAACCATATAGCCAATATTTCAAATAATGCCAATATTTCAACTATACAGCCAATATTTCAAACAAAATGTCAACTTCACTGTAATGCAATTATTTAAAAAATAATGCCAATAATGTTAACATAATGCTAATATTTCAAATATAATGCCAATATTTTCAACAAATGCCAATATTTCAAAAATAATGCCAATATTGTCAACAATGTCAAAATCAAAATTTAAGAGTTCATAACAGTACAATGTACATGAGCATGGATTGTTCTTATTTTCTATTTCAGGAATATCTTCACAAACTTGGCGTCACTCATCGGGATTTGAAACCAGAGAATTTACTTCTTGATGATGCAGGTAAGAGTTTTTATCGAAACATCAGATTAACATCCAAACATGCAACATCATATAATATAAGGTAAAATTGAATGAAACTCAAAATTTCATTTGACTCATTTTAAAGATCTTTCTGTTTGCAGATAACATGAAAATCACAGACTTTGGATTAGCAACAATATTCCGCCACAATGGCAGAGAACGTAAAATGGAGCGGTGTTGTGGAACGGTGCCTTACGTTGCCCCAGAGGTGTTAAAGAAAGTGCCATATTATGCTGAACCTGCTGACATCTGGAGTACTGGTATCATCCTTGTAGCTCTCCTGGCAGGAGGTGAGAATTTCATACCAACTATTTCCTTGCATCCATTGCTCGTTAAGTGCTCTATTGATCTGAACAATCTGTAAAATGTGTGAATACAGTTCTCACTGTTCCACAGCTGGATGACTCGAACTACAGTTAGCGTCATTCAAGATGGTTGCCGAAATTCTTTCGTTTTTGACAAACCTCCAATATCAGCTAAACTAAGTTGAATCTGGATTCCACGATTGTAAGATTGTAAACAACCACTGATAAATGCTCTAACAACCGCGATATGGGTGAAAATTTTGGAATCAAGTTTAGCTGAAATCGGAGGTTTGTCGAAAAAGAAAGAATATCGGCAACCATCTTGAATGACGCTAACTGCAGTTAGAGGTTTTTTTTTCATTTCGCATTTATTCCATATATAATATATAAAAATACAATATTATTGCCTACGTTTTTCAACATTGTCAGCAATATACAAAACATGTCAAACTGGAAATAATGGAAATAGTGGTTCTGTTATCAAGTGCCATCTCTTCATTCTGGTCTTTGGAGCACACAATAGAACCTTAAATTATATTTCAAAGATCGAACACCACCAGAAACGTTCTCCCTAAATCAGCAAGCATTTCTAAATGTCCGCCATGAACAGTTTGTTTAGGCCGTACCTTCCAACCTTTCAAAATAACCTATTTTCACAAATTTCATAAATGTGTACTTCACTTTATTTTGCTAAATATTTGTGTTTTATGGAATTTAAATCTTTTTCAAAGGAAATTTTTTCTTTCAAGTATTGCCAGCAATCATGTAAAATCATCATAATCATCGTTATTTCTCTAAACCGTACAAATATGACGTCACTTCTGATTCAGTTGTTTAGTTGTCACTTCTGATTTACCTTGTTTTCATGGTTGCCATGGTATGAGCCAACATCTAGTTGTACCTTGCTTTCAGAGTTGCCATGGGATGAGCCAACATTTAGCTGTGCTGAATACAGTCATTGGAAAGAATGTCAAATACAACTAACGCCATGGAACAAAATAGACAACTTAGCATTGTGTAAGAGAGTCTTCATTTTATTTTTGGAAATAAATGTTCAAGGTTATTCTCTTTTCTCCTACATTTTGTTAGATTCTATTATATCAGAGAATCTAATAATTGATTTATTAAAACATGTATCAATTATATGTGAATAATGAAAATATTGGACTCAAAGCTAGACTATGCTCTTACTGCAAATTTGATAGTAATAATATGATTTAACAAACATGTTAGCATGGGGGTGTATGCCAAGAATCATTGACCTCATTAAATGTTGAATTATTGCTGGATTATTTCTGCATAATTAAAGTTTGTATTAATTGTTTACAGCTCTTTTACGCAAGATCCTAGTAGAAAACCCAAGTAAGCGTGCAACCCTCAGTCAGATTACGAAGCACCAGTGGTTCCGCAAAGATTTCACTAAGTCAAAAGGTACTATAGGCATTAGGGGTGAGACGAGTCGAAAAAATCCGATTCGAGTCGAATCCGATTCGTGTCGCGCGAAGTGCGAACAACATCGCTTTTGACCGTTCGTATTTTTAATGCGTCAATGGTGGAAAGCCGGAAATATAAACAAACACAATTCGTTGTAAGTTTATTCTGATTTTATTACATATATTCTTTCATTTATGTGTACATACAATATAATAATTTAATACAAGCATATCCAAGTCATTGAAACTTATATATTCAACGCAATATCGAGTAAAAACATGCATATTGACAGTATTTTTCTGAATTTTTTTATTTTTTCGAATTTTTTTCTCAACTCGAAAATGATTCGATTCATCAACTTCGACTCGATTCGACTCTACTCGAAGCCCCAAACCCGCGAGTCCTCGACTCATCGGGTTGTCGTCTCACCCCTAATAGGTATGATGTTCAATTATCAACACTTGAAAGAATGAAGTTCATTTTGTTAGGGTAGTAAATGAAGATTTTTTGTGTGAAAATAGTTATCAAATGTCATATAAAACAATGTTTTCTGTTATGGTGTGACCCTTTCCCCTCTTCTAATGAAATTTTAAAATGTTGATTTGTCATAAACTTGAATATTAAAAAGATCAAGACTATGCTAACAAAAGCATTATTTACCCCCTTCCCTTTTTTATTCACAACTGTTAATAATTGGAAACCATCCATTAAGCATTTGCAAATCATCATTTTTTTATTCCTTTATATGAGGGAGGGTGTTTAATGTGTAACAAATATATTTATATCTCCACAATTGTGTACTTTTGGACACCATCACCAACTATAGGAAAACCGAGAGTAAACCCAACGTGTTGTCATATGAATGTTTAACCTCACAAAGGAACTTGGAAACATGAGAGAGTGGAAATGATTTGAATTCCAGGAATATGTAAACCTATTTGTGCCCAAAGGTCAGAGACCAAATAGTAGTGCTGTAATGTTTTTTTTTGACAAAATGAAATGATATGTTTGTTATATTTTAGGTTTAAGCCGATATCCTTCCAGTTCCCCAAGTGCATCTCCAGCTGGAACTGCTCCATTTAAAAGAATCTGCTCAGGAATAGACATGTCTCCGCCCGTCTCTCACAGGTATGTTTTATTTGAAAATGTAATTGCCCAATTTAGCACATCTGTATTCAGTCCATTGCCCAATAGGCAACTAGTTTATCAAAGTTCATTGCCAAGAGTGAAAGGTGAATGCCATTGGTTACCAGGCAGCCGTGATATTTAGGCCTGTATAGAGAAATCTATGAAGTGTAACACTTCAGAGTTCCAAGATCAACTGAATTAATGTTATATGAACCTCTATCAGTGAAAGACTTCCCAAGTGGAACACATTTTAGAGGTACCAAGGGTATTCCACTTAGACCAATTTTACTGTACTGTTCTGTAGGCTAATCTTTTAGAATGTCATATTTAATTTATTACACGAAGTCTCTCCAATGTCATGTTACCCTAAGTTAAGTGCATCCAGGTGAAGGTAAGATCAAACTTTGTGTGCAGCTTAATATATGTGTCTGCCAGTGTGCTTAAGGTGGTTCTTTACGAGTTGTCAGTATATTTCAAACAACAGCTCATCCCCACCATGCTGTACACATGCAGGTTTTAAATTGAAATTTTCATATTTCAGTAATGAGCGTCAGATCTCAAGTTCCCAGCCACAAGTGTCACATCTCCATGACGACAATAGCAACTCAGGAGTGAATGGATTGTTGGAGTCTGTGAGTTTCTCTCAACCAGCACGTCCTGATAACATGATCCTTGGCAGCCAATTCCAGAATACTCAAGGTTCTTCACAGGTAAAAACATACTTCTATTTGTAGAGAACCGTATATCCGTAGTGAGTATGTCTAAGATCATTTTCATGAACATAATTTTTTATATACACTAGTGGTCATATTGCTAAATGAATTGGGCATTGAAAGGACACTTTCTTTCATGGCTGTACCTGGCTTAATACATTCTCCTCTGCATTTATTATAATGCACCCATAAGTCATAAATACTTTACAATTTTTGTTTTGTTTCAACTTTAGGAGAGGGTAAACTTTATTTTTCAGACACCAATGCAACGACTTGTGCGTCGCATGACTCGATTCTTTGTGAAGACTTCTGCTCAAGCGACAATGAAAGAACTAAAAAATGTATTTGAGAAGCTCAAATATACTTGCAATGTGAACTCTCCGGGACAGGTAAGCTTAGAGCATCAGAATGCTTTTTCATTGTAAAATTGTTCATAATTGTTTCATTTTCAAAGTCTAATAGATTGAACATTGAATATTTACAATACCAGGCACATATTTAGTTTTAGATGGTTCAGCAAACTACTGTATAATATATCTACACAATTTACAGTGTTAGTATTAATCTCTAGAAAGTGGATTGCTACATGCATTGAAATGATTCCTAAATGTACTAGTCTTATTAATGTGCTTTAAACTTTAAACCAGAGCACATCATAAGATTTCCGCCTACTGGTCAAAATTAAATTACATTCTGATGCAATTTCCTATGAATATATTGAAAATTGTAATGTACTCACATAGAAATAATGTGGTAATAAAGGATACAATACAATACACAATACGAATGGGTCTGAGGCTATTTGGCTGCATTTATGGTACCCCGTGATTTAAACTATAAAATTCATATATTTTTCTTTTAACTTTCACTTCCATGTTGTGTTTCAGTTGACTGTTCGGACTTTAGATCGCAGGAAAACACAGCTCGTGTTCAAGGCCTGCTTGTTAGAGATGCAGGAGAGCATATTAGTAGATTTTAGACTGTCAAGGGTAAGTTATAGAACATAGCTTCTTATCTGAATTTCACTTCGAAAATTTACTTCACATTGCCAATGTGATACTTACGACATCTATACTTCTCTGAAGGAGTTACAAACATACATCCTTACAAGCCTAGATTTCTCTGACCAGAATTTTCACTATCCTTAGTAAAACAAACATCACCAGACCTTAACTATGGCTCACATTGGTATCTCATATCTTTTATCTTAAGGAAATGTTACAAGATAATTATTTGTTTGAAGATATACAGGGTGTGCAAATAAAAATCAGCACTCACATATAATCTTTTTAAAAGAGCAAATGTGAAACAAAGTAGCATAGTTAATCAATTCAATGTAAAATGTGCATTGTTAAGAAAGTGTTCTTTTTTCCAGGGGGATGGCCTAGAGTTCAAGCGAAGATTTGTCCAAATCAAGAAAAATTTGGAATCAATAGTCTCAAATAAAACTGTTTCTGCATTTCCAATGACTTGCTCACAGATCTCATGACTAACCACTTGAGAGTTCATTGAGAGATCACCTGACCACATCACATGACAGATCACATGACATGTGATCATATCACTGATATCAGATCAGCAGTATGTTGGCTTTTACAGTTAGCATGGCTTTGTTAAACTACATTATGTCCCTAGATCTTCTCATAAAATGTTCACAAGGATGATAATGTCTATGTGCTTATTGCAATCTAACATTGGGCCTTGATATATTTTTGTACCTGAGTTAAAGTCTAGAATCATATAACTTATTTGTTATGATTTAGAAATGACGTACTAGAGGCAGCTAGCAGTTAAAGAAATATTTGTTCAAGATGTAATAGTTAAAGCTTATGCTTTGGGATGCAAGCAGTTCAGACAGAAAGAAACTGTAAAAAGAAATTGAACTTACAGTAAAAAGGCACGCTGGAGACTTAAAATCTCAGATTCATAATATGTCACTTTTGATTTCAATTTTAGTGACGCCATGATGGCGTCGCCATCTGTGACGTCATTCATTTTTACAATGCCTCTCCAACATTAACAACAGCATAGCTGACTGGTGCTTATTTTTGGTGTAATTTATGTGGGCCCTGAGACAGTTGAGTAGATAAATTGATGATAAATACATCATTTGAAAAAAGTGTTCAGGTTAATAGGTGTTCATAAAAGAGAGGTGTTCAGATATACTAGTGCAGGTTTTACTGTAGTTATAAAATGTGCACATCATTTTTGATGAGGTTCTTCAAAATGTTTTACTAGTTTATTTTTCAAATGTTATATGACAACGTTACGTTGCATGACAAATCGTGCAAAGTTGTATGGAACAAAATCATAATTAACCAAATCAAAATGTCTAGAAACTCCTAGACATGTGATAAAATCATCATCACATGTTTCAGGTAATATTATGTGATACTATAAGTTATCGAATGATTCGATTCTGTATTGGCACGAGACAAGGTCGAATATTGAGGGCAGAATATATCCTGTATTACACTTAAAATCGTTCTATAACGTTTTTATTGTGTGATCCTCTGTATCGCTACTGAGAATGTCCCCTCCGTACCAATATTTTCTGTATTGCGACGGAGATGATCAATGCGGACAATCTCAGTAGCAATACAGATTGGTACAGCACAAGTACTGACCAATCACAAGACTTCATTTTACAGATCATACGACAATATAAGTTATCATATGATTTGAAGTGCAATACAGAATATATTTTGCTCGAGAAATTCTGTATTGGCACGAGACAAGGTCAAGTGCCAATACAGAATATCGAGAATAGAATATATCCTGTATTGCACTTTAAATCATTCTATAACGCATTTATAGTGTGATATTAGGCCAATACATTTTAATTAGGAGGTAATCCCTAGGAAATACTCTGTATTATCTGTATTGCTACCGAAATTGGTACAGCACGAGAACTGACCAATCAGAAGGCTACATTTACAGATCATCCTATAAAGGAAAATTGTTATTCTCCATTTTTGTTACGTACCATGCCAATTGTTCTCCATATTTGACTGATTATTTTTGATGAATTCCACAGTGTTAAATGATACCTATGATTATTTGATATTATGTTGTTTTACTTAACAACTTATGCAATTATTGATTATGTTTGTAAAACAAGTAGGTACAGAAACATATATTTTCCTGAAATAAAAGCATTTGTACTAATGTGCAATACGATGATTATGTTCATAGTCTTGAGTACAATCTGATTTTAAAAGAAAATGGGTGTTACAAGATCTTCCAATTATACAATATAGGGAAACACAAAACAAACCATGAGTACTACATATAGCCTTATCGCTGAAACTGAAATGTTGGACAAAAGGGATACAAAGAATAATGAAACAAATCAAAAGACCTGACAAACAGACATGCTTTTTGAGACTAAAATTGATTAACAGATGCGACCACCTGATAGCTCGAACTCCCGTGCAGTGATAATATCACTGCGGCGGGCAGGTATCTCACCGTAAGCATGGTAACTTCGTAATAAACAACTGGCGTGATTGGTTCTAGTCCCATGCTCAGGTCGCGTGATTGTAAAATTTAGACAATTTAATTCATTGGTTGAATTGCGCGTATTAACTAATAAACAACACGTGCGGTAAACTATCATCAACACAACTTTTACTCAGAATTCCTTCCGCAGTGAATTCTTCTTATATTTCAATAATTTTGAAATATTTTGACAAAATAATGTTTGGGGAACATTTATGAATACATATTTTATAAGTTGTGTGAAAATTGACCACATATATGATGAAAAGGGGAACTATTTTCCCCAAGTTTTGGGGATTTTCTTCGCCTGCCCGCCGCAGTGTCTATACCGAGACACTGCATGGGAGTTCGCTGATAGCTGGCACAAATGCTATGAAGGTCCCATTGCGCAGCTCCGATATAGGAGTTTTTGACATGTTTTTTTTTGAATTTGTCAATTCTCACATATGTGGCCGATACTTTTTATTATCGTACCTAACTAGAGGTACGATATTGTAGTCAGCTTGACGGGAGGGCGGGCGGGCGGCGTCTCGCTTTTCAGCTTGTCTACAGGTTTCCAGCCAAACCATTTGAGGGATTCATCTCAAATTTTCAGGGATGTTTCTACATATCAACGTCAAGAACTGATTAGTTTTTTGGCATTCTGGGTAAATTTTAAGGTGGCCATTTTGGATTTTGCGTCCTAAAATCTTCACTTTCAAGACTTGTCTACAGGTTTTCAGCCAAACCATTTGAGGGATTCATCTGAAATTTTCAGGGATGTTTCTACATATCAACGTCAAGAACTGATTAGTTTTTGGGCATTCTGGGTAAATTTTAAGGTGGCCATTTCGGATTTTCCGCCCTAAAATCTTCACTTTCAAGACTTGTCTACAGGTTTCCAGCCAAACCTTTTGAGGGATTCATCTGAAATTTTCAGGGATGTTTCTACATATCAACGTCAAGAACTGATTAGTTTTTGGGCATTCTGGTTAAATTTTAAGGTGGCCATTTTGGATTTTCTGTCCTAAAATCTTCACTTTCAAGACTGGTCTACAGATTTTCAGCCAAACCATTTGAGGGATTCATCTGAAATTTTCAGGGATGTTTCTACATATCAACGTTAAGAACTGATTGGTTTTTGGGCATTCTGGGTAAATTTTAAGGTGGCCATTTTGGATTTTCCGTCCTAAAATCTTCACTTTCAAGACTTGTCTACAGATTTTCAGCCAAACCATTTGAGGGATTCATCTGAAATTTTCAGGGATATTTCTACATATCAACGTCAAGAACTGATTGTTTTTTGTGCATTCTGGCTAAATTTTAAGGTGGCCATTTTGGATTTTCCGTCCTAAAATCTTCACTTTCAAGACTTGTCTACAGGTTTCCAGCCAAACCGTTCAAATTTTTACATATGTTACACAGTGATAAGTTCTAGAGCTGATCAACTTTTCTGCGGCCATCTTGCTTTCTTGGTCAACAAGACCACAATGCTGTGTTTTAGGTACGATATTGTTCACGTCTGTGCCTTGTTATATTTGAACCACTTGCTTATGATACCCTTAGGCTACTTTATCAAAATTCTCAATGAATTCCAGTAAGTTATTGCTGAGAAAATACTTGTCAAAAAGCGTCTCACTTTTTGGGACACCCGATACATGTATGGTTTGTTTGACTTACCTGCCATGTCAGTTTCTAATGAATTGACTTTAAGGACATGAGCACTAAACACAGCTTATGAAACAAAATACCCATATATCATTAATCATATTTTTTAATAGCGTATTTTGCAGAAGCTACTTCTAACAACAATGTTACGTTGACGGACATATGCTCGACTACCCATGACTGTGATTTCTTGTATTTTATTACTTGATTTCTTCATTTTCATTTCAAGGTTTGTGGTATTTTTACGGACCTTTAAAATAGTCGTTCAACCACAGTTAACTTGTGCACACGTTTACTTACGATTGTATTACCAAGACATGGAGTATTACGCGTGAGCGTTATTTTTCGCCATCTTGGTAACGTTCCTGTATGTTACGGTAATGTAATGTCATGCCAGGCCATGCTGCCGAGGCATAAATGCCAATCTAACGTCATCAATGTGTTCTTTACAAAGTAAAGGGGCTAAGAAGCAACAGCATATTAGAATATTACACAATATAAACTGTTAATTCTTAACAAAAATACTTATTTAATCACGTATTTTCCAATGTATTCAATTCAACTCAAGTGACATCATCGTTTGAATATGCCTTATGCTCCTACTTGACAGTACGCTTGATTTTTGACTAGTCTTTTGGAGGTTTATCTTAAATTGTCCTATTCTATTCGTTACTTGACGCAGAATGACACACCTTCAAGTCTCACCTCAACTTAAAATGTGAATATGTTTTTTTGAGATAAATGCTCCAGTGGTTTATTCATCTCTCGGTCATATCAAGTTGTCATAGTTGCAAACAAGGTATTTTTCATTTAAATGTTGACTAGTTCTTTAGTTACTTCAAATACATGGCGGGGCAAAACATTCACAACATACTATTAATCATATTTTGATGTATCCCAAATATGGTATGGCAATACGAATCCTGTTATCAACTTATTTAATTATTTAGCATTTATCCATTTCATATTAGCGTGGAGGTTTATCATGACATTGACGTTTATAGGAAAATAAAATATCTAAATAAAGATATAACTTTTTTATTTTTCAAAAATATGCAAGAAAATAAATGTTACAATGAATGACATTCTCGGCTGCTTCGATTATTTTAGTAATTATACTGTTATTTGGCACAAAAACCAGAAATTCAAGATTAGCAAAATAAACTTTTTTAAATAAGATTACATTTTACAATAAAATATACTTAAAATTATTTTGCAATGAAATATACTTAAAGTGCTTGTAAGAACGCAAAATCACAAAAAATGAGCTTTTTACGATCCAAACAGAATACAAATCTATTCACCTTTCCACAAAGTAAAGAAAATCGATAATTTCCGGCGCGCTGATTGGTTGTATGCAAATGAGTCAAATCAATGACGTCAACGATGGAAAGTTTTGAAGAATTAGTACAGCCAGCATAGGAATATTTTGAATTAACTGCTATAAAAAGGATTCTATTTGCCCAATGCACTAATTATTTTTAACCAAATATGAAATATGGACGGGGCACTTTCATTCCAAATCTAATGTAATTTAATGTAATCATTTTTTGACAGAACTATTGTTTATTAAGACTTCTCAGTTCAGCCTCACATACCCAGGGGCTCACATGTCTCGTGCGATTGTAAACAAAACAATGTAAATTGTGAAGTTACAAACAAAGCGATGTCAATAATGATCAGCAATGTCAACATATCATCAATAAACATTATATGATATACGCTCTTTCTCTGAAATCTTCCCAGTGATCATTATTATTCAAAACCGATCATCACATAACTGATTTATCCAATGACAAGTGAGGTTTCACAAGTTAAATCAGTACCCATATCCATGTTTATCCCATACTTGGACGTATACGTCCAATATACATATTGGACGTATATTGGGAATATTTGATAGAACAGGAAAATCCGCCCACGGCCAAGAAAACAAAACTGGACATGAATATTCTAAAATATTTCCACGATTGAACAATGTGAACCAGATGACCAAGATTGGTATGGGATAAACATATTATCCTATAGTCGGTTCAGGATATTGGGATTATCCCTTTACATTTTCCCTCGGGACCTTCGGCCCTCGGGCAGATATATTATGCCTCGGGATAATCCCAATATACTGAACCTAATGTAGGATAATTTCTAAATATATCACGCTCCTCTAAGATATCAATTCTGTATCCCAATGTTTTCAAGTATAATATTTTCAAGATACGATCTGATATGACTTGCAGAAATAAATAGGAAGTAATCGTTTAGTTGATTGAATTATGGAAGTAGTGAAGTCAATGATTTAATGAATAAGAGCAAATGTTTTTAATTTGAACAGGTCATTCATCAAATGACACAGAAGATTAACTTAAAATAGATTGTCTATCCATATTTTGTTATGCATGAGAGACATGTTATAATGTTGGTGAACTAATGATTATGATAATTTCACCTGTTCACATCCAGTTCCTATCATGATTGAAAACTGACCGGGAGTAATTCTCTTCAAATTATTTACTCATTATGAACAGAAATTTAATATTTAAATCGCTTAGAAGGCGTAAATAAATGTCAATTAGACGTTCGATAAAAATCCGTCAATAATTTACTGATTACTTGCACGTTTGAAGAGGTAAAACTTTCAGCAATCAACCGAGGATTTACATGTAAACTCAATTGCATTTGTTTTTGCGGGAAAAAGTTTCAGTCATTGACGTCACAGATTTTTAAGCAGCTCATTGAATATTCATGAACTGACTTTGTGGAAAGGTGAATATCTTATAGGTTGAACAAATTCTGAAATGTATACATTGGGAGCGGAGATTCAGCCAATCAGAATTGTTTATTTTATTTTTACCGCTAAAAATGACGTCATGATCCGAAAATAGGTCAGACTAGAAAATTTTCTACAATACAAAATGGATTCGCTAGAAAACAACTCCGTACAAAACGATGCATATCTAAACATTGACGAGATGGATGACTACTATCTTTCGCGGCAGAGTAGTCAAGATGTCTCCGACAGCACTGACAGTGAAGAAGAGTCGGATACATTCGGTTTGAATGTCCCAGGAGTAGTTCAAGTGCAGCCGTACATCCACGATCCCCCAGCCCCTGATCATCATGTCGGACCAGTTGATGTCCTGACAATAAATGATCCAGATTATCGCTTATAGACCACTAAAGCATACGGGTGATTCAATATAAATACATAACTGATGTGGCATCGTTCTTATAAAATTGAGTATCCCATTTTCTGCCCACCCTGTACATACTTAACCGGAGAAAAATAACTTTTCCCATACATCATCCGCCGTTCGGGTATTCAGTTCATAAGGCATAAATTAACCTACATTTAGGGACAACTTAAAAATATCGCATTCACGTTTTGATTCACGTGATCGATAACTTGCAAGATAAAAAATAACTTTAATTTTACATCTCCCGAGAAGTTTGATAATTTTTTATCCAAATTTAATTTTTTTATCAAAATACGCAAATATATATGGGCTTGGACGAGAAATGTCCAGAATCTTATAAAAAAAATATGAACCTAGAACCTAGAACATCATTAATTATAATTGTAGATGTATTCGCACGATTTAGATAAAAGTCGCATTTTGACTTACCAAGGAACATTGAGCGAATACGTAAATGAAAAGGGTTACCTTACTATACTTTTTAATAAATGTATTTTACCTCATTGTCGAGGCAAATCAATACAATGACTGTCTGTCTAAAGAATCCAATGACTTTTTGCCATTGTGTGTAGTCCAAACCGTACGACAATATATGTTCTGTGCATGTATACATTTTCACCCAGCATCCAACTTTATTTCAAATACGATTGTCTTGCTCCAGAACAAGAAAACTACATTTTCAAAACAATACCCTCTCTATTCTTAGAGTTTTCCAGTACGGTTGAACATTTTAAGACATAATTTATGCTGATAGATATTCCAAGGACGTCTAGATATTCCTAGATATTTAAGAAAACTATTTAAAACGTTTTCAGGTTTTGATATTGATATGAAGAGACTAAGCAGTCACAAATTTTACACATTGTCATTTTATGATCATCTTTTGAATGGTAACAATTTAATTTATTAAAAATATATATACTTTTCTATATATTGTTTGAGAAACACATCAGACACTTTTTTATTCCTTGTATCATATGTTCGAAATGAAATGAAACATCTATCCGAATCTCATTGGTACAAAATGACATAAACACGTCGTGTTTAGGTCTCTCAACATTGTAATTGTACAAAGGAAAGTTTGGTTTATTATAAAAAAGCATCTTTTTGTTAAATGAACCAAAATTTCCTTTGTAGTTTAGGCCTAACTTAAATATTGAGAGGTCTGAGAAAATGTTGTATATGCTATTTTGTTCCAACAAGGCTCGGAAAGATATTTTATTTCATTCTCAAGAATTGGTAGAAAGGAACAAAAACAATTGCACAAGAAATAAACAAAAAAAATTAACAAAATCCGTTATAGATAATTAATATGTTATATTAAATACTTTTCGCATTAAATTGTAGTCAATCAGTGACCATTACATAAAGGACCGTGTCTTTTTACAGAATGTTTTCAATAATAAGTTGAAGAGAAAAACAATTTTGAATTCAGTTCGCCATATCGATACTTATCCTTTGACTTCTATAATATTGCATGTGTACAGGGATTTGGAGTTGTACCATGGATAATTGCACACTCCAGGGACAAAGAATAGAGAAAGTTGGTGATTGAACTGCCATCTATAATACGAGTTCTGACTCTCGTTCAAAGTCTAAAATACTATTCAATGGAACTTAAAGTAATAAGGCCCAAAAAAAGAATCTGAACGCACATAATGCTCAAAATATTGTCTTCAAATAAGATCTCTGATTCACTATTTATCATTGTTTCAAATCCTTACTAGTCATCTTGAGGAATGGGAGGACATATTCATTTAATGTATTGGTATAGTCCTGATATACGAGGGACCACTAATATCACTGTAAGAAAGCGAGATGTTTCTAAGAGAACTTGTATGTAAACGTGGTATATTATGACCCAAGGGATTTTTGTGGCATCTCAGTTATTTTTGAAGACCCGATTAGAACTGTATTCTTCATACTCAATCGGGCAGGTACGAATACTATACGAGGGGTGATTAAGTCATTTTATCAAAAACCAACAAAATTAGAGCAAGGCATCCAAGACTTGGATCACCCCTCGTAAAGGGGAGATTTTATCCTTTGAAGACCATGCTTCTTCTCGTTCACGTAGACATTCTTCTAAACGTGTAGCTCAACTTCCCTAATATGATTTCCTTTCTAAAACCAAGTTGATGGGGAATCCTGCATATGCAAGAAAAATACTTTTTGATTCGGTCTTCCACATAGCCATCCTTTATACCAAGTATGTATCATTCTAATTTTAATTAAATTTTATTTAATTAGTGTTGTTGCCTTTCAAAATATTGTCTTTTTATGATACGTTTTAGCAAACAAACTTGACATTTATCAGAAAAGAGTAATCGTGCGAAGCACACCATTGCCTGTGTTAATGACAGACTACCAAACGCTTTGAACTTATTATACATCGGATAAGGACGGTGAATCGCTATGGCAACCAATGAATTCTCTCTCATCTCGTACATCTTTATATGGCAATACTATTTATGTCGGTCGTGCTCAAGCATTTGTAATCGTGTTTTATGTTAACCTATTTTTATGTCCAAACGGACATGGAGATAGTTGTCTATTCTGATCTAGGCTGAGAGACTGACCCATCTCAATGAAATATACCAGATTAATAGAAGTGTTGTTTTTGTTGCATAAAGGAGTATTTATAGCAAATGAAATACCAACGCTATCGCTTTCACTTTATCGTAGTACGAAGGATTAACAATAACCAATCGACCTTAGATTTGTTATTAAACTTATCTCTTTAATAAGAATAGTATTTCTAACTCACATCTCACCATGACGACACGGCGACATGACAATTGAATTGAAATAGAGCAAGAGAAACTCAGAGATCACAATAGCAGGATCATATACTGAAAGGCAAAACTCATTTCAGGTATTTGTAAGAAAGATGATAAATTGACTGAGAGTGATAAAGAAGTGCTCTCGACGGTTAATTGGAAGTTGCGACATTAGTGTCGTAAAAATAGACTGATTAAAATCGAACAATGTTCTCACGATGTTAATGCTTGTTCAAGTAGAATTAACTACAAACAACAAGCTCTGTTTTTTCCCGTTGCATGATCACACGGATATCGTCATGGCCACAAAGGACTCAGCGCAATCCATGGGCAATGACATACAACGAGAATTTTATATTTAAACGCAAAACAATTGAAAGATTGATTAAATACATTGAGCTATAACACCGCCATGTTATTTACTACCAATCACGCAAGAGATGGATTATGATGTTTAACGTCTCTTATTTCAGAGCGATAAAGAGATGATAAATTAACAAAAACAATTCTTGGACTGAAATAACATAATAAAGGACTGGTGACCACTGCTTGAGTCCAAAATGGACTTTTCACAATGTGCGTCGTTAACTCTTATTTTTTCACTGCTGGAATACTACATTGTCGCAGCTAGGAACTGTAACTATTTCTCACTTGGACAATCTGGAGCTAGACTTGATGGTTTCACTATATCAACAACCACAATTCCCACGATGACCGGTTGTGTGCGAATTTGTTTATCAGAGCCAAATTGCCAATCATTCAGCTACAGCGAAGATTTGGGCAGTTGTCGAACTTCCAACATGATCTCAACCGTGCTGTCGCTGAGTCCAGGGTGGGATTATTTTAAAATGGTATGCTACTGTCTATCAGAAATACGAATTGGTGATTTTATCAGTATATGTAGTTTTTCATGTGAAATGTAGTAATCTTAAAAACATGCAAAAACTCTGACTTCGTTAAATAAGTTTATAGTCTCGACGGGTAATAATTTAATTTTATTTGAGAACGAATTCAATATTATTGTCACATACTGCTAATTATTCCTTTTAGACGTTTCATTTGAAATTCACATGTAGTGATCACGAAGACAGGTTTGTAGACGAGGCGTCTTAAAATGAATAATTTGCAGCCTGTGACAATGACTGAATTCTAATGAAATGGTACACATCCGAATGTAGAAGAAGCATTCTTGAAATACAGTCTGTCGGACAATTGAATAATCATAAAGATCTGAAAGTTGTTTCAGAAATTTCTATGAATTTTAAACTGCTAATTAGAAAATGAATTCTCTTTATCATTATTTAGAAATGTTCAGTTTTTTCAATGAAGGAAAAGAGTACCGTTTCATTTGCATACAATTTTTTGGTACACCCTGCACTGTACATTATGTATTTTAATGTTCAAGTATGTATATTATGACATTATTGCAGATTTTGACATGTCCTCATTTCTTATCTGGTTTTGCTTTTACTTTTAGTAGGGCATAGTTGTTGTCATGTTTACCCGATATATTCAAAATTCCAATGGTCCGAATCCTGTTGGTCTGAAAATATAAATGAATTAATATTATTCAAATAAATCGACGCGTCTTTCGAATTCGGATCAAATTCTGTTCACGAATAAAATTCGTTTGAACATTTGTGTGTAACTCACATTATCAAGTTTTTGGTATTTGGACGCCGCTTCGATCTCCATATTTTTGGTTTTCATATAAGGACATTCAGCTTTTCAACCACGCCAATCTTGTATGACATAAAAACTCCAAAACATGTTAAATTTTTCTCGTTGGATGTCACGATTTATCGATATCCGCTTATGGTACGGTAACGTAAATTTTCCATTCGCCAATGAGAAATTCACGTTACCGACTGTAGCCTTAGCAGTATAAATTCTGTATCACAGTGCGGAGTTTCTATAAATTAAGTCTAGCTTGGTGTGGTCGAAATTTCAAAGCAGAATGTCCAGGGCAAATAATTTTACTCGATGAAAACTAAAAATATTGAAGTCAACACCTGAACACTTATCGTCCCCATTTACAAACAAGGTAACGACCGATACCTCATCCAGTGAATGTGAAGACTTGAATCAGGAAAAATAAGAGGATTTAATTTTCTTTGACTGAGAAACTTGACACATTTTTTAAGATCTCTATCAATCTTTCTTTATTTTCAGCAACCTCATTCACATCCGCAGATGTTAGTTCATATTTAATCGAGCAATGTTTAACAATTCTTTATGTAGAATAAATATGAATTGATGTTTACAAATCATTAAAGGATTTATCTTACAACATTTAATTCTATCTGAAAGTCCGTTAGATCTCGATATTATTTATCCTTCCATAAATGCTTATTCAAATAGCAATATATAATGGGAAGAGCGATTACAACCCGAGAGACAGCTTATCCCATCCAAATAGATTATTCAACATTGCAAATATAACAAACGACCCTTTCATCAGTAATCATCACTCTACCTGTGTAGGCTACTACAAATGGATTACAATGATTTCTGGGTAATTTATCTTATCAACAAAAAACGAAATTGTGAGACGCAATATAAATTCCCAGAACCCAAGTTCTTACCTATATTACCCCATGTAGACTGCTATGGCATTATTTTTGCTTCTTTATTCGTTAAATTCAAATATATTCGATATATGGAATATTTACATTCGCTAAATCAATTTTCTGTTCGGTAAAAACATTTATATATTTATATATTTGTAACAGCGAATTAATTTTTCAAAATAGCCAATGGATTAAATTCCATATTACTATGTGCATTAAATTACATATCTTATTCACTAAATGATATATGTTTTACGTAAACTGTTATGGTATTCCTTAAGAGTAATACATATATGCGTAATACCGAATTTCTATTTGAACTCTTACCGAAATAAGTTTGTCTATATTTACCAAATGATTTATTCTTCAATAACAGAGTTAATGCTTTTTACCGAAAGCTAATTTGCTATTTACCGAATGCAATAATTAAAATTAAAGCATTATTCGATAAGTTTCGTTGTTGTTCGATATTTTGTCACATGACCTCGAGTTTTGCAAAATGGCCGCGCAGCTATTCAACATCGTTTTCTTATATCACGTGACTGAAAGTCTCGTTAAGTATCGAAAAATAACGAAATGTGTATATATAATCAATTGAATTATACGTGCGCTAAGGAAAACAAATTGAATCGCTGCATCACACAAATACATGTATAGATATCAAAAGTAAATGCCAACACAAAGAACAAGTGAAACTGTTCAGCGAATATAAATTGTATCTATTATTATATTCGATAAAATAAAAAACATTCGATAGATTGGGTAAAGGTTTGGTAAATTGTTTGTTTTATTTGGTATGTATGGAATATTTAATGTACCGAATAAAGAAGCAGTTTAAACACCATAGACTGCATGCCTTAAATTACATCCGTACGATGCGAGACTCGACATTTAACAGGAAACGACAGTAGAAACATTTTGTCACCAATGTAGCAAATTCATCCCATGCAGACAGATCGCCTAAAATTACATTTGTATGATGCGAGACTCGACATTCACCAGGAAACTTGAAATAATTTGTCACCCATGGAGTAAATTAATTTTTACTGCTTAATAAATGGTGAAAGTTCTCAAAGTATGAGAATAGCCTGACGTCTTGATATTTCAAGGTAACTCGTTTGAAAAGTGATGGCGGTGTTTGAGATACGATGTAAAGATAAAACCGCAATGGAATATTTGTAGATTAGATTTGAAAAACTAAGATATACATCACATATCGGATTTTCCGAAACAGAAAAAAACATGTATAAAAAGTAAGGCCTGCAGGTCAGATTCCCCATGATAGCATTCTGATACTCATAGCATCTTTCTGTTTCACCTGAAACATGCTCTGATATTATGAGGCATATTCTGTCATCTGAGCACATCAGATGGGAAGAGTTATAACTGTCAATAAGTATGATAGTTATCATGTAATCATTTACCTAATGTCAATACATTACATAATAGGCATTGTATTTAACAGCAGATATTAGCACAGGTGCGTATACACAAGTTTAATGACCCCAATTAAATGAAATATGAGCTGGGATGAAAGATCTCAAAAATCCTCAATTTTGGGCTCTCCTGGATCACCAAATCAAGCTCATTATATCATGGCATCTCAGGGCTGAGAAGAAATGAGATGTCATGGTATATCATGATGCCATGATAGCATTAACTTTGGTCTCGTGTATGTCATACAATTAATATTTGAAACACAACTGCTATTCGAACTTATGATTGGACATTAGTATGATATTACTTTATTATCTTGAATTACATATCGTACTTATGTCCGGCATCGTACTTTTGTACGATTCATGCACTCCCCATGATCCCCATATAGCGAATCAGCAGTTTTCTTAAAATTCTCCCATTTCGAGTCATTTTCGAGCGTTTCTCTGTATTATTTGCAGTCGGAAATTTTGGTTTTAGTTTGAATGAAGAAATACTGTTGGAATCTAGATTTCCCTCGGTGTAGCTGACATCGAAATATTTTGTCCGCCATTTTGAATGAGACTAACTCCAATTGGCTTCATCCAGTAAGGAAAATCTGGTCTTTTTACTGGGTGATAAGAACTATCTGTTATTTATGTTATTGACAGTACTAAAATAAGTTCCCCGGGATTTTATTTCAAAGACATGACACGCCGCCACAAGATCAGCTAAAATGCCGTTTTTATACGTCTATCCCCTTGCGAGACAACTTTCACCGTTTTGAGAGATTTGTCGCATTCAAATCTAGATAGTCATATCGAAATTCAATACGACCAGACAATTGTTTGCAAGTTACAATCTGCACGCATTGTTCCGATGATATATTTGTATTTAATTGCTATATCAAAATCAGCATGCAATTGCAGGAACATACAATGTAATGGTTTTTAAATAGTTTTTCAAGTACAAAAGTGCTCTTCAAATATAACTTCTTATAAAAGGCTCTTATGACGTGCACGGACCTGGGGACAATTCGGGAAATACGGGCTGATTTCAGCTTTGAGCGTTAATCTCTGATGGGATCCAACATATTTTTAAAGTTAAACATATCCCAAAATCGTCAAATACGCTGTAAGACGTAACACTTTACACTTACAGGGCTCGTTGAAATTGGGATAACTTTTGAAATAATGATCAAAATCCCACTAAAATTTCACAATTTATTCAATGGAACATGTTCATTTATGACGTCACAATTGCTTAACGGCTACCGTTCAAATTATCATATATGAACGCTTTTAAAATTTTCAAAATTGTGTAAGGTTTTGAAGGCGAATGGGACGAGCAATAAGTTTACCTTCATTTAACCTTCTAATTCAAGTCTGATTTGAAAGAAAAATTAACTGCACAATATTGTCATGGCGAAATTTACAAAACAATAAACAGTTTGTCTATTTTGCAAATAATATTAAAATAAGAGCTGGTTTTCGAGACTTGAAAAAAATGTGACGCATCGATTTTCTACCACAAATTCCATACATATCAATTTTTACCAACGCCCCAAGTGGATTTCTTGACCGTTTTCCAAAATTCAAAAACATTTTAGAAATATTGTCTTCGAGATCTTGCTATCCTGTGAATTTTGTCATGATTAGATAAGGATAAAGTATTTTATTTTTAGGTTGACTAAACTTGACAAAAATTGACGCTTGTCATTTTTGACGTTGTAAGGCTGTTTGCGCCCTATGCTGCTCATTGTTTTGTCTTGGTTTTTTGACGCCATAATGTTACGCTAATTGTCCCCAGTTTCGTGCGACGTGTATCAAAGCAATGATTAAAAAGCAAATGACAATGCAATGCTCGTAAACGAAAATGCAATGCTCGCAAATGAAAATGCAATGCTTGCAAATGAAAATTCAATGATCGCAAATGAAAATGCAATGCTTGCAAATGAAAATGCAATGCTCGCAAATGAAAATGCAATGCTTGCAAATGAAAATGCAATGCTCGCAATCTCTTACAACTAATTCAAAGAGGATTTAATTGAAATGAAAAAAATATGAAACAACTCATTGGTTTGGTACATCCCCCAAATTCCTCCTCCATCCTCGCAATTATCACTATTCCTCCTCATCATTCTTGTAACATGTAAAAAATCAAAATAGCAAATGTTACGTAACATTGTCGTAACTGTCAATAGGATCACCACAATTAGAATGGACCAAATGGTGAATTCCCAAGGATTCAAATTTCCAAATCTCAATCTTAAGTCAAAGGAGCACGTAGGTTATCGCAAACAATTTCAAACATTTCTAACTTGAATTATTAATATTTTCTGATAATGAACATGGGTGTATCTTTTAGATTCATTCATTATCTTCAACAAAAGTACATATAATGATAATTTAGTTAATCAGACCTAAGTGATATTGAAGGGGCAATGGACCAATGAACACACTTTTTCAAAAATGTTGACCTACTTTTCACCAACAATGCAACCTTTTATTATATTGTTTAATGCATAATTAGAATGTGTTTTGAGACATGTACGATTTCCTTAAAGAAAAAGTTGATTGCTCCAGGGACTTTAAAGATACTGAATTTGGATGACCAAAATAACTGAAACCGATGGATAGCATGAGATTTTTCAAATGGAGAAATTACATGGGGAACACTTATCTTAAAGCAATAAAGTTTTTCTTTCAAGAATTATTTGAAACATTTAAATAAAAAATAGAAATGCATTAAACATTGTAAAAGATTATTGCATTTTTGGTGAAAATGGGGTCAACCTCTTTGAAAAAGTGTGTTGATGGGTTGATTGCTACTTAAAAATCTCCGAGTTTGTTTTACTTTATTATCACTGTATATAATTTCCTTTGAGATAATGAATTGATATGAAAGATAAACCTGTTTTCGTTGTCAGAAAATAGTCATAATCCAAGATATAACCTTCTGAAATTGTTTGCGATAACCTACGTGCTCCTTTGAACTTCTGGGAACTTGTAGATGAATTTGAAAAAAAATTGTTGAATTTAAAGCAAGTTGAAAAAAGACCTTTTGACCTTTTTTGACCTTGGGAAAGTCATCTCAGATTTGAACTTATTTGGTGGTGACATGAAAAACAATCGCGACTCGCAATGAGATTACCAAATTTTATCCTCCTTAAAGGGGCAAAAAGGCGGAATTTATATTTCGAGATTCTTGGAAAAGATTCACTTGAAATTTCGACTTTTGCTCGGTCATATCCTAGTAACTGGCGAGACTGCTTCGAAACTCAATCAGAAGTTTCAATCTTGAGTGACATTTAATGCAAAATTCTCGCTGAATATATTTGTGTATACGTTAAAAAGAGTGTAGACAGAATCGAGTTCTAGTCCAGGGTTATAACCCCAATCCGCTCTTTGAAATCACGGTGCCGTACGGTACTACTTGAGTTTATGGTACCGTACGATACCTTAGCTCAAACGGCACCGTACCGCACTATTGGCCGATTGGCTAAGTGTGTATCTAGACTGATGGAGGGATATTTGCAAAGGATTTATACGAATAGGCCTACTGATCGAACATTAGTGTCGTCCTCATCTCAAATGATGGATGCAAGATATTATCTCTGCATGCGTCGGTAACGTAGAATTAAAGATGATATATACACTCTATTACCCAACGTTTCTTCCTATTAATAGTCGCAGGCGAGTGCTTTGAACGCTAATGAGAAACTGTTCTGGCGATGATCATAGAAGTTTTATAAACGTTATCTCTAGATGTCATGCTTTTGCAACATAAAAGGCTTGCTAGTTTAAGACAAGTGATTTGTATCAGTTCATTTCCTCTAGTTATGATTTTAATATACATTGCTGATGAAATGTTACACCAAGGATATAAATAATAGTAAAGTGCCACTGTAGGACGGTTTGAGGGGATATATATGATCTATGTGGCTTGTCTCACATTGCTAATCCATAATTTTTCTCGTTAAAGTCTAATCTGGGACCAGACAAAACGTATTCCATAATTATTAACAAAACTGTATAGATTAACGATTTTTTATGATGTCCTGCAGGAAAGTGACTACTAGAAAATTAACAATTATTATTCAAAAATAAATCACTTTTTTGTTTTCTTTTCAGGAGATGCCGCCAGACCTCCCGCCCCCAAGTAAGTGTGTAAATATTTGAAAACTAAATCAAGTGACTCAGCTTTAAATGACCCCTCCCGCCGAAAAACAGAGCAACATTAATCTTGCAAGTTAACCAATGGTTTGAGCATTTTGAGATAAGGTGAATGTTACGTTTTCAAAATACGAAGTATTCAATATCCAATAATTCTACTGAGGAACTTACATAGGATATAACGAAGAAGCACCGCACTTGATTTTCGTTATTGACCATGATAATCAGAGTAGTTGACAAAAGAGATTTCGATTCAACACTATTTTAGAAAATTGTAAACCTCGAGTGAATGCTCTTCGGGGAACATATAGTTCCTTCAATCGGAACATTGTTTTTCACAGATAACCTTTATTATCAATTAAAGCCATCGGGGCTTCGATCGATTTGTGATTCCTGGCATTCTGGCGTCAAGTTAATTGATAAAAACAAGGGGTGACGTCCTTTAAATTGCTTGAAGATTACAAGGAGCTGTTGCATTGTCTCACAGCAGCCAGTGGCCTTGATTTCTATTTTGTTAGTGTTGGTGACAGCAGCTAATTACTTATTCCTATGATTTAAAATCCAATAAACAAATATCATATTTCCGAAAGCACCCTTGGTATACACAGCTAACGAAAATTGACCGGTACGGGTCAAAAGCTGGACCGGTACGGGTTAACGGTTTTATTTGAATTTAAAACAGCCATAACTTGCTCAATATTGACTTCCTCGTGTCTAATTTGAAATATATGATGCCTCTCGATGCTTTTAAGTACCCCAATTTTTTACAGATTTTTAAACGGACCAAAACTCTCTAAATGCGCATTTATGCTCTTTTCTCTCGAGAACGACTGTCTCATTTTCACGATAACTTTTATTTAGTACTTCTAACATATAAGATCTATTTTTCCCCATCAAGGTATGATGTAAATGACATGCTATTTACATCTTGTGAGTTTCAATGACGCGCGTTTGATTTTATAAAAAATGCCAAACTTTGTAACAAAGAATTCCATCAGCTATTGCCCCGAACCGGTCCGTCTTCTCGCTGCAAGCAGATTGCCTCGAACCGGTCCGTCTTCTCGCTGCAAGCAGGATGAAATTCTTTGTCACAAAATTTGGCATTTATTATAAAATCAAACGCGCGTCATTGAAACTCACAAGATGTGATTTCTCGAGAGAAAATAGCATAAATGCGCATTTAGAGAGTTTTGGTCCGTTTAAAAATCTGTAAAAAATTGGGGTACTTAAAAGCATCGGGAGGAATCATATATTTCAAATTAGACACGAGGAAGTCAATATTGAGCAAGTTATGGCAATTTTAAATTCAAATAAAACCGTTAACCCGTACCGGTCCAGCTTTTGACCCGTACCGGTCAATTTTCGTAAGCTGCGTATACCAAGGGTGGAAAGGGGATTTCGGTAAGAAAGGACATTTTAGGATTTTATTGGTTCGAACATACACTCCCCTCCATAAGTTTGGCAATCTTAGCTCCCACATTGAACTACGTGACTGTTATATATAAAGCCTCTTTACCTTTGAATTTTAATTTCTTATCCTGCGATGAAAATATTTATACTGTTGATGGAAACTAACTTTGAAACTGCATATGTATTTTGTATCGTAGATATTTGCGATTTACGGAGATCATCAATCTTCTAGTTTCATCAATTATAGATTTCTGAATAGCATATTAGATGATCAGCCATTGTGCGTATCTTTTGAACCTTATAACATTAAGAATATTAAAAGTATTCAATCGTGTACCCACATCAATAGTGAAGGGGACATGACGCCACTTAGAACTTACGGAGAACAATATCGCTTATGATCAGACTGGAACGTAATTAAATGAAATGTAATAGAAAGCATTTGCCGCAATTCGCAATGGCTAGCTTGACAAGCGTTAATTGTTCAAAGTACTTGCGAACAATTGTGTCTTTTCAACAATTCATATGAAGTTAAGTTCAATACAAAAAACAACACACTGGACATGTATTGAACGTCATGTACTGGGTTGGGGTCAAGAAAGGCTTAAATATTTAAAGGATGCAATCATTTTTGTATTTTCTTTTTATCACACCATCGGTGGGATATAGTCGTCATGATGACGGCGTGATCGTGATCGGCCCACTTTTTTGTCATTGCGATTTTAGGTAAACCGCTCATCAAAATTTCTCCAAATTCGCACACATGATAGAGGATATCAAGTTCTAAAGGTGATCAACTTTTGAACGGCCATCTTGTTTTTTGGCGGCCAATTTGAAGTTTTTTCCATAAATCCTGTCATCGCAGTTTCAGGAAAATCGCTCATCGGATTTTCTCCAAATTCCCACACATGCAAGAGGATATCAAGCTCTAAAGCTGATTAATTTTTTGGAGGCCATCTTGTTTTCCGGCGGCCATTTTGAGTTTTTTTATATCAGTGGTAGTACCATGATATGATGATAAAATGGTAGTACCTTCAAGTACATGCATGATAGCAACAATGGTAGTACCTTCAAGTACATGCGTGATAGCAACAATGGTAGTACCTTCAAGTACATGTATGATAACAAGGCATAAACATATTTTGAATGCTTTTGAAATATAATCATTCGTTGTAGAAAAAGTCAGATGCCCCTCATATCCAAGAGTACAAGGAGGTGATGTTGTTGACGAAACGGTGGAACCAGTGGAAGGGAACATTTTGACGTATCGTTGCCGCACTGGTTTTTATCAAATCAAATCCAATAAGGTTACATGTCAGAAAGATGGGCGATGGAGTGAAGCACCATTGTGTTTATGTGAGTCTGCAAACATTTGCATATTTTCACTCTTTACTCACAAGTATTTTGTGTTTAGCAACTGGAATAGGTTTTTATTTGATAGCAAAACAAAGTCTGTCAATGTTTTAATTTTGTTCCTGAATTAAAGGAGTTTAGAAATTTAGGAAAAATTTGATGATATTTTGAAAACACCAAATCTGAAGAGTATCTTTCAACTTATGGAGGGGATCGTACTTTAATTTACGTACTATTTCAAACTTCCCCCAGATAAGTAAAAAATACCGACTTGGGCAAGGCGGGTATAGTGATATGCTGATTTACTGATTACGACATTCCAATCGTGCCTTGTTAAAATCATCCTTATTCTTTTTTGTAGGGTAACGAATACGAATAACATGTGTTACATAAAGGAGCAAAAACAAACGGGTTCTTCAATAGGTGACACCAAATGTGTAAAAGGACACCAAAATAAACACCGAGTCAATTCAATTTTCCGTCCATGCGTTTTAAATATCTATTATTCAATATATTATGTCTGAGAGGAGTGTATATATAGCAGCTGTTTACGTGGAAGTTGTTTACGTGAAAGTTGTTCACACGGAAATTGTTTACATGGAAGAACATGTCCAAATGGTGAAACAAATGGAAGACAGTGCAATATCATCTATGGACACATCAGCTTAGTTATAACCTAGAATATTCCTTTGCCCTTTATGACCACTGGTCTCAACGCCTTGTTAAGTCATTGTGTCTGCGACAAAACATGTTGCCAAATCTGCTACCGGAAGGTGGCCATCTTGTTACAAATACAGTGGCTTGGTGACACGTTGATACCCAGTATCCAGTGATGATAAAAGCTTTATTGAATTAGGCATGGATATAAGGCCACTATCTGGTACGAACAAGTCGAGGAAATAATATTTTACACACGATTCATGAGCTACATCAATTTTTTACTATTTGATAGACGTGTTTGTATTATTAGACGTCTGTTAAACTTTCGCCAGATCAATATTGGCCTTTTTCTAACGGATGACATAAAACATATCATTCAATGCAACTGATGACTCTAACTGAAGTTAAAGTTATCAACAATTGCAACAAGGTACATGTACATGCAACTTTCCTAAACCGAATTTAATACTTGATTCACGGGACAAATTATGACTCTGACCTCAACGAGGAATTCAATAATATAAATGCGATGTCATAAATTGTGTCCGGTATTTGGAATAAATCACTTCAAACGATAATCAGAGTCGTCATGCGGAAGAATGGCAAACATTAGATGCCTGATAATATGTCAATTCTTTTTTTGATGATCTCAAATCTTTCATTTGTAGACGTGGTTAAATTAAACCGAAATGTTGAGTTTTGGTTTGATATAGAATTTCAGAATAAAATAATTCCAAGAAAGATATTCGTTGAATAAACTTCATTGTATTTATCATGTTTATTAGCTTGTTTCGTTTTCATAACAATTCCAGGAAATGATCACCAGCGTTTCATTGACAATGCTTTAGTTTAGTTTTGAACGTTCGTGCTGAAAAAGGCTTGTTGCTGATACACACGATGACGGGTAACGTCATTAGAGGTATTGTTAGAGTATGATGGTTTCTCGTGACTTGGGTATTTACCATCTTCGTTCACTCGGCTCCCGTCGGTGAACGAAGTGAAGACCGAGCGTGCGAAGATGGGTATTTACTGTTTTATATTATTTACTGTATCTCCTTGACAATAGCCCACTTGAGTATTCTACGTTTGGGATGAAAAATATATTATCTGATTTTGATCGTGGAATGTGTCGCATGTCCTCTAAGCAGTGATGTTGACAAAAGATGGCATTGCTCCAGAACAAGGACTTACAGAAATGGGTAGGAATCTCCATTTATCTCAATAGCCTCGTCTATGATTATTTGTCACTTGTCATTTCACAAATAAAGAAAATTATAGATGGCTTGTATATGGTTAATTCTTCACCATATGCTTCATTAGTTGGCAAGAAAAAGTTATCATATCTGAAACGAGCCAAGTTGTCAAAACTATTGACCAATTAAAACGAGTACCTACATTGAGGTACTAACATGGAGAATTGTTTGCTTGTAATAAAAAACGGATTGCACAAATCATATATGTTATGGAATGGATAAAGTATGAGTATTGGGTTTTATGACAAATGATAGCCGAGGCCCTAGGCCCGAGGCAAATTTATCCTAAAGATTTATTTATCCTAAAACCCAATACGAATGCTTTATCTAACTTAAACCCAACAGACTCTTATGAAAGGTAAATGGTCTATGATCCAATTTGGAAAATTTGATTTCTTTTGTATTGACTATGAGGTAAGTGTATTGAGAATTGAGTGGGTGTAACTAGTTCAGGTTCAATGCACTGCATGTAACAGACCAGGTGCAGTTCACAATTTGATTTCCTTTGTCTTTACTATCCAACTATTGAATGGGTGAATAGGGTATGATTAGTTCAGCTTCAGTGCAATACATGTAACAGACTAGGTACAATTCACAATTTGATTTCTTTTGTCTTAACTATCCAACTATTGAATGGGTGAATAGGGTATGATTAGTTCAACTTCAGTGCAATACATGTAATAGACTAGGTACAATTCACAATTTGATTTCTTTTGTCTTTAGGGGAGGCATCAAAAGATCAATGTCTGATAGAAAACTAAATAAATCTAGTTTAGGGGGGAGGGGGTCAAAACTATTTCAGTTTGCTATCCGACAAATTTCAACATTTAAATTTTTTGCTATTTCGACTCGAAATGGTTTAAAAATAAAGACTTTACCAGATGCCTTCTTCATCAAGATGCATGCAACATGGAATATTATGCCTATTGTTGTTGGCACATGTTTTAAGAATTATAAATAAGTTATAGTACCCCCCCCCATTAAAGTCCAAATTGACTCGCTAAAACATGTGAAAAGTCCACAATCAACTTTCATTGTATTTAGTTTTGAGGGGGAGGGGGGGGGGTCCAACTCAAAACTAGATTTATTTAGTTTCCTATCAGACATTGAACTTTTGATGCCTCCCCTTACTATCCAACTATTGAATTGGTGAATAGGGTATAATCAGTTCAGCTTCAGTACAATACAATCATGTAACAGACTAGGTACAGTTCACAATTTGATTTCTTTTGTGTTTACTATCCAACTTTTGAATTAGTGAATAGGGTATGATTAGTTCAACTTCAGTGCAATACATGTAACAGACTAGGTACAGTTCACAATTTGATTTCTTTTGTGTTTACTATCTAACGAAGATGGGTATTTACTGTTTTATATTATTTACTGTATCTCATTGACTATAGCCCACTTGAGTATTCTACGTTTGAGATCTATGATCCAATTTGGAAAATTTGATTTCTTTTGTATTGACTATGAGGTAGGTGTATTGAGAAGTGAGTGGGTGTAATTAGTTCAGCTTCAGTGCACTGCATGTAACAGACCAGGTACAGTTCACAATTTGATTTCTTTTGTGTTTACTATCCAACTATTGAATGAGTGAATAGCTATAGGGTATAATTAGTTCAGCTTTAGTGCATTGCATGTGACAGTCAATCGTCTCTTGTGTCACATAAGTTTTGGATAGCTTGTCAAATGTCTATTTTTAGAAACAATAGAATAAATGCACTCTTTGTTACAACTGTATATTCATTAGCGGTGTCGGTCGGTTGTAGTATTTTTGTTCAAAGCTGATTTCAACTAACTCCAAATTGATCAAACCTTCTTTCAATCATGTACAAGTTCTTAGGAGTTCACATCTGACCTCAAATTTGAGATCTGACCTTCAATTTGAACGAAATACTTAATTGGCCGGGCACCGTCCGATGAATTGGGGCAAATGTGACCTAGGCATTAGTTGGGTTTAAGATTCAACCAACAACGTTTATAGTAACACACACTGTATTCGTTTCAACGACATCTATAAATAGACAAAAACTGTTTGAGGTAAATCCAAATCTATGCTTTCAAAGGTGTCACTTTGTTTTTCATGTTCATCATCTTGCATATGTAGCATAATAGAATAGTTCCTGCAGTTATAACCACAAGACCCCCCGCTGCGGCTGCCCCAGCTATTACTTCAACACCGGGCCCCCGATCAGAGGTAGTTGCGTTCATTATTCTTTGTGTAGTTGTATCCATTGGTGCTGAGGTAGTCAAGCCTGTTAGAACGGTGGTCCCAGTAGGTGTCGTTGATGTCAAGGTTGCGGTTAATCCTGTTGTTGTTTGTACTTCTGATGCTGTCAGCACCTCTGTTGTTGTTGTCTGTGTCTCTATTGCTGTCAGTGCCTCTGCTGTTGTCTGTGCCTCTGTTTCTGTATGTACCTCTGTCGTCTGTGTCTCTGTTGTCGCCAGTGCCTCTGATGTCGTCCATGTCTCTGTTGTCGCCAGTGCCTCTGATGTCGCCTGTCTCTCTGTTGTCTGTGCCTCTGCTGCTGTATGTGCCTCTGTTGTCTGTGTCTCTGTTGTCGCCAGTGCTTCTGTTGTCGTCAGTGCCAGTGCTTCTGTCGTCGTCAGTGCCAGTGCTTCTGTTGTCGTCTGTGCTTCTCTTGTCGTCGGTGCTTCTGATGTCGTCTGTGTCTCTGTTGTCGCCAGTGCTTCTGTTGTCGTCAGTGTCAGTGCTTCTGTTGTCGTCTGTGCTTCTCTTGTCGTCGGTGCTTCTGATATCGTCTGTGTCTCTGTTGTCGCCAGTGCTTCTGTTGTCGTCAGTGTCAGTGCTTCTGTTGTCGTTAGTGCTTCTGTTGTCGTAAGTGCTTCAGTTGTCGTCTGTGCTTCAGTTGTCGTTAGTGCTTCTGTTGTCGTAAGTGCTTCTGCTGTTGTCAGTGCTTCTGTTGTCGTTAGTGCTTCTGCTGTTGTCAGTGCTTCTGTTGTTGTCAGTGCTTCTGTTGTCGCCAGTACTTCTGTTGATGTCAGTGCTTCTATTGTCGTCAGTGCTTCTGTTGTCGTCCGTGCTTCTGTTGTCGTTAGTGCTTCTGCTGTTGTCTGTTCTTCTGTCGTCAGTGCTTCTGTTGTCGTTAGTGCTTCAGTTGTCGTCAGTGCTTCAGTTGTCGTGTGTGCTTCTGTTGTCGTTAGTGCTTCTGTTGTCGTCAGTGCTTCAGTTGTCGTCAGTGCTTCTGTTGTCGTTAGTGCTTCTGTTGCTGTCAGGGGTTCTGTTGTCGTTAGTGCTTCTGTTGTCGTTAGTGCTTCTGTTGTCGTAAGTGCTTCTGTTGTCGTTTGTGCCTCTTGTGGCGTCGCAGTGTTTGCTGTTGTCGGTGATGTGCACTCAATAAGTGACCCAGTCCAAGTACCGTCATTTTGACACGTTCTTGTTGCGCTACCGCCCGTATGAGAGTAACCATCCGTGGTTTTACAATAATAGCTCGCTTCTTGGCCTTCTCTGTAGCTCAACACAAAACGCTCTGAGTTCGGAGCTTCGCCAGGATCTCCACACGTGCCATACTCTGAAAATTAAGGACTAGATGTCAATGTTCAACGAACGAAGAACGAATGCGTTAGTGTGTCTTAATCAAACAGCCCGACGACGAGATTACTTCTCTTAATTTTAACTTCCTTGTTTTGATTTAATTTTTCAAAATGCTTACTTATTCTACAAAATGCCTGCGATCCAGTCGTAGAAGAATGATATATAAACTTGGCGTCAAACGACACTCCATACATGAATACGAACGGGGCCCAGTATGGATCAGGGTTGTACGTGTAGCCTATTGGCCACGCACTGAAAATAAAATAGTTAAAAATTGGATGTAGGATATGTATGCTATGAGACCTGGATATTCATTTCGAAAGGATGATTTACTCGATGTTATGAATATTCTGTGGAACTTCTTACATAGACTTCATTGCTATTGTACTATACAACACATTTATCCCATGATATCATTACTTCCCGGTGAGTAACACCCGATATTTTCCAAACAGATTTGAAAATAGAGATTTTGATACTAAAAAGTATGAAGCTATGTAAGTCTATGAAACATAGGCGAATTCGCTTCTTTATGTAACAAATCAACTGACCTATCATCATAAGTGCCCATGAACCAGTTTGCCTCATAAGTGGATGTGCAGCGCCATCTATTATCGGTAAACATACCGTCATCAGTCGAGGCCACGAGATAACCTTCCGCGTCAGTATTTGTCACTGAAAACGAATTATGAGTAGATGATAGGAGGACAGACGATGAAAAACCGAAAAGGTACCAGGGGCGTAACCAGCTTTCAGTGAGGGGGGGGGGTGCGATCGCCAAAAAATCGATCCCTCAATCTCACCCCTCTGGCTACGCCTATGGGTACACCGTTGTTTAGGATTTACGAACTTCTGAGTTGTGATTGCCGCCATGGTTTAAGTTTGGGCATCCTCCTAAGCAGTCCAGAATCCGTAACTCCCTTTTCCCGAATATATTCTTGATTGTCAAGCCCTGCGTGGATGAAGACTGGGTTGATGGGTAGTTTGAATTATCATTATAATTATTGTGATTGTCGATCTCTGGTCTTAAATGTTGGATTGGGTTGTGAACATGGGCTGTTTTTCAAGAGTTGCTATAATATTAGCAAAAAGTACAATATAAGTCTTACCATGTACGGCTATAATGCTGACGTTCGGCAATAAAGTGAATTCGTAAACAGTTTCATAATCATCACCGGTTCCAACGACAATCCCGTCAGCATATACAGTGAACGAGTTATCTCCATTGATATACAACGAATATCCTGGAATTAAGAATTAGGAAATATTTACAATAGTCGCAACTTACTCATGGCATTATTATTCCCGTATAAATTATAACTTTTGAAGCGTTTGATTACGTATTTATTTATTGCGCAGGTCCGTCTGTAAGTGTGATATTCTTACGTATAGACGATGTTTCATAAAAAGATCACACTTATCGACGTATAAAGTTACGTAATAAATGATGACGTGATCAAACGTTTTATAAGTCATACGTTATACGGGAATAATAACATGCTATAATGAGTTGCGAAATCTTTCCAATGGCTAACAAAGTTTAACGTATAAAATGTACTTCTTAAAAGAAAATCCTGCTATAACGTTTCAAACTAAAAAATATTTCTTTGTGCAAACCCGAAATGATAATAATTGTTTTACATCTATCAAAGCAAAATGACAATCTGTGTACGCATATCACATAAAAATTCTAAATTATTAATCAAACCAAAGTGATAAATAATTGTAAGTATGCTTACTAAAATGATTAAGTATTGAACGAATTAACATACATAAAACCAAAATGATGATAAACATACCTGCTTCACCAAGGCATTGCACCAGAAACAAAACAACTTGAAAACGTCTGAAACAAAACAACTATGAAAAAATTAATAATATAAAAGATCAAACCGATCTTGAAATGTGACTTGAAATGGTCATTGACTCTTTTGCATTCTTCAGAATCTTTACTCAAACCGTTTTTATGGTTATGCAAATATATCATAAGAGTCAAACTAACAGTCGATATGATACCGAAATATCAATTATAATTGAATAATAAACTTAATGAATCTACAGTATCATGTTACTTATATGATAGTTTCAAATCACTTACATGTAATATCGGAGCATCACTGTTGGTCATTGCGTCAACCTTACATGTAATTTGACAAATCAATTTCATTTATCGTAGGATCACGAACTTTTATTGAATTAGGGTCTAATATTAAAAAATGTCCGTTGATCAAACAATATTAGTTTGTCAATAAGAATTAAGTGTTTGATGTCAATGTATGACTGACAAATGCTTTGTTACGGAGAGGGACTTGGCAAATTTGCCAACTCAAAACAATTTGAAGGTCAACTAAACAAAAATGCATTTTGTCGTTGCAGTGATTCCACTTAGACAAACAAAGAGAGTCAGAATTCTGTTTTAATATTTGTAAAATTCCATCGTATATTCTTTCTTATAGCATCATATCAAGCCTACAAACTCAATGCATCAAGTTTTCATTTATTCAGGAAATCTTTGCGTTATTTTGGTTGATAATTTGTCCGATAGATGGAACCCATATACGCTTCACACCGGAATAGCCTGACAACGGTAAAGTCAGATACCGTTGTCACAAATGGCGGACATAACCGTCGCTTTAATTAGATTTTCATGAACTGTACATGTATATGTTTAATAGAGCGACTAGATTAAAGTGTTTTTCTACTCATCATATAGTTAAATATTATCATTTTCATTCGGTCGATCGACTTCCGAAAAGAGAGCTTCGTCTTCACACTTTCAGTTTAAAATAAATCTTTGATCTCACCGAGCCAATCAGAGTTCGTCGTCGAAATACGGACGACTTTTTACGTGGTCATTTCCTCCTACATCACCGCATAGTTAATGAGCAAGCATTTAGCACGTGTTCTTTCCACTTCGCTGACTGGTTGAGAAGGGGTCAGCGTGGTAGATTTGAAATGATTTATTATCCGGGGCAGGCACCAATCTTCGGGGCCAGGCTGCTATACTGTTATATAGTCTATCTAGGCAGAGGGTGGTTTATAACTCGACTTTGCGCGCAGGGTATAGTAGTTAAATATGTTCCACCGTCGAAATAAATGCGTTGATTTTACCGATCGAAATATGCCACAGGACAATAGACACTGTATGTAAATGACAACGGTAGGTGTGGGTCAGATGTAATGTAAAATCGGGGTGACAACGGTAAATGTAAAGACAACGGTAACATGTCTATTTACCGTTGCCATTTTCAAATGTTCCAATGCAATACACCCACCATAGTCCGTTGTCATATCTTACCATATGCCGTTGTCTTTGTAAATTATTTCAAATTCAGACTCCGTTGTCATTGACGATATCGAAGACGCTATATTGTAGCGTTTCAAAGAACGGTCCCCAGGACCCCATTTGATAGAAATTAGGATTTCATATAATACATCATCACAAGAGCTTAATACATGTACAAAATTACAGTGAAAATTATGCCTATGTCACATTTAAGCTCCGATTCATCGGCCGGCGCCCGGCCGATTGAGTGTTTTATTCAAAACTGAATTCAATTTTGAACAAAATACTCAATCGGCCGGGCGCCGGCCGATGAATTTGGGCAAATGTAACTCAGGAATTAGCGACGATAAAGTCCCATGAAACGAGGACCAAGTGATTTGAAGTGACGGTTAAATGTCCGCCATTTGTGACAACGGTATCTAACTTTACCGTTGTCAGGGGTATTCCGGTGTGATATTGGCGTAAAGCTCAAAGCAGCTTGACATAGATTTTAGTAAAAACAACGTTTAAGTACGATCCCCGGGTACAAAAGCCGTTGCCAAGAGATTTATAACCATCGTAACTTACAATTTGGTACAAACCATCGATCGTCCATTCTTCATTGTAAACTTAGTCTACACGGTAGACAATTATTATCTTTTGGAATCATGAGTTGCGATGGTACCAGAAATTGACCCCAGGGACGTTTTCTAAGTCATGATGTTGCCATATCAATAGAGATCGATCTTATAGACATATTTCTGCATATTTGAACTGGTATATTAATATTTCTCTATATTTCGAATGTTGTGAAAAAGTTAAAGTAAGGAAGGGATGAGATCCCATAAAGGATTTTTAGACGTATTGATTAAGGTGAATCGAACTGAATGGAATGTACAGGGTGTCCCGAAAGTATGGCCCCCCCCCCTAGGCAGACATATTCCAGTGTCCTCATAGTATGTGTCATATATCATTTTAAAGCTTATCCAAAGTTACATTGATTTGCCAAGTATCATGGTTTAACTCCCAAATGGGAAAAAGTTACAGTCATTTTAAAAGTTAGTGTTTTGTCAAAATAAAGTTCAATTTTACGCCATATTACTAGTCAATGTGTCCCCCCTTGGCCATGGGGGGGCCCATACTTTCGGGACACCCTGTATGATCTACAATACTTAAATATCACAAAAGATATCACCTGATGGTATTGGAAAGACAAAGTTATTAAGTCTTTATAATGACCCAGGTATTATCGCGATCACTGTCTATTGAGAGTCGTCCCCAGACGCTTAACTACACCATTCACCACATGTTTGACAACCAGAGTCCCATTTTGGAACACTTATCAAAGTCTGAACATGTTTGGCGATTTAATAAATCATCAAATTTTTCATCCGAACTATTATATATTGTAAAGTAACAAACTTATGATTTAAAGATAAACAAGTCTCGATATGCGATTCAATGGAACTTCCGGTTGTCAAACCTATGGGGGTGGGGGTTGTGGGGGGTGGGGGGATGAACACAGTGTATGACTAAACTATTCATATGATACTTCATTGTTTTAGCGTGCATGATTTAAATAGCTATTGCAATCATTCATATTTCTGTCTGATTTGCTGTCAGTTCGTGCTTTTGTGTAAATGAACCACGATGTTGACCACGATGTTTGGCGGAAAATTTTGGTATGTTCTTTACTTCGTGTATTACTGCAACACGGTGGACAGCCATGCGATTTCCTGGAGGTGGCAGCCATGTGATCTGATTTTTATTGTGCAGTGCATTTGCACAGCTACCCAGACAAAACGAGGGTTGTCCCAGAAGTAATGCACTACAGTAATGCAGACAGCACTACATAAGCCAATAAGCCAATTCGACATCTTCCATGTCGTTTTATACCTCCCCAGTTACACAAAACTAGCTTCTCAAGCCGCCCCATCCCGTCCTAAAAATAGTACAGCGGGCTGTATTCGGGGCGAAACGTTCTAAAAAACAGGATCTTAAGAGGTTCTGGACAAATCATTTGATTCTGGACTTGTCATATTTTATTTTCAACGAAATCACATCCAAGGGTTGAATTTTTATTAGCTATTTAGAGAGTGAGTCCTGCCTAGTATTAATTTCAATAAAAAAGTTAAAATAGAACCCTATTTGAGAGTGCGTTTTTTAATGAAATATTATCCAGCAAGTATTTAAATGAAACGGTCTTATTTAAATACAAATCATAACATGATATTTTTATTTTTCATGAAACATTTTTCAATGAAATTCAATTGAAGGGTCAAGATAAAACGAGCTAATTTAGGTGAAAACCCTTACATGATGATGTGTTTTCATAACTTCTTTCATAAAATTCCATCAAGGGGTGAAGATAAAATGATCGAATTTAAGTGATTTAAGGATCACGAGAATATGTTTTCTTTGATATTTTCTATGAAATCCCATCCAATGGTCAAGGTAAAATTTTGATTTTGATTTTGATTTGGTCACGTGTTCGAAAGATCCATATAAGGCCCATAGAACCATATAGGAACGTCATTTTGAATGTCACGTGATAGATCCATATAAGGCTTTTAGAACCATTTATGGAAAGATGAGGGGAAGCCCCTGACACCTGTTTCACGATTTTTATGCACTTCATTATTGTACCGAAGTTTGCCGATTCGATTCGTCGTATTTCGGAATCCTGGTGACAATTTTATACTCCATTGGAGTATTTTTGACCTACTTCTTATGACGGAAATTCCCGAACCTTGTTCGGATTAATCCGGATTTTCTGACCTACCTTATCTACCGAGATTTCACGAGTTAACATTCGTCTCATTCCGGAATCCTGGTGACAATTTTATACTCCATTGGAGTATTTTTGATCTACTTTTTCTGGATTTTGCCCTACTTATTATATCTTGACAACAAGCAAATCAAAAAGTTCGACATGAACGGGTCTCGATCAACTAACCTAGACTATGGAAGCCAGGCACGCTAACCATTAGACCAACGAGCTACCGATATGAAAGAACAAAAGTATTATATATTTATACCGAGCGTCAATTCAAAATGATCCTCACTTTTGTCTCCACTTAAATACGACTCGTCAGTTGTATCCAGAATAGTAGAACGCCTATGGCGCTAGTGAATAACCAAGTCCCAGGTGAGTGGTTCGTATCCCTCCGTGATATACTATTTTTGTTTTATTAAATACGACAGAAAGGAGCAAGGTGTACGTTGAAAACAAGACGTTAGTTTGTTTCTAAACAGTTTGGAAACATTAATCTCTGGAACATTATTTTTTCAACACTGATACAAATTTCCCTGACATTTCGAGAAAGAGTCGAAGGCAAATATACAAAGCCGGCTTTCAAAGCCGGCTTCTACAGTACATCAGAAGCCGGCTTCTGGCGTCACCAAGAAGCCGGCTTTTAAAAAAATTGTAACTTATTTCAAGATTTTTTGGAAAAAGTCATTTCAAGCCAAAATTATGAGAGAAAATTCATTTCTAAGTAAAAATATTGATGAATTAGATCACGTTCACTAAATCAGAACAGATTATGCATTGCATTTCCGTTTAATAAAAACGCAACGCTCATTTTTCAAAACTGGCTCCAACTTGGAGCCAGTTTACAAATCAGCTCGCTCCATCTTACACAAGCTATGTAGGGGCAATCTAGCAACTGGGAATCACGGGATACTGTCTCACGATCATTTCTATGTGCATTATGCATCTTATTCTCGTATAATTTGCATGAAAATGAGAAAAAACTAAAAATACGTAAAATTGTAAATTTTTTTGCAAAAAGTCATTTCAAGCCAAAACTATGAGAGAAAATTTATTTGTAAGTAAAAATATCGATGAATTAGATCACGTTCACTAAATCAGAATAGATTATGCATTGCATT